AATGCAGAAGACACAATATATTAATTTTAGTGTTTAATAACAAAATGTTAAGCCAACTAAAAAAAACAAGGAGTCTATATAAAATTGGAATAATGAAAACATATACTACCAATGCAGGCTTGTAAGGACTAAGTTGTAGTAACTCTGCCTCTTTTCAGTGAGAAAGTAATAAGAAAATGTCATGATCAAACACCACAGGATAACTCGCTGCAAGTTACTCTCAAAATGCTGTGTTTTGTATCCAGTGAGCATTCACTAAGAGCAAAGATGTGAGACCAGAGATTCCCTTGATTGCAATACAACAAGAGGGAGGTTTTATTTAGCTTTCTAAAGAAAGCTTGGAGAGTATCTACAATGTACTAGCAAGATTCTGCATGCGAAGACCCACTCTACCAACCACTAAGACCATGGAGATGCTGCAGACTGGGTTGATATCGAGAAAGTAAGTGGAATCTCAACCGTGAGATACTGTGAAATCTGAAGTCATTTCCACATCACACATAACATATATGTCTCATGTTCTTGATCTACAAAGACCAACAGTTGACTAAGATACTTTACGTACCAACCAAAGTAGATGTGGATTATGTCAGCTGGCTCCTACTGCTTTATTTTTGAATTCTACACTCTTTTATGCCTGTACTCACAGCTGGAAAAACTGTAGGCCTCTGTCTCAGACAGGGGAACAGCGAGCGATAACAACATTCCATTGCATTCCTTTCTCTCTGACATATACTCTTTGTCTTCTTTCTATTTCTCTACTCACGTTCCTTTCCCATCAAAGATGGAGTTTGTACTCTCAGAGCACGGGATAATGGGCAGTGAGTTTGTGTTCAGGCAAACTGGTATTTAACCCCACAGCTTCACTACGTTTCAACAGCCACCGTATTAACAGTTTAACTCAGTTTCTCTATTTGTTTTCACTCTTTAAAAAATTCTATCTAGTCTTTTCCTTACAAGATAATATTCATCAATCACGTGGGGATAAAAAGAGAAAGAGACAAAACACAGAAAGTCTGCCATCCAAGAACTCTTTGACAGGTAACGTGACAAGAGTGGGCTGAATTCTTGTGGCCAAAAAGTTTGACTCCAGGTTGCTAGTAGAGCTAAAAGCTGTTTGACCAGACAGAACATCTATCTTTTTTAGGTTCATCTGGTACATGAGCAGTCACTGAGTTTCTACATTTATTCATTTTTTAATATCCATTAATCTCAATTCAGCGTTTCCACTTAACATTATAACTGTGGTTGATTTGTTTACATACACTGCATTCAATCTCTTTTGACATGGTGTTTAAATACTTGTTACTCAGACTTCCGACAGGAAAAGTACAATAACTTTTAATGAATTTCAAAGAAGAAAAAATATACTACACCACTGATAGCAATCTGAATTCAACTATTTAATAATGTATGACTGAAGTCATATTCACCAAGATAACATTCTACATTTTAAATATCATTGTATAGTGTACAGAATTCATAATCTGATGTTTAAAGAAGAAATAATATATTCAAATGTCATATAAAACTGTCATGAAATTAACTATATATATATGCACATATATATATAGAATAGTTTTAAATACATAATGATTTTAAATTAACCCAGACTTTCTCACATAAATTCATGATAACAGAAATACATAAGTTTTTACTTCAGAATTAAGGTATCTCTTTATTGCTGCTTCTTCCTTCACTCTACTAAAAAGCTTAAGCATGGGTACTGTAAGTTGTACAATATTTACCTTTATGCATGTGGAATTAACAAAGAAATAGCAGTCATTCCCAACTTCTGCCATTTTCAATCTCTTGCTGCTAATCCAATGACTGTGTGTTTTTTATAAGTACGTACAAATTGCAGGGACGCAAATATAAGAACTATGAGAGTGTAAGGGGGGAAACTGTTCTTTTCCACAGTCTTTCAGGCTATCAGTAGTATTCCTTGACAACTGACCTCCTGTTGACAGTATATTACACAATAGATAATGCTTAAAGAAATTTAAATTAGAAGATACCTTCTCTAGCTTTGCAGAAATGTTGACAGTGGTTACTAGTAATCACACAAACTCAAACTTCCAGAATTTTCCTCATTGTTACACAATCCATTGTTTGCTCACCATTAATGACCTCATATGCAACTGTAGGCTCCTTCACCTAAGGGAATACTTTCCTTGCCCAATATATATCAAATATACTAAAAGATTATCTGTAAGTTTAAGACTGTCTTTTATCTTTCAGTGTAATGGTTATAGAAGAAACACAAATTCATATTTTCAAAGTTAAAATGGGTAAGTATTTCATGAGGAAAGTTATTTCTCTATGTGGTTTGAAAATGGAACTAACGTAAATATGCTATCTACAATCCAAAAAAAAGGTACAATCACTTAAATATGTATCTGTTGCTATATACACCGACTTAAAAACACTCTGTGCCAGATTGTAACAGTAATAAATGTACAAGAAAATAAACAGGAGTACCTATTCATCCAGTGACTTTATTCCATTTTCATCCGTCATAAAAGGAAAATTAGCTTCAGCTGATAGCAAAGGGTTCCAGCATGCTTGAAACCTTGGAGAATTTGTTGAAAATAATATGAAGCCCTCTGACTCCCAGAGGGAAACATTTCAACAAGCAGTTATTAAAGTATCCATCTGATTATCTTTCCTATAAGAATCAGAACCTAGCAGAAATAAAGAATATTCAACTTAGAAGTTGGCTGGTGATGACTGAGCACACTGGACCGGAGTATGTTTTTAAATTACTGCAGTCTTTTCATTGAAGTCATAGATGATCAAGACAAACATTGGTCTCCACTTTAAGTAAAACAGGGTAAATTGCCATGAACTGTTTTAGTCCAGAGGTCTAGAGTAATAATCTAGAGCTAAACTCTAGGTTCGTTTGCTTGTAACTGTAAAATGAAAGGAATGAGGCAGTCTTAGAGGTAAAAGAGCAAATTAAAGGTTTGACAAAAACCTTTGAAATTATTGATAAATACATAAAGATAAGTCTTGCCTTAAAAAAAAGATACTTTAATTGTGTAAAACTTTAGTTGGGCACCTTCTGTTAGTCCTTGGGATACCAGGAGCCCTCCCTTTTCCTCTCTTAGTTCTTTTCTTTCCTATCACTAATTTTACTTTTCACTTTTGCCTCATTTCCATCCTGTTGTGTTTTTCATTTTAGTCTTTTACAGGAAGCTCTGATTCTACTCAAGAGGATGTTTTTCTCTCCCTGTAATAAAAAGTGCTAGGAAGTTGGTCTTCAAAACAGACCAAGAAATCCTGAATTGTGCAAGCCAAGATAGCCTCTGATGGAGTTTCTTCTTGGTGTGTGCTAGGTTACTAACACATCAGAGAAGAAAAATCTTCCAATTATCCCGAGTACCACTTTAAGGTTGGTGGCCAGGGGCCCTACAACCAGCTCTGTATCTGAACTTGGGGAAGCTGCTGGCTGCCATCCTTCCGAGTAGGAGCCTGATCCTCTGATGATCTCCCGGTGTGGGTTCTTCTGTTTCTATCTTGAAGGAACCAAAATATTGAAGCATTGAAGGAACCAAAATATTGCTGCCGGTGCTTCCAGAGAGGAGAGGCTTGAAGCAAGTGGAATGTTTTTGGAAGATTATCTTTTCTAAGAAATGGCAGAATGTTGGATCTAGAATATTCTGTGGCAGTTTGGGAAGTGACAGTTGAGAGCTGCGAAGGTCATTTAATTGTCTGAGACCCAAGAGACAAGCTCTAGCGGTTCAAATAGTTACCAATTCATGAAGTTAAGAGGCTAAGGAGTTTCTGGCTTCAACAGCACAGAGCCAGAACCATGTGGGTATAGTCTTTTTCCACCCCAACCCCTCAGTTTCTTTTGTTTTGGATAAAATTGTGTGTGTTTGCCTATGAGAAAAAATTATGTGCCAGAAGAGAAAGATCGCAAATTAGCCAATTTCTTCCTCACTCACACTCCATTGTCAGTCCAGCAATCACAAAACTATGAGCATGTTTTTAGAGATACTTTTATTCTTCTGAGAGTCCCCTCATATACTTTCAAGGCAGATGAGGTTATTTAATTTCCCCCAAGAGCTTAAGTAAATAAAATGCTGGGCAGTTGGATACGTGATGATGAAGCAATTATTATAAAAATACAAATTGAGATTAAAAATTATAGAACTAAAAGTTGGCTTTTCCAATTACCTAAGATGGTAAGGTTAAAAATCTCTTTATGGCCTCAGGCTTCGGTGAGATAGGTCTACTTCCAAAATATAATACTTTTTATTTTTATGCAAGCATTAACTTTATTATTTACCATCCAATGTCGTTTTGGATAGCAAGTCAAGCTAAGCATGTTATTTTCAGCTCGATAGTTGATTGAATACAATTCAAGCTCTCTGCTGGAGTCCGAGGAAAACCTTGACCGTGCTGCCGTTTGTTTATATTTCCACGGTTTGGGATTTGTCTAAATTTTACTCATTGGAAAGGACATCAAGAACCAAATTAGACACTGTACGATGATAAATTCAAACGGAAGCTTTAAAAAAAATCCAGTTCTGTTAATTGTAGAGTTTTACTAATGTTATTCCTGGAAAATCAGGGGTTTTTGTCTGCACATTAGGAAATATCTAATAGTTCTTTCTAAACTTCTCCGGGCTTATAATCCCTTTAAATTCTTAAAGAAAAAGCAGACAAGTCAGTTTCAGGAGAAACGTGCCAAGTTGCATCCTAAACTGGATATTAAGTCCCGAAAATATCATCGTTACTAAGTTATGGCCTAGTACACAACACCGGGTAACGGATCTTGTTTCTTTTCTTTTTTTTATTTGGGAATCACGCACGAGCAGTAGCGAGCTCGGTAGCCCCAACGCCGCACTACAACTCCCAGAATGCGCCGCTAATAGGCGGTCGCTTCCGGGCATGCGTCCCCGCCCCTCTTCGGGGTGGTCCTTCGGCGGCGCTGAAGGATCACCCTGGCTGGACTGGGTACTGTTCTCTGGCTGCCTGTTGCAGGGCTTCCTCCGGCCGGGATCCTGCGTCCCGGAGACTCGGAGTGGCCGCGCCATGAGCCGCCTGGGCTCGGTGCAGCGGAAGATGCCGTGCGTGTTTGTGACGGAGGTGAAAGCCGAGCCCTCGGCCAAGCGGGAGCATCAGGTACCCGGCGACTTGGGCTGCTGGGCGGCTTCTCCAGCGCTGCGCGGCGGCCCGGGAGCCCTGCAGGTTTTACAGGGGAGGTTTGGGTGAAGTACACCTTGAGCTCCAGCTTCGTGGACCTTCTTCGTTGTGAGGAGTGTGGGAGAGAATATCTCTCTCTCTCTCTCTCTCTCTCTCTCTCTCTCTTTCTCTCTTTTATTTATTTATTTTTTATTTTCCCCTCCCAGATCAAGTGATTCAAACTTGCTCTGGCAGGTTTGAAAACCTACATCGCAATTAGTGACCTCCTTCCCACGCCAGCACCGTTGAGTGAAAAACCTGAGTAGTGAGTGAGATATCAGGGTCATCTAACTTGGAACGACTGTCGATCAAGAGTCTGATGAGAAAGCATTGTTTACCTGTTGTGTCCTAGAAACCCATGACAGTGTTGACAGCTAGCCTGACTAGGTCGCTGAAGTCAGTCCGCGTGTCATTTCTTGCTTAATTCTAACTCGGAGTGCCCGTCCTAAGGTTTTCTAGTCATCTTCTGTGTTTTACAGAGTGAGCCTTGCGTGGACGTAAGTGAGTTAATATATAGATAGTTTTTATCAGCGTGTTTTTTTGATATATAGCAAAATTATTTACCTCTCAACACAGACACAGTCAGCATGTGCATTTGAAATCAATTTCACACTTTTTCACCTTTACCACTCTACGATTGGCTTTCTGGCCTTTTTGTTGTTCTTGTGGGTTGTTTGTTTATTTTTAGTTAGCATAAAAAGTAAGAGCTTTCCTTTTGACTCTCTCTCTCTCTCTCTCTCCCTCTCTCTCCCTCTCTCTCCCTCTCTCTCTCTGTTTTTTTGTTTCCGAGGCAAGGTTTCTCTGTAACTTTGGAACCTGTCTTCCTGTCCTGGAACTAGCGCTTGTAGACCAGGCTGGTCTCGAACTAGACCTGCCTCTGCCTCCCGAGTGCTGGAATTAATGGCGTGCGCCACCACTCCTTTTAGCATTTTCATCCATAATTTGTGTTGTCCCCTCTCCACGTCAGCAGGCTGCACATCTCCCCCAAGTCTCCAGTTTGCACCCCCTCGCACACACCATTACCCTTTTTATTTTTGTGCTCTGTTATTCCCCCTCTTTTAGAGCTTCATTTTTCCTCCCTCGGGCCCCTTTCTTGTCTTTTAGATTAAATGGCCATTAACAAGATGCCCTGTTATCTCTTAGTCCCTGCTGCTAGGAACTGACACATAAATTAGCATTTATCAAATTTTAATTCAAAGGACTCTGAGAGCCTTCGTGCCAGTTTTCCATCAACCTTGATGTTTTCTTACCTTTTCCTTTTAACATCTGATCTTTCCATATTCCTTTCTACTGCCTCGTTATTACACTTAAAATGTCATAATGTTGTTTACGGTACTACTTAATAAGTTGTACTTGCTACCAGAATGAGCCCCACTATATTTTCTAGTAAAGCTCTAAGATTAGTATTCAGTATCGGTATTGCTGGCTGTTTAGAACAAAAATCATAATAAATCCAAGTATTGCAAAACACTCATCCTTGATGATTCATTTTAATCATGATTCTCAGCTTTGAATATTGTGGGTAGGCGTAATTTTAAAAGTACTTTATACTAGGGAAAAAAAAACCACCCTCTCATCTCTTTATAGTTAAAGCTATCTGGTTACAGCATAGTGTCCAAGTAATTATCCAAAGTCTCTTATTAATTAGGCCCAGTCTGTTTTAAAATCTCAGTGTGGAGTTGTTGCTTTTGCAACATCTTTCATCTTGTAAACAGATTAAGCATTAATGCTTTTCCCAGGCTAACCACTCTGCTTGAATTACCTTCAGTGCTTTTCAGTAGATCTTAATAAAACTTGATTAAATTACTCATCCCCGATTAGAAATTGCACAGCACCCAATCAATCCGCATTGCCTGTTTATGTACACAAATTGCTTCTTGCTTTTGCCGTAGTTTGGTCACAGGTGGAGGAGTAAATAGCAAACTGTAGTAGAGAAATGATCCCCATGGGAGGAACATTTTACAGTCATTAACAACTCCAAGGGCGTAGTCACCCTCCTTGAAATTTTATAAATTTAAAAATGTACACACACACACACACACACACACACACATAAGTACAGGCATGCACGTGCGCACACACACACACTCACATACACACCTGCTGTCGCTAGCATTTTGCCACAATGGCTTAGAATGATATCTCCTGGTCCCATTTTCACACACCGATGACAAGTCGATACTGAAGTAGTGTATCACAGACTTGGAAGGTGGCTGCTACACAGATCGGAGGAGCTCAGTTCCGGTCCCAGCACCCACGTGTCTGTTCCAAAGGCAGTGGCTGACTTGCGTTCTTCAGACACAGGATGCCCTGCCTGTGGGCCTTTCCTCTGCACGTCAAATCTGCTCAGATGTTGCCTCTTTAGAGCACTTCCTTGTGGCTTTCCATCGTGTTTTCCTCTTTAGTACTCATCCGTGTAATAATGTGATGCATTTTATTTCTGTCATTGCCCTCTGACGTCTGAGTTTCACTAAAGGTGGGTACTTCTCTGTATTTCCAGCGTCAGGTGCAATGCGTGTGGTCAGTGCATAGCCATAGGACACAGCTCCGGGTTCCATTGTGGAGGACAAACCTGTAGATCACAGTCCACATGGACAATCAATTTGAATGTGATCACACTACAGAGAGGGAGAGCTGTTGTGGTGGGGCAGGAGGGGAATCTCCGAACTAGAGGCTACAGACAAAGGATGGTGAGTTCAAGGCCAGCCTGGGCTGCAGAGTGAGACCTGGGAGACAATTGTTTGGGACTAAGGGAATTAGTTCATGTGAGCCTGTGTGTGAAGTCAGAGGCTGTATATCTTATGCCAGTTTTTTTTTTCTCTTTCTTCTTTTAAGCCATTTAAAGTTTTGGCAACCGAAACTCTAAGTGAAAAGGCCTTAGAGGCAGATGTGTACAATGCCATCGCCACAGAAAAGGTGGATGGGACGTGTTGCTATGTTACTAACCACAAAGGTAAAATACAACTCCCATGTTTACTAAACGTATTATCTTTTTCATTGTATAAATTCTGTCAGAGACAGATGCCTGAACTTCACCGGGTAAGCCACAGCCTCGTGGTGATACACAGATTAGTAGAGATGGGTTAATTTAAGATATGAGTTAGCCAGAAGTACGCTCAAGCTCTTGGCCAAACAATATTACAAATAATATGGTTTCTGTGTGATTATTTCGGGGCTGAGAAGTGGGGAACAAACAAGCGGCTTCATACAACAGCCTCTTAGTTTCTTCTACTTTATGACTATTGGTAAGTCATATAATTGTCTCTTTGTGGCTGGTTTACTCTTTTAGTTCAGTATTTTACCCGATTGGATTGTGTCAGATTGCACACATTTTTAAAATTGTTTAATATGTACATAGGACATTTTGTTTATCTGTTTAGCCACTGATAGGCATTTGGGTTGCTCCTACCTTCATGCCACCATTGATAATGCAATTAATAATGCATTATCTCTCCTAAAGTACTGCTTCCAGTTTTTTGCCGGGGCGGGGGTGTTTATGAACCTATATAAATGTGAGATTACTGGATCATATGTTAATTCTAATTTAGAAAATTTGAATACCCATCATACATTTTCCATAATGGTCACACAGAAGTTCTAGCTTCCAGATATTCCACTTTTTCCATTTCCCTACTAGGAATATTTATTATTTTTGGTGATAGCTATCCTAATGGATGTTAGTGGAAAGCATTTTATATGTTTACCAGTAAAAAGGACAAAAAGTCTACTCAACCAGAAACAATATATTTTTAATCTAGCTCTTTATATTATGTATATGAGTAGCTAATAAGAGTATTATAGTGTATTTAACAATTTTATAACCTCTGTGTTGACTTTTCTGGGAGGCCCTCCACCCAGCTCCCAAATAAATCACACATAGAGGTTTATTCGTACTTATGAATGCCCGACCTTAGCTTGGCTTGTTTCTTGCCAACTTTTCTTAAATTATCCCGAGTACCTTTTGCCTCTGGGCTTTTATCTTTTTCTGTTTCTATATACCTTTCTTCACTTCTTTCATTGGAACTTGCTATATAACTGGGTAGCTGAGTGGCTGGCCCCTGATGTCCTCTTCTCCTTGTTTTCTTGCTCCTCCTCCTTCGTTCTTGGGTCTCCTGCTATTTTATACTTTGTGTCATCTAACCCCGTCTATCCTTGCTCCTGAAAATAATATTCCCCACTGCCTCTGATTTATATATTTGAGTAAGATTTATCAGGCTCTTTTATTAAAAAAATAAAAAAAAAAACTTCGGTGTGTATTATGTGTGATGTGCAGGATGGGAGCAATTAGAGAGCTAGAGATTTTACTGCTCAAGGATGCTCACAGGACCAAAGATGACAAACGGATAAACACATACTAAAGTAAGGATTTCAGAAGTAAGTCTGTTACAGAGCAACAGGTATGGGGATACCAGAGAAAAATCTGTATTTTTGTCGTGCTTTATAGCCACAGCAGGACACGTTTTCTCAGGTTAAGAGCTACTGATGTGTGTCAGGAACTCAGGGTGGAGTCTTAGTTGGAGTTTCCTGCTGTGCCTTGTCATGTAGGCTTCTTCCCGCTAAGGAAGGAGTGGCAACAGTAAGCTAACTCAGTGCCCTGAGACTGCTCACACCCAGGAGTAAGCAACCCTCACCCTCTGTGTCTAGTGACCAGATAGGTCGGCTTTTTTCCACGTCTGCCAGAATTAACCCCACATGGCATTATCATGTTCAGGGGAGGTGGGAACACAGCCACCTGGTTCTGCTCTCGTGAGAATTTAGGAAGAGAGCATGGAACATTCTGATAAAAAGACCATGCATCTTTCTCACGTTTAACAAAGTACATCCTCACACGCTGGGATGAGGACTCAGTGCTGAGCATCATGTGTTTCCTTGTTCTCTTAGGCGTTTTCTTACAGAGAAGACTACTGTTTATTGATTTTTTTTTCCCCTCTGAAATGTCTTGCAAGATGAATTTTGTTTCCTCTTGACTTTCCCTATGTTTTTAGGTCAGCCATACCTCTGGGCTCGACTAGATAGAAAACCTAACAAGCAAGCTGAGAAAAGATTTAAAAAATTTCTACATTCAAAAGAAAACTCAAAAGGTTAGTGGGTTTTTCTTCAAACTTTTCAGATTTAAAGAGTTGAAATTTGTGAAATTATTGCTATAGTTCTTCTAGGTATATATATCTTGGGGAAAATAATTATGTATATATACACATATATATTTACACCCCATATATATATATATATATATATATATATATATATATATATATATATAATTCATTTTTAGAGCTGAATCAGTGGCACAGTGCCCAGACATGCACACACATGCATACACACATGTGTACACACACAAATACTGAAAACTATTTTCCCCCTTTCTGTAACTTCTTTATAGTATCAGTCTATAATGTTTAACCATACAGTATTTTAATAAGATACATTTTCATTTGGTTTGCATGAGAAAAATAAAGACAGATATTAAAGGATAGTTAATATTATTGCATTGATGACTATATTATACATATATATTATTTTTACTCATATATATAATGTAACATATATACACATATATAAAGTACGGCATAGGGAGTACATATTAAAACTCTTAAGTCTCACTCAGGAGGTAGAGGCAGGTGGATCTCACAGAGTTCGAGGCCAACCTGGTCTACAGAATAAATTCCAGGACAGCCAAGGCTATCACACAGAGAAACCCTATCTCGAAACACCCCCAAAATAAAAAAATTAAAAACTCATGAATCCTTGCAGATTGTTGGCTACCTTAGGCTGTGCATAAATGTACTGAAAGTTGAAAATATAATGTTAGTCCCCTAAGTTGGAATGTAGTCACGTGGCAGGGAAAATAGAGTCCCTTTCACATCTGTGAGCGATGTAGTGTTGCACCTGTCCTCTGTCTGATGCCTTAACTGACTCTTTGCAGCGCACCTGTGGAACACAGAGGAAGACTTCCGGCCTGTCCCAGAGTGCTGGGTACCAGCAAAGGAAGTAGAGCGGCTGAATGGGAAGCCAGTACCTGATGAGAACGGACACATTCCCGGTATCCCAGAATCATTTTGTGTTTAGTATAAGAAACAGGCAAAAAGGGTCTAATTGGAAAATTGTCTTAAGCTAGCTTTTCTTTTTATTTATAATGTGAAGTTTCTGAGTCGAGTTTATTGAAAAGTCTTTACAGTTTATAAAGACATAGCAAGGAATGATCTTTTGAGTTTGAATCTTTCTCAAGGGTGAGAATATTTTGTAAGGTGTTTGGTCAGAGTGGCCTGTTTCTTTCAGATGCGGCAAGTTTTCCACATTGAGGGAGCTTAGCCTAGCAATAAAAGTAAAAACAGCAATGGCAAATAGGGAATTGATAATTGCTCAGCCGGATCGGAAGGATATAAATGTGGAGCACCACTGACACTGTAGGATGATACAGAGAACTTGGTTTATTAAGTGAAAAAAAAATGACAATATCAGGCAGGAGGGAGGGTAGGCAGTTAGAAAAGACACTAAAATAAAATTTAAAAGAAGAGAGTTTTAATGCTGTCTGAGTGTAGTACTCAGTTGCTCCTTAACCAAGATGATTTTTCTGAAGAATGTGTTTAGTTCATGCTAATATACCCCAACAGAATAAGCAAATGAACCCTTATGATTATAAGGAAAACAGTAAAATTGTTAACTTTCTCACTGATTTTAAGTGTCTGTGTGATAGGGAATCTAGAAAATAAGGAATATTTATAACCAATAATCAACCAAATGCCTGCATCTTTTAATAGAATCAGTGTGATAGCACTGACTTCTCTTTAACTAACAGGCTGGGTCCCAGTGGAAAAGAACAGCAAGCAGTATTGCTGGCATTCTTCTGTGGTGAATTATGAGTTTGGAATTGCCCTGGTCCTACGGCACAATCCTGAAGAGCCTGGACTTTTGGAAATCAGTGCCGTGCCCCTGTCAGAACTTTTAGAGCAAACCCTGGAACTGATAGGAACAAATATCAATGGAAACCCATATGGTGAGTGAGGATGTTTTCCAGAGAGAACGTCCTGTGGTCAGCCCGAGAAACATACTGAAGCAGCAGCGAGTGCATTCGCATCCAGTTCCTAGGAGCACATCCTCTTCTTATATCAAAGAGAAATCTTAGCATCATCCAAATCTTATATTCAAGAGAAAATGTGTGGATGGCTAATCATGGTGATTCATTAATGCGGCAGGTTGCCTTTATCCAATTATCCTTCCCAGGACAGCTCTAACAACTGTGCATGGAAAGTAATTACTGAGATGCAGCTTTGCATTGCTTTATAAGTTTAGGGGAGTTAGTTGGGTGAAATGCGCTGTTCCGTTAGACCATCACTTTAGCCTTAGTAAACACAGGCAAGGGGAAGAATTGGCAACAGATACTGTATAAAGAATGAATGAACCGAAATGAATTGGGTAAATCAGTGGTATGCTGGAGTGCAGAATTGAAAGGAGAATCATAAAATAGAATAAAGACTCTAAAGCTATAATAATTCTAGAGATCAAAAGCTGACTGAAGGTGTAGGGAGGTGGCCCAGTCCAAGAGCCAGAGAGGCACAGATAAGAGGCTATCTGGGCCTTGCAGACAATGTAGCCTAATCACTGAGCTTTAGGAGACATGCCCTTTTTCAAAATATAAGGTGGAAAGCAATTAACAAGTACTCAGTGTTGACCTCCTGTCTCCACAACGCAGTTGCACAAACCTGTATTCCACAGAAATATGTATTCAAACATACACATGTTGTGGGTGTTTGACCCTTTTGGTGTTTGGAAGGGGCCTGCCACCCAGTTCCCAAATAAATCAGAGACTTATTCTTAGTTATGTTCTGCCTTAGCTTGGCTTGTTTCTTGCACTTTTCTTAAATTACCCTTACTACCTTTTGCCTCTAGGCTTTTGTCTTCCTCTATTTCTGCATACCTTTCTCTACTTCTTTCTCCATGGCTGCTGTGTGGCTGGCTCCAATGGCCTTTTCTCCTTGTTCCCCAGTTGCTCCTCCTTCTCCCCAGATTTTTTTCTTCTGTTTAGACTCTCTGACCACTGGCCCCACCTATCCTTGCTCCTGCCTTGCTATTGGCCATTCATCTCTTTATTAGGACCGTCGGGTGTTTTTGACAGGTGCAGTAACACAGTTTTAGAGTTAAGCAAATGCAGTGGAAACACAAGTTACACATCTGAAAATAATACACCCAAATTTAAGTAGGTTGATTGATGGGTATTAAGCTTACATCCAGGATCAAAGATATTAGGTAAACACTAACAGCAGAAGGCAGCTAACTATATAGCACATGCTAGCAGATGTTTTTCTCTGAAAATGTTTGATAGCCAGTGTTTTAAGCTTTGTTAACTGTATCTTTGAAATGGGCTATCAGCAGTACTTACATGAATGGTTAAGGCTACATTCCATTGAAATTACTTACAATAGGTAATAGGTATCTGTCTGGACCTGGTCTGCAGGTCATTGTGCCAACTCCCAGTGTAGAGAGTACACGAAAGTAAGACAGAGTTTTTGGAAATAGTGTCACACTTGAGTGAGAACTGGATGTAATGCACTTTGGATTATTCTCTACAGAAAATCAAATCAAATAACCTTTCTGTTAACATAGCTCCTAAATGTTTAGACATTTATACATTTGGGGAGGTACCTTTTCTCTTTCTGAAAAGAATGTGACTGAGAATGGCTAATGGGAAATTTACCATTTAGGGCTAGGAAGCAAGAGATACCCGCTGCACTTTCTCATACCACATGGAGCCTTCCAAGTAGAAAACCTGCCGACCCTGAAACACAACGACTTGCTGTCCTGGTTTGAAGACTGCAATGAGGGTAAAATCGAAGGGATTGTGTGGCACTGCGGTGATGGCTGTTTAATTAAGGTAATGACCAAGACATGACACTCTGACTCTGGATAGACTTTATTCTGGCATGCAGTTAGTATAATTCCCTATAATTCTTTTTTTTTTTTTGGATTTTCGAGACAGGGTTTCTCCATAGCTTTTTGGTTCCTGTCCTAGAACTAGCTCTTGTAGACCAGGCTGGCCTCGAACTCACAGAGATCCGCCTGCCTCTGCCTCCCGAGTGCTGGGATTAAAGGCCTGTGCCACCACCGCCCGGCTAAATCCCTATAATTCTTGTGAGCTAAAACAGAACTGAGTTGATGGGAAGGGGCAGACAGCACTGTATACAGTGATGGTGTTAGGCCGGGCACTGGCTATCCAGGATGTGCTTCGGAGTTACAGTGATAATGCATTCCCCTCCTGGGGGCTCCTGTGGCCCACTGTGTTCTCTGAGACATTCAGAGCCTACTTTCACTCAGCACTTCGTGTACTAACTTAATAGGGAGTTTAGTAAAAACGTGCCAAGTAGTAGCGTACACAGGATGAACTGTCTTATGCTTTGTGCTCTTTTCCCTGGACTTGTCTGTTTCTCCCTGGTAATTCATAATGTTCATTCAAAACTGAATCTGTTCTTAGGACTCCCGGCTCCACATATTCACTGAAATTAGAAACCTGGACTCATTATTTTTAAGGCTTCCTCCCATTACTTCATGCATCTAGTTGTTCAGTTCTTGAGAAGTCTAATCTACTAAATCTCTGTTCTTTACACTCAGCTAGGCGTGCTCACTGTAATTTAGAAAAGAGTCCTGCTTGAGTTACTACTACATTTCCCTCCCTAAAGCATTCATTGTTCATTACTATCCATTGTGCTCATTCTTTACAAATGAACATTATTTCTTCTGCATAATGCTGCTAGGTATTTTGAGCCTTCCCATGGAATGGCCCCTTCTTAACTCCCCCTAATTGCTTTTCATTACCATCTATGAAAACATAATTGTCTGTCGTGTGACTGTGTGGTAGTCCCGGGGAGATATGAACACTCACTTGCCACAGATAACATGCTGAGGACAGACCAAAGAAAGGACTCCTTAGTGGACCTTAGTGAGCCCCTGACTTTGTTGGGGTTACAGGAATCTGGGAAGGAGCTGCTTACAAGGAGTACGGAGGGCCCAGAAGCAGTAGTCGATAAGGATCAATTGCGATCAATCACTCAAGCCCCCCCTCCCCCCCCAGCTTGAGTGCTGACTCACAAAGCAGCGTCCTGGGAACCCCCTGCACATCCTGGGTAGCTAGCTGTCCTGTGGTAGTGCTGCTGCAAACTCATGGAGCGCCTTAAAGAGCCTCCCTCCCGAGAGGGCGTCTTCATGTGGAGGAAACAGCTACACAACAATGTCCTAACCAACCACCACTTACTCCCTTTGGGAACGCTAGATTCTGCCTCACATTTTCCTTTTTTTTTTCTATATTCACCAACAGACTTATTATATCCATTAAATTTGGGAGGAACCCTTAATTAGGTTCCTGGCATTTTCAGATACGTGCAGAATTAAAAAAAACAATGTCTCTGCCTTCAGGAAAATTCATATTCTAATGGGGAAGATAGACAGCACTATGTCAAAAGAACAGCTATGACATTTAATTAAAATAAGAGTACTATAAGGCAGACCCTTACATTGTATCTGTAGCGGGCACCCAAAGTAAGTATTTACAGGTAAATTAAGATTCTATTTACAAACTAAAGCTAATGTCACATTGTCCTCCTTACAGGTCCATCGCCACCACCTTGGTCTATGCTGGCCTCTTCCAGATACTTACATGAACTCCAAACCAGTTATTATTAACATGAACCTAAACAAATATGGCTATGCTTTTGATAAAGAGTGTTTGTTTAGTCAGTTTTCAAAAATAGATAAGCAGAAATTTGATAGGCTCAAAGATATAATATTTGATGTATAAAATGTAAATATAGTTGGGATTATTGCAGTTTTCTAATATTGAAGAGTCTGCTATGTTTACAGAAGATAAAGTAACTCAAGGTTCTATTTAATTTTGCTAGCTATTTGGCAAACTGTTATAACTTATAAAGATTTATGTATCTGTGTTTATCAAAATCAAAGGATTTGAATATATTAACACAAAACTACAAAATAATTACATCTGAAACTTCAGTTTTAAATGGTAAAATTGTTAAGATTATTTTTATGCTTTTAGAAAATTTAAGACATAAAAATAGGAATATCATACCTTATTGTACACTGGATAGCAATAAATAATTCACGTCTTCAAAAATATACTTTTCTGCCAAGTTAAAACTAAATATGACTTTAAGCAAAAATACAGTATTTTGAGAGGTGAATTCTGTAGTTCAGAGACTGCTTGACTGCCAGCTGAAATTTTTTAACTTATAAAATAATTTTAAATCTACAGTTAAATGTGGTCTTTAATAAATAGGGAAATTATTAGGACTTTCTCTATCTTCCGTCTGTTCAGAAGCAGCAACAGGACTAGGTAATTCAAATCCAAACTGCTCAGAAAGCTTTTTTAACTTCTCTTCTAATAAAATATTCTTCTTCACTTCTTCCTTATAGTTGTACTTCAGGTCTTCAATTTCTTCAAAGAACGAAGGATCAAAATTTTCCAGTTCTTTTTTCAGCTTTTTAATTTCCTCCTGTAAGTCACATAGAGCAATATATGTTTTTCATTTGAAATTTAGAAGATTTGATTACAAACATAAAAACTCAAAGAATATAAACAGTAAAATATAAAGTATAGTGCAATGGAACCTTGCTAACAAAAGTCTTTCTCTGAACTGCATCAGATGTTCTCAGGCAAGCAAAGGGACTCTGCTCTTCATTACATGGAAGTTAATGTCTTAAGAGTTTTCAGTATTTTAACTTTCTGTTTTTTTAACTTTTATAAATAATATTTATGATCATGGACTCCTGGGATTTGTAAAAGTCAAGCTATGAATGTGAAGGGCACATGTGCACCAGTCGCGGTTTACACTGCCCAGTGATGAGCCAGGGCTCACTTCCAGGCTCCTGTGCTCCTGGGTCTTAAGGCAAGGCAGAGCACAGAAAGGTTGTGAGGAAAAGATCTCTGACCATAATTTCAAAAGGTACTTAGAAATACTATTTTCAACATGACCCACAAATTAAGAAAAAATTCTAAAAAACTGTTAAGAGGTAATTTGTTATGGCTTTAAAAGAAATTTATTCTTGATTCCTTTCTATTTGTTTGTCTGATTTTTTGTTGTTGCTAGCTGTTGTCTAATAAAATGTTGTCATGAGTCAAATTATATCCTTAGTACTACTAAGGTAAGTGTGAAATAAATCATGAGTTTTTAGGCACAGACTTAAAGACGGTGATATAAATAAGAAATAAGATATAAATAAGAATTACCATCAAATGTTGCTTGTCTAGGTCTGACTTTCTGAGCTGTGTCTCCAGATCACTTATCTTTTCCTTTAGTTGGTCAGAATCTGCCAAAATAGGAAAATTAGACCCACATTTTTGTTTACTGTGAAAGAGTTAAAGATAGAGGATTTGTTTCAGAATGAACAGGAAGTTTATGAAGCCTACAGTCTGGGATCATCTGGTCCTATATGGCAGGAGCCCTTCTCAGGTATACTTCTATGTTAATCACTAGTAGGTAATGTCATCCACAGCAAGCAGACAGAGGAGTAGCTGCTAGGTATTGGAAAAGTGGGTTATTCCTCTATATGAGAAACATTTCTATTTTTTTAAAAAGAGAAATTCCTATTTTTGAGAGAAAAATCCTACAACCAGTAAAATTTGTTAGGTACAAAATATACAGGCAAAGGACTAAAATGGTAAGCCAGCCATTTATGCTCTCCCGCTACCCCAAATAGCTTTGGCTATTTCCATGTTGTTGTTTTTTTTACACTATGTGCAAAACGTCCAAGACAATGTGTGTGGCGCAGATGAAGGAGCCCAGTCCTGACGGCTCGGTAAGAAGTCAGCTGCTGACACACAGCACACAGTGTCATGTGGCTCTATACACTCATGGACGGTGAAGGGTTTTGTTTTAAAGTTTGAGGAAATAATGAAAACAAATTTTCATGACAAAGAATGGAGTATTTTGCATTGCTTGACGTGGTTCCTATAACTCAGAGACAAAGGGCAAACATAAACAAGGTTTCAAATCATTTAAAAAAACAAAACATTTTCTCTTATAAAGCAAAATCCCCCTTTGATTTTCATGTCACATGGATCCTACATATAAAGAAAAGATGTAATATTTGTCTTCTGAGACTGGTGGCCTGTTTTACTGAACAAGGTAATCTGTAGTACCATTTTCTTAAAAATATTTTTATGAATTAATAAAACTCCCATATATGTGCAGCACATTGTGTCAGTGTATCTGTTGATGGACACATGGGCTGATCCTCTACCTAGCTCCCATGTGGAGTGCCCCAGTAAACATGCATATGCACATGTCTGTTAGTTCATCCACAGTCAGCTCCTATATATTATGTACAGACTGGTGGTCAAACAGTGAAGCAGGAAAATATATAGAACATCTTCCAGAGGTCGTGTAAATGTCCTCATCTTTAAATGCTGATTCAGGAATATCCAAACAGGTTCATTTGGAAGCAGGTACTCTCTGAAATGTGACTGGTACCTTTCCTCCCTTCTCTTAAGACATAAGCAATGTAAGGGTTTGGGCTTAGACAAATTAGAGAACTTGCCTAATGCCAACAGAATTGACAGGTCTTTGTTGTGTGTGCCGAGAGCACACGAAGCTGTCCCCTAGCAGTCACATACCTACTCCAGATAGATGCATGGTGTTTTTAGTTAGCGAAGCACAGTAACCCAGTGGTTAAGACCCTGGCATGGCAAGGAGTTCTGAACTTTCATAGAATTAGTGTTTCACCTTCCTGTGACACTTCTAATCGTTGTGATCTTGAGGATAGGTTATTAATCATTTATCAAATATAAAATGAAGACAACAGTATTGATCCTATGGCATTATAAGAATAAAGTAAAAAATTTGTAAAGTCCTTAGCACAGTGCCTCCCACAAATCATCCTGCACATTAATACAAAGTAGCAGTAGGATTCATTAGTATCTCTGTGAAATAGTTTAAATTATTCAGATATATCCTGTAGGGCAGAACATGACACTTCCATCAAACTATCACATAATGACACGATTATGTTAGGAGATACAGAAGCTTTGGAACTATACCAAGATCCATCCTGGGGTAAACTGCTCACTATCCATTCAATGGCATACTACAGAATTACTGAAACCATGAACGATGTACAGAGCTCAAACGATCTCTGTAGTAAGAGCAGTAAGAGAAGCTAGACATAGAGCATGCCAGACAAAAAAATACAAAAGCTCAATAGACATATAAGGTCTACAATCTTTAATTGTCAAAAACTCAATAGACATATAAGGTCTACACTCTTTAATTGTCAAGTAAAAAACTCAATAGACATATAAGGTCTATACTCTTTCACTGTTAAGTTAAAAACTCAAGAGACATATAAGGTCTACACTCTTTCACTGTTAAGTTAAAAACTCAATAGACATATAAGGTATATACTCTTTAATTGTCAAGTTAAAAACTCAATAGACATATAAGGTCTACACTCTAATTGTCAAGTGAAAAACTCAATAGACATATAAGGTCTACACTCTTTCACTGTTAAGTTAAAAACTCAATAGACATATAAGGTCTATACTCTTAATTGTTAAGCTTTATCCTGTGAACTTGGTACAATTAGCAAATCTCAAACCGCAGTTCCTCGGAATGCAAGTACATGCAAACCCTTGCACAAACTATCACTTTAGATGCTGCAAACAACTCATCCTGATTGATTACATTTTCTTTAGTTTCAAAAGAAAATGCTCTTAAGCCACCTTTCTGAGGTTGTCCCACTGAAAGTGTCAGAGCGAAGATTCAAACTCCCATCAGGCTATAGTTGTTCTGAATGCTTTATCCTAGATCACCTCTGTAGGAAAACTGAAATAATGCCAGACACTACATTGTTGATCCTGAGTGGGAATATGGAGGCTATTATATTTGTCACTGTGCCTGTTTGCAAAAGCATTGTGAATTGATTATAAATTATAATCATTATAAACATATTGTGATAAAAAGTTACATTTGCAAATATAGATCAGCAAGTAATGATCAACTGTATTCTGTATGTGTACACATTTGTTTTGTGTATAACTGTGCAATATAGGGGAATGAATGCTAATTCCAGGACAGGGATTGAAAGGAATTAAAGGAACATTTCTATTTGTGATAGAAAAAATAGTGCTGTAGTTTTAAAATTAAGGCAATTAGTAACATTCACAAGAAAATGTTCATAGGGATTCAAGGACCTATACTTCAAAAGTGGAAACACGGACTGGAGAGAAGGCTCAGAGGTTAAGAGCTCTGGCTGCTCTTCCAGAGGTCAGAGTTCATTTCCCAGCAACCACATGGTGCACACAACCATCTAATGAGATCTGGTGCCCTCTTCTGGCGTCCAGAAATAATAGATGCAGGCAAAACACTGTATACATAATAAATCTTTTTTTTTTTTTTTTTTTTTTTTTTTTTAAAAAAGGAAGATGGAAGCAAAGGACAGCATCAATTGCTTGGAAATATACTATGATTAAGTTTGTAACCCATAGATGAAAAACTTAGGCCATTTAGTATAAGCAATTCGAAGTGTCACAGCCTGAGAGAGAACAGTTCTAAATACTCTTATCAGGGATTTGGTACTATAGAAACACACAAAAGGAAAGCCCTAAGTCAAAAACTTGGGATAGCCAACAAGTTTTACAAAATACATTACCAGGTGTGCTGCTTCCAGCTCTAGGTTGGTCCTTATTAACTTCTATCTGATGGATCAATTCAGCCTTTTCTTTATCCAGCTGACTATTGGCTAATCTAGAGAACAATGATAGCATGTTAGAAAGATAAACAGTGTCACTCTGTAAACTACACAGGCAGCATTTCATCAAGATCACAGCTGACTCTGGTGGTGTATGCTGGGAGGATATCCCTAAGAGATGGCAGCAGGGCCATCAAGGAAAATTTTCCTCTCCAGGCTTCATTGCTTCATTCCTAAACAACACAAAATCTAAGTTTTTCCTACTCTTAGTCCTGATGTTATTTTCAAAAATTCTTTTCTTGCAATGAGAGGCAGCTGCAGAAAGTCCTAGAAGCATAGAATTACTTGTTTCTCTTTCATTAGGATGTGGTTTTTCAATGCTAAAGTTTAATTCTATGCTGCTAGAAAAATTTAAGTTACAATCTGGAAATATTAGTATTTCTTTGTTCACACAAGAGTGAATATATTAGAAGGATGAAATAATAATCAACTTTGAAAAACCATAATCTTTAGGTATAGCGAATCTGGCTGTATAAAATAATTTTCTAAAAATAAAGAGGTGGATAAGGGTGCATGGTGTGAAGCTGATGGCCTGATTTCAGGTCTTGGGAGGAAGAAGCGACTCCTACAAGCTGTGCTTCTTTCACAGGTGGCATGCACATACCACACCCCCCACCCAGAATGTACATGTGTACACACGCACACGCAAAGAGAAAAAAGACGTTAAAGACATTTAATATTTAAGTAGTCAAATAATATTAAGTAGTCAAATGTATGTACCTAAGGCGCTGGAGTTCCCGCATAAGCCCTTCATCTGTCTCCACACCTTCAGGAACATTTTTGAGCATCTCAATCTTTGAGCACAATGAAAAGTTAGTTAGAAGATAAAAGTTCAGCATGGAAATAAGACTTTTTTTTTTTTTGGATTTTTGAGACAGGGTTTCTAGGTAGGTTTTGGTTCCTGTCCTGGAACTAGCTCTTGTAGACCAGGCCGGCCTCGAACTCACAGAGATCCGCCTGCCTCTGCCTCCCGAGTGCTGGGATTAAAGGCGTGCGCTTTGGGTCTTTGGAAGCATGAATTCCCAGAGCTGTGTTCTAGTCTATGCATCCAAGTTATCAAGACTTGAGCAGCTTCCTACTGAGGCCCAGGTAGCAAGGACAGCACATAGAATGGCTGGGATCTCATACAGAGGTGTCTGACTTTTACTGAGGAAAAGAAAGCAGTGATGCTGTCATGATATGAGATGGGATGGGACATGGCAGGATGGGGAGAAAGCACTGTCTAGGAGAAGAATCTAGGGAAGACAGGGTGACAGACTGTGCAGGTCTAGTCCCTGAAGGGCCTCCATTTAACACAGAAGTTCTGGAGCCACTTATAAGAATACTGGGAATAGTGATGAGTGTTCTAGACAGCAAGCAGGTATAAAAAGCTGAAGTCAAAATGACTTTCAGTTGCTCAAAGGTTCGAAAGGGTTAATGCTGGGAACCAGGTTGTAGAAGATGCAGGCCATATACTGTATCTCTATCTATACACAGGCTGTGAAAAGAACTGTTACAAAGTTTCATTCATGGTGAAGGGGATAAAACTCCTCCAGTTTGCTCCATACCCTATAGGACTATTTGACAACCATGTGGAGAACAGACCAGTAGTACAGGAAAGGGGAGAGGATGCAAGTGGAAGCCAGGGCATAGTCAGGAAACTGCTCAGCCAGTCAGGCCTAAGATGATGGCTTCCACGTGGAGCACTAGCCAGATCTGGGGTGTACTTTGAAAACTACCCCACATGATTAATCATGAAGAAGAAGTGGGGAGTAAGAGAATGAAGTAATCTCGTCTGAGCTGACGTTAAGTAAGTTAAGTACCACCCGCTGGAGGAGCCTCCGAGGGCGAACACTATTTAGGAACTCATTGTTTTCACCTTCAGGCAGTTCTGGGATTGTCTTGACATATATTACACTGTTTTATCATTAAGAGACGATTACATGCCTGTTGTTCAAGATCTTCCATGTGTTTCTTAGCTTTCTGTTCTCTCTCTGTTGCTTCTCGTACAAGCTGTTTAAGGTCAATTATACTTTGATTCTTTTTGGCAATATCACTTTCGAACTCTTTCATCTTGGTCTCATACATTCTAAAAATATAAAGGAAAATTATTATGGGCATTAATATGTAATTTCTCTCACTAATTTAAAAGTCAACTTAAATCATGGTAATATATGCAAGACTACATAATACTATTTCTTCTAGTCAAACCTTCGGCTACATATTTAGGAGTAAAAGGTGATGTTAATAAATAAGCACCTTAATTAACACACATGCTAATTAAAATAGAAAATTAATGTGATCTTAAAGAGCCTAAGATCTGAGGTGGAGACTGACTTCGGCAACTGTGAAGCTTTTAGGTTGACATCGTATTTTAGGCATAAGAAAACACCTAACTCATCAGACTGCACAATGTTCCCCCACTTCCAGCACCTCCCCTCTCCCTGTTCAGGTAGAAAGAGCCCACGGGCACCACAGAAAAAACAAGCTGTTCCGAGGCAGGAGTGAGAGAAACACTGTGCACTGTGGAATGGATGGAGCAAAACAGATTTATAACAATAAGAAAATGGCAAATGGACTAAAAAAATCCAGGCTCAAAAGAAATCTTCAAAATTTTGTTGATCCCAGCCGGGCGATGGTGGCGCACGCCTTTAATCCCAGCACTTGGGAGGCAGAGGCAGGCGGATCTCTGTGAGTTCGAGACCAGCCTGGTCTACAGAGCGAGTTCCAGGACAGGCTCCAAAGCCACAGAGAAACCCTGTCTCGAAAAACCAAAAAAAAAAACAAACAAAAAAAACAAAAAAAAATTTTGTTGATCCCAATAGTTTAACAGGCATATACTCACAGGAGGATGATGTTTACTGTATTCAAACCTTTCCGGAGGAAAGAAATATGTAATGTCTTCTAGATAATTTAACAAAGGGTGGTAATGATTTAGAGAAAGTATCTGACAAGGACAGCATAAGGAATGGCAGTTATGATTACATAAATTCTTTCAAATAATTCTGGGCAGACCTTACAAACAGATTAGAAGGGTGTGCTTACTTGACTGGACCAAAGATATACCAAATGCCAATGTTAAATCCCCGAAGCTCATTCCTCCACTTCATCCATTCCTCTGTTCAAAAGCCACTGTGGTGGTCTGAATGAAAATGACCCACCTCCACAAATAGGCTCATATGTTTGAATGCTTATTACCAAAGAGTATATAACTCTATGAAAGGATTAGAAGGATTAGCAGGCGTGGCCTAGTTGGAGAAAGTGTGTCAGTGGAGGTGGACTTTGAGGTATCAAAGGCCTTGCCAGGCCCATTCCTTGCTCTGTGTGCTGCCTACAGATCTGGATACAGTTCTCAGTTACTACACTAGCATCGTAGCCTGTCTGTGTTCCATCATGATAATAAACTAAACCTCTGAAGCTGTAAGCAAGCCCCTAGTCAAATGCTTTCTTTTATGAGAATTGTTCTATAGAATAAAACAGTGAATGACTAAGAAAGCCACCCAAGAATAAAGTCCTTCATCATGAGATTACCCCATCTAAATAGCCTATACACTACCCTGGCCCCTCTTAGCCGTCAATAGGTGCTGAGAACACTCAGCACGTGGAAGGCCAAGATAGAGCTTGAGACCAGCCTTAAACAGTATGACTGTTTACTGAAGATGCTGCCTATATGCAGTTCTCAGAAAAACTCAAAAATGCTTTACCATGAAAAGTCATCTTCAATTAAGGGTAAATAGTGCCATCAACCCACAACTGTCTTAAAACTAAAGAGTTTTACATGAAAGTAGGTAAGCATTTTTGTTACCTCATAAAAACAAGAGTTAGTTATAATTTATGCAATGTCACCGTGAAAAGCAGGTCTTCCTAAGTGATGGAGGCTGGGCTTTCTAGACAGAGCCTGGAGCACACAGTGTGGCAGCGGATGCTGAGTGAATACTAGTGGAGTACATTAGCTCAAAGTCACTCAGCCTATGTGGCAACATAAGAAAACAGTGACCCTTAGAAGTCAACTGCTGGCTCAAAGTCCCAGGGGTCCCAGACGACGAGACTGTTCTCCCTTCACCCTGTTCCACTTGTTGTCATTGGTGTCAGCATTCCCAGTCTGAAAGTGGGAAGTCTCTGGACACTGACTGCTCCGGGTAGTCTAGGGCAGGACTTTAGCCATCTCTCTGAGTGCTCTTGAATATACCGACTTAGCTTTTTCTTTTTGTCTTAAAATTGGCGGACAGAAACACATGCAATATAAGGCCCACTACAGAACAAGCTGTCTCACTTTTTAGTTGGAGTGACAATGGGTGTCATGTTTTCTGTCAAGTCATTCCAAACAGACAAAGCATATTGGCCTTCAAGGACATCACAGGGAATGTGTAAGTGCAAGGACCTAATCAAACATGGTAAAATAAAGTTGGCTTTCACAGCCATATAGTTAAGCCCTAGGCATAAACCCAATATCTTTATAGTGTTCACAGGAAAGGAGAAAGTGAAGGCCAATAAATACTAACATGCTGCTATATTCATCTATTGGACTCTCTGTAGAGAAAGTATACAACTAAAAGCAGTGCAGCTCATCCTAGATCCAGAACAGCATGGATTGAGAGAAAATGGCCCAATTGTTTAGGACATATCTGCGGTAGAAATATGTGAACAAAACAAGAAGCTGCAGTTGAAGTTGCAGGAACCCATCATTCAGGAGAAGCTGGGCAGCATCAGCCCTAGCCCATGACAACAGCTTCATGATGCACAACGAGCTCCAGAGAGTTAGCTCAGTTTCATCTGTGCTTTGCGCTGCAACCTGCCAATAAAACTAACTAAACACTTAAGGAAGAAACAGAGTTTTGTCATTTTAACTCAGAAAGAAAAACCATTGATAAGCACCAAACTGTTGTTCAGGAAATAATTGGGTTATTCAGCATACTGTCATCTTTCAAGTCAATAACGCTAGAGTTATTAACTCTTTAAACATCAGACAAGTGTGAAACTGATCCCTACCTGGTAACCACAATTGACTTCCAGCTCTTGCTGTCAGCACCTTCCAGCTGTGGCCCTCTCTGTTCTGCAAACTGTAATCTCTTGGCCATCTCTTCGAGTTGAACTGCCATCTTGTCATTGACCAGCTCTAGGCTGTGCTTAGCTATCCGCAGTTTCTCGGAAGCTTCCATTTCCTGTCAGTAAAGGCTTGTTGGTATATCATTGACAAACATAACACTGTTCACACAGATACCAGGCATAGAAAATTATCACTATATGCTGGAAAATATAAGACAAGCTGGAGCTATATTGTTTTAAAACTGCAAAAAGGTTTGTTTTCCTCTACAACAGCAGTCTATTCATAATAATTAGTACAAAAGATAAAATAAATGAAGGCAGAGAAACATATTTACAAGAAACTTTGTTTCTCAGGGAAATGTTCAGAATAATGAGATAGTTAACCTTGTTACACCTTAAAATGAAGCACGATTATTAAAAACTCAGAGAGAGAAATTGGGGTTCCATCTGAGGGTCCAAAAAGCAAAGCAGCCAAGCCACTGGTTCTTACTTCTACCTCAGTCCGAAATGGCAATCCTGCTTCCAGGAATCTCAGAACGAGACGGTGAGCTGTCTCCTTGCATTTTATAATCCTCTCTAGGGCTGGGAATAAAGGCGTGCACTGCCTAGTTTCTATGGCAACTAGTGTGGCTACTGGGATTAATGGTGTATGTTGCCAATGCTTGGTCTATAAGGCTGATCAGTAAGTAGAGCTGTTTTTCTCTGTGATCTTCAGGCAAGTTTTATTTACTAAAATAACAAATGAAATGCTATTACATTAAAAGATGCTTGTTTTGACTCTGTAATACTTAAAGGAGTGCTGCCCATTAACACACGTAGTATGTAAGTGACAGATTATTCCCAGTAGTAAAGATTAAGATTCAATATAGCACAGCTCTGACTTCACAATACAGTTACTGTTTTAAAAGTCTTTAGATTAATGATCCCAATTCATTCACTAGATAATGTAAGTTAAAAATAATACCTATTTGTCAGGAGTAAGGGACATTTCACCATTTAAATATAAAGGAATCTTAATAAAGAAATGGTTTTGTTCTTTGCTCTTCAAGTTGTTCATTGCTCTAAGTCATATGGATAAATATTAACTCATTTAAACGGTTCAAGAGCCCTGTGTATGTATATGTATGTGTATGCATATTTCTTTTTTAAGCTGGGTTCTCTATGTAGCCCAAGCTGGTCTCTTTCTTACACTGCCTGGATACTGGGATGACAGGCATTCAACCCCAGGCTTAGCTAAGACACAGGTATATTTACTACTCCGAGTTTCATATACGAGGAGCTGGAGGAACAGAGAGACATTATCCATCTTGGAACGATTCCCAATAAGTAGGAACAGAACCAGAGTGAGCAGTTTCTTCATGATGCCACCTTAGCTCTAAATTTGCATATAAATGTACCAATTGATGAAAATATAACTCTTAAGATCTACTGTAAACAGACACTGGCATCAAGGCTCTATTGATTTTAATTTTGCCAAGTTATGTCACTTAATGACAATAAAGGTAACCTGTCATAAACATCTTACTTTCTTAAGTTCTTTCCGAAGCCGTTCATTTTCGGCAACAATTTTCTCGGTGCCTTTGTTCTTGGATTCATATTGTGTACTCAAATGATGTCCAAAGTGAGCTTTAAGCTTTTCTAATTCAGTCTGGTAATTAATAAAGCAACATATTAAAAAAAATCAATAAAATGATTATTTATATGGAATCATACAAGCAAAATTAAATGGACTCTGCAAGTTTATTTATGGATTTATTCACATTATATGTAACAAATAAGAAAGAATTTGGGAGGAAGTAAGGTAGAGCAGAAAGGGAGGTGATGGGGGAGGTGAGGAAAAGGGGCAAATAAAGCAATTATATTTTAATTCGCTTAAATAAAAAAATAAAGATTACTATTTAACTCATAAAACTAGTTTTAGATACCTTACTTGATATGACTACAATTGAAGACTTTCCCCAAACGACTTATCTATAGCCAAAGTTTGTATCTAACCTTGTCTGTACATTAAAATTATGTTAAGATTTAAAGGAAATACGAGAGACCCCCACAGAATCCCCCCTTTACAAATCAAATCTAAATTAGACATACATAATTTATCACCAGAAAGAACGACTGGTTCAGAAACAGTAAGAATGGAGAAGCAGGGCCATGCTCTAGCTACCTTTAGATTTCTGACTGTCAAGTGCAACCACATCCACTCAGGACATTTGGTGCAGTGAGTAGATTTAATATTTTCCCTAAAAATGTAAATAAAAACAGTAAAACAATTCATATAAAATCAAATAAAAATTACCTTTAATTTTTCATTTTCTTCTTCAAGATTAGTCATTTTTTCACTAGTCATTATTCCTGATGCTTTTTTCAATTGTTCGTTTTCTCTTTGGACTTTTTCAACCACTTTCTTCATTAACCCAATAGTTTTTTCTAGCTCTGGAATTGTCTTTCCACTTCTACCAGACTACAAGGGAATAAACAAACTTTTAAAAATTCATATCTTAGAGACTATGATGTACTAATGCCAAAAGAGGTCTATTTGTTTAACAATATTTGTTTAACAATGCAGAGGTGTATTGTATTCTTTTATGTTGCGTTTGCTTAACCCTATGAAGTTGTGGTACTTTGCCTATCTAAAACACCTGATTGGTCTAATAAAAAGCTGTATGGCCACTAGCTAGGAAGAGAGAGAAATAGTCAGGGCTGGTAGTCAGAGAAAATAAGAGAAGAATGTGAAGAGAGAGGATCGGGAAAAGGAGGAGAGGAGAATTAAAGGGGTCAGCCACCCAGCAACACAGCCTGCCACCGAGTAAGAAGGAAAGAAAAGACATACAAAAACAGAAAAATGTAAAAGCTCAGAGACAAAAAGTAGACAGGATAATTTAGGTTAAGAAAAGCTGCTAGGAACAAGCCAAGGTAATTCTGGGCATTTATAAATAATAATAAGACTCTGTGTGTTTGTTTGAGAGCTGGGTGGCAGACCTCAAAGGAGCAAAGACAAAAAAAAAATAACCAACAGCATTACTGTACTTATCATTAATAATTGCTGTTTTCTGTACAGTGGTTCTCAACCTATGGGCCATGACCCTTTGGAGGTTGAACTTTCACCAGGGTCACCTACGATCATCAGAAAACACAGATATTTATGTTACGATTCAGAACAGTTGCAAAATTACAGTTATGAAGTGGCAACGAAAATAATTTTATGGCTGGGGGTCACCACAACAGGAGGAACTGTATTAAAGGGTCGCAGCATTAGGAAGGTTGAGGATCATTGCTCTGTTTCTGTGCACAGAGTAAAAAGACAAAAGTGAAACAATGTGTCTACACAGTTCAGGAGTATCATTATGAAGGCAATTTTCTCTAATAGCTGTGGCTTAGAAATCTGGTTTCTGTTAATATATGATCTAGTGAGGACATCAACAAAGACAATTCACTAGTTATTTAGCTAATTTTCAACAGCTGAGTACATGAAGGTGCTTAACTCCTCGCTGGGCAGGACAGGGCTGCTGCAGTGATGAACTCACAACAGCTGGGGGAAGAGGGTCCTAAACCTATGAGTTGTAAACGTGATGAGCTCTGGGAAAGCAGGGTCAGTTTCTTATTACAGGTCTGGCTCAGGGTAGGTCGACCATGTTTTATGGATGACCGTACACCCAGAAGTATGTGAACAGCATAAACTGAAGTCTATGCATTATTAACTTAAAAAAAAAGTATATAAGGTTGGAGGGTTAGGGTTAGGAAAGGGGGGTGGACTGGGGAAAAAGTATGGGGGAGGAGTTGGAAGTGGGTATGATCAACATAAATTGTACCAAATTTTCAGAGAATTAATAAAACTACTAAAATTTTAGTTAGCATTCATAATATACAATGAAAAATTCTAAAACAAATATTTATATAAAACTTTAATATACACTTAGAAAATGTCAAATATTCTTTTTTATTCTTGTACTCCTTAAAAAAGATAAAATTATATGCATATTTATTGTACATAAACAATTACATATTTTCACTTTGAAACAAATGTTTACTGTCGATATTTGTTCCGAGAACTTTCTATTAATACTCAGTGTTTTCACAGAATGCATCATGTATGTCATAGTATTATTACCTGAATAACTTTTGTTTTATGAGAGCTTCAGTTTATACCACTCTACCACCCAAAATCAAAAGGAGCTTAAAGCTTTGGCGTCAGCTTCCTAAGAACACAAACTCACCCCTCTGACCTGACCAAGTTTCCGTTCCAGGTCCATTTTTCCTTTCTTAAGAATTTCACACATTTCCTTCAAATCTCTTACTTGATTCTAAAACATAAAAGAAAATACAGTAATCTGTCATGATGATAATACAGTCTTGAAAAAGAGGAAGAAAGCATAAAAAGTCTTAACTATACAACCAAACTCAACAGCTGTGTCTCAAAAAAAATTTGATATCAGACATGTGCTGGCTTGTTTTAGTTGGGCTTAACACAAGCTGGAATAACCTGAGAGAAAGGATCCTCAACTGAGAAAAGGCCTCCAGAAAGGCTATAGGTCTGTGGAGTTTCCTAACTAAAGACTGATGTGGGAGAGTCCAGCTCACTATGGGTGGTGTCAACCATGCAAGTGGTCCTGAGTTTTACAAGAAAGCAGGCTGAGAAAGCCCCAAGGAGCAAACAGGTAAGCAGCTTTCCTCCTTGGACTCAGTTCCTGCCTTCAGGTTCCTGCCCTGGTTTTCCCTGACGGACTAAAATGAAATAAACCCTTTCTTCCCCAGTTGCTTTGAGGAAGTTTACAACAGCAATTGAAACCCCAACTAAGACAACACATTACATAAATTAAAGACTACTAAGCATATGGCCATTGGCCAACCCTGAGTTGCTGTCCCACAATGCACAAACACAGACAATTACACAGAAAAAGGACTGAGGGCATCGCACTGATTTTTTCAGAGTAGAAATCAGAATGAGAAGCATGAAGGTTAATTGCATCACCACCAGTGGAAATGACAGAATGATAATGTTCTTGATTAGAAAATAAGATTGAAACAGCCAAGAAAAAAGCTACCACCATAGGTAAGATACAGAAAGTCAAAGATAAAAAAATTTTTAGAAGTAATACTTCTAAAGAAACAATACATTTCAATTATTACAATTACTAATGAAATATAAAAAATATCTTCTTACCTTGTAACACACGAACTTGACACTTCTATAGTCTCTTGTCTGGAATTATTATCAGTACAACCCTCTTTGTGTGGAACTCTTAGTGTCAGCATGACTCCTCACTTCTCCACCAGCCCTTCTCTGCAAGCTCTCTCATTATCCTAATTGCTTTCTATTAATAATACTTCCTATTTTCCTAGCACTTCCCATCAGCAGAGAATGACACCACTCTGTTTGCTTGTTGACTGGCATCTTTCTCAGTGGAAGATATTTTATTAACGCTTGAATTTACATTTTTAATCTCTAGCCCCTAAAACCATAAAGTGGGGACTCAATAGATGCCTCTTAAATGAGGAAATGTATGTAACATAACATCACAAAGATAAAGATACCTTATGAATATGCATTTTAGAAAGTAATATAAGTAAATTTCAATGTATCAAGTTAGGTATTTTTATAAAATTAAATTTACCTTTAGTCTTGGCAAATCTTTATTTGCTTGTTCAAGTTGAAATTTCAGCTCAATATTTTCAGATGACAGCTTCAAGTTCTCTTTCTGCAGTCCTTGCTCTTTCTGACAATGATCATCTGACTCTGAAGTCTGGAAAATGAAGTTTAGAATATGTTCAACACTTAATAAAAGTCACAAAGACATACTCTGTAACATTGTCAAAGGTGAATTTTTAAAAAGGAATATGGGTGGAAAATGGAAAACATCACATAAAACCAAAACCAAGAAAGATAGATTAGAAGCTTCCAAAGAAGGTAATTTTTAAGAATTAAAACAGAAAGCAAAGTCAGATATGGCTTAAAAATCTATAAATACAGTGATTTCATAGATTTTCTTATAATGTTTAAACTATCCTATACTGGTTTTGTTAGTTCAAAATAAAGGTTATCAAATTGAGAGGGATAAAACTGTTCCTCCCCATCTCAGAATGTGATCTGGTTTGCCTTACAGAAATAACCAAGTTAAGAGGTGTTGCGGGGGGACGCTTGTTTGTCCGGCCACCAAGAAACTGTATTAATTAAAACACTGCTTGCCCATTAGCTCTAATTTAACCCATTACTATTAATCTGTAATTCTGATGAGATATGTAACAGAACATTGGCAGGAAGGCAGTTTTGGTCAATTTTTTTTTTTTTTGTTACAGGATGTATATACATAAAGGCAATGGCAAGAAAGAAGATACAATCTATCTATCGTGATGGGCATAAGCCATACTAAGTAACAGGTCCTACTTATCACAGGGCCCAAGTGTGTATGCAAGCTCCTCTACGATTAGTCTACTACATTTACACAGCTGACAGCTTTGGCATCTTGGATGGTTTTATGGTCTCCATCAAACATGGAAATCTTTAACTCTCTACTCCTAAGCTATTTTCTCTTCCTGAAATTTGTCTACTTCTGGTAGATAGCTGGTCTGAATAGTGATAACAGTACCAATGACTGCCTTATAACAACTTATTAATGACTTCACAAAAATTTATTAATGAATTTAATTTAAGACTTCTAGAAAAGAGTATATCTGCAGATTTTACATGAAGGTATATTAATATATTTCTTATCACCCCATGAATGTAATTACTATATAATAAATTTTCAACTTCTCCTCTTACTTTCTGAAAATAAAGTTAAAAACAATTATGTGGATTGTCCAAATTTCTGGAAAATTGTATATTAATAGGTGTTTTTTCTTTTATAAATCCTACATTCTTTGTTATATTGTCACTCTGTATATGGCTTTTACTGAGGAAGCTCAGCTAAGAAAGAAAAAGGCCTACAGTGTGCTCAGAGCAGGCACTTTTCAGGACTGACACATGGGTTTCATATCTGGCCTATAAAGCATGCTCAGCAGACTAGTGCACTGCATCCGCATGGTGGCAACATCACGGCCCTCCTCAGTAGGTCCACTTGGACCAACGTTATGTGAGTGACATTTCTGGCTACATGTCCTTTCATTTTCTTATCCTTACCAGCCCTATTCATGTTCTCAGTTTTATGTTTTAGATTTTCATTTTCACAAAATTATTAATTTTCTTACTTTTAGGAACTGATATATGTTCATAATTCAAGTTGAAAAAATCCATGAAGCTGACCTAATTTTGCTTGATAAACTATTTGGTATTGTTTACATACTTAATTCAGTGGGATCAACAACATTTATGAAATACCACAAAATATTTGTAGATAGCCAATGATGTAACTCATCAGTGACATTTATTTCTTCTCAGTTTTGGTTCTGAGTATGGTTATATGGCATTTTGTCTTAGCTTAGCTTTGCTTGTATTTTTTGTTTTTATGAACACTAATAGTGGTGGAACCCAGATGGACCACACTGGAGAGGAAACGGGCATGCAGCACACTTGCTAACCATCACTTACCAAATATGACGCACAGCAGCGTCTCTCTCTGTGATGAAGGTTTAGACACAGCACAAGGATTTAAGATTAACCTTTGTTCCATCAGTTTAGACAAAACACAAGGACTTAAGATTCACCTCTGTTCCATCAGTTTAGACAAAGCACAAGGATTTAAGATTCACCTCTGTTCCAACAGTTAGGGTTAAAGAGATAGTTCAGCATTAGTTAGTAAAAGTGTATGTGTTGTGTCAGCATTAATGAGGAGGAGCTAATGTTTCTATTCAGATGATGAATGTAATTGCCCTTTTATGCCTTATAAAGGAGGGGGCTGGAAGGAAGATATATACTTACCAAAGACTGAGGATATGCATCCTTTGATAGCTGTTTTTCTAAAGTACGAAGTTTTTCTTGAAGATATTTATTTTGTAAATGTAAATCTTCCACAACAGAATCTCGTGGAAGAGCTTGGTGGGTCCTGTGAACAACAATCAGACGATTATAGAAACTCACTTTTTCTCAAATATATTATATTATGATACAGAAAAGAAATAAATGTGTGTGTGTGTGTCTGTGTGTAAATACTATAACTTAAAATTTTCAAATTTCCAAAGTTCATGAGAAATAAATTAGAATCATAATTTATATTAAAAAATAATCCAACAATCTAAAATGGCTGAAAGACACTTAAGGAAATGTTCAACATCCTTAGTCATCAGAGAAATGTAAATCAAAACAACTCTGAGATTCCATCTTACACCTGTAAGAATGGCAAAGATCAAAAACAACGATGACAACTTATGCTGGAGAGGTTGTGGGGAAAAGGGATCACTTCTGCATTGCCGGTGGGAATGCAAGCTGGTACAGCCCCTTTGGATGTCAGTGTGGCGATTTCTCAGAAAATTAGAAAATAACCTTCCTCAAGACCCAGTAATACCACTTTTAGGTATATATCCAAAGGATGCTCAATCATGCCACAAGGCCATGTGCTCAATTATGTTCACAGCAGCTTTGTTTGTCATAGCCAGAACCTGGAAACAACCTAAATGCCCCTCAACCAAAGAATGGATAAGGAAAATGTGGTACATTTACACAATGGAGTACTACACAGCAGAAAAAAATAACAGCTTGATTTTGCAGGAAAATGGATAGAGCTAGAAAACATCATTTTGAGTGAGGTAACACAGACACAAAAAGACAATTATCACATGTACTCACTCATAGTTGGTTTCTAAACATAAAGCAAAGAAAGCCAGCCTACAAACCACAATCCCAGAGAACATAGACAACAATGCAGACACTGCGAGACTTACATAGATCTAATCTACATGGGAAGTAGAAAGTAGAAAAAGGCAAGATCTCCTGAATAAATTGGGAGCATGGAGACCTTGAAGGAGGATTGAAGGGGGAAGGGGAGAGGCAGGGAGGGGAGCTGAAAAATGTAGAGCTCAATAAATATCAATAAAAAAACAATCCAACAGAGACTTCTTTATCCATCAGCTAAAGTGTATTCCAATAGAAACACATGAACATTTTAAAGTGCATTAGTTTACATGGAGTTATGCAGAAGAGCTAAAACACCCACTATCTTAAAAACATTACATAATAATTGCATACCATGTATTTCGTTCTCAAAAAGCTTCAGGACCCAACAAAGTTCTAAAGTTTTCAATATATGTTGTCATGTCAAGTCCAAACTTAACAGGCTGGCTACAAGACCCACTTTACTCTAGCACAAACAAATCTGTGAAACCTTGTTGTCCAGGATGTTTCCCCGCTTAACAAATACATGCATACTTAATGTGAAGACAATAAAATTCACTCTTATCTCTATATCTTTACTAAGATTTTGTCTAAGTCATATCCTTCCTCTCTTTAATATATGAATTTAATAAATAAAACTCAGATGTTCAAACTTCTTAAATCTGGAGACAAAATTCCCTTGCTTCTCTTTTCTGCCTGCCTCGTGCCTGCTTAGGTACATGTGTTTAGCAGTCAAAGAATAGAATATAAGTATTTAACTAAAGTCCAGTTCTACCCAAATAACAATGCTGAGAGACACTGGGAGGATCACAACAATAGCACGGGAAGCTCCAGAGAGGAATGGTAAAGAGCTGCCTATGCGTACTGGAAGCAATACATTTGTATTTCCACATGTACGAGCCAGCAACCTCCACAGCACAGGCTCTCTAACTCCATGCAATGGATTACCTCATGTGTAGCAAGTCATTCTCTAAGTCCACATTTCTCTTTTTTAACTCTTCCAGCTCTTTCTCCGACTCCAAGGCTCGCACTCCTAAAACCTGATCGACAGTCATGCCTGTTGTTTTCAGTTTCTTCTGCAGTGTAAGTTTCTCTTTATCAGCTCTGTAGAGTTTAGTAAGGAACAACAAGAATGGATCTTTTACAATTTCTGCGTGGTTTATTAAATCGTAGTTCAGTCATCATCGATTTCATATGCAGTAAGTGTACCATTCTGTAGTTGGTATGAACTTATGTGACAATCATAGATAATTCATTCATAGGTAAAATACATTTTACCACATTTTAAAGACAATAAAATATGAATCATAAATAACCTAAACTAGCAAACTTGTCATTTATCAAATAAAATAAACTACATGATTTCAGGATAAAAATTTACACAGTATTAGTTTTATAATGAAATTTAAACTCACTTGGCAAAAAGCTCCTTCAGAGTACTCAGCTGCTTCGCTAGACTGTGGACTTCCCCTTCTTTCTCTTTTAGTTTGCTGCGCATTCCCTCTACTTTGGTTTGCCACTTTTTACCTTCTTCCCACCTAATTAATTCTTCTCTAGCACTCTGTAAACAGCAACAAATGGGTTACAAAACTGCTGGTGTTACTTTTAGTCTCATTTTAAATGCCAATCCACATTTTGAACTATGCTTTCAAGTTAATATATAAATAGTTCATTCTGCTTCATAAATTCTAGAACCATTAAGTATGGCAAACTATTAGAAAAAAGGCCTTCAATTTAAGTAGGCTTTGTGGATTACTTGACAGGTAAGTCTTAGGGAAGATCTGAACTAATTCCAATAACCTTAAGAAGCCAAATGAAAATTTACATACATGGTTTACTTAAGGAAGCTTCTAAAAATAATTCTATGTGAATGACCACTTCAATCTTGTTATAGCATCGCATTTTCCTAATACTGTAGCTCACTCTGGTCTAAATGCACATTACTTTACCATCCAATTGTATTTACTTAGTGCTGCCCATGTGCCTGCTGTTTTCTAGATATGAAGAGCAAAAGATGTATAAGCCAGATATAAAGGCTATAAAGGCCAAGGTTTGCAAATCTTACAATTTTTATTTGTTGAACAAACTTGAGTGGTGGCAATATACATAATAAAAAGTTATACATATACTGAGTAAGTTAAGTGGTGATAAATGCTATTAAAAAATAGAAAACGGCAGGCTGTAGGGTCTTATAGGAGTAAGCTCTCTGGTAACAGTGATGGTAGTGGTATGGTTGCTAGTATTACAATAAAAGCTACACAAGAAAGCCATGTGATACACAACAGTCCTATGTTCTGAACAAGTCCTCCTGGGAGTTTACATAGTTAAAACAGTTCTCACAATTGTATTGACCAAGAATTTAATTCCATTTTACCATATGAACACCAAAATTTTTTACGTTTTCCTTATACCTTGAATTTAGTAAGAATACAATTGCCCTTTAAAATAAAGCTTAGGCATAATTTTGCTGAAAATACTACCAACAATTGCTTACCATACTGGAAATCAAATTATGAGCAGCAATACAATTTAGATCATTTGAACTGTAATTGGAACATATTTTTACAAAATATACATCAGAGTCTATTAGAGCTCTGAACTCACAATAATGCTACATAAGGCCCAAATACACGGCTACCTTATTTTTCTAGTATACATGTTTATATATGAACAATGTATTATCATGCTCATTCTTTTATAAATTATTTTTACACTTTTACCAATTTCATTTAGTACATTTATAACATTGAAATTATAGAAGCTTATGTTGACTTTAAATTTCATTTAGACTAGTATGGGAAATATTATAAAACATAATGTTTATTATAAATGGGATGTCATGTCTAAAAAAATATATTTAAGCTATGTGAACAAAAAAGCAAAAAAGAACTGGAACTAAGAATTGGAACAGAAAATTGAAACAAAGGAGAACTAGAAGGAATTAGAGCTTAGGAGAAAATTAGAAAACAAAAAATAGAATAATAAAGAGCATGACCAGAATAGCATATGTATGAATTTCTCCCATACCCCTCAGATAGAGGAACCTTAAGTTCAGTTTCACTATGCTGTGGGGTTTTCTACAAACCCTGGGAGTAGCCTTGAGAGCTGGTCTTTCAGCCTACCAATACCCTTCAATATGCTTTCTCCAAATTAGTTTCTAACCTTATTTACTCAAGTCAGCTTATAAGTATCCTTTTGAAATTACAAAACATTTCCTGATATTTATTTTTTACTGTATTCAGAGAGTAATCTGACTTCTAGAAATATAAATAATCTCTGGGAGAATGAAGTAAGCGATTGGCAGCAGGTAAGGGAACCCTTCACTAGGACTGAGCAATGAGATGAGCAGATAGATGGGGAGCATGGTACACTCATGAGCTACAGGATGTAAGAGACACAGACTGCATTGCAGTATCAGGAACGGACATGGAGGTGCACTCCAGGTGTGACCTCAAGGGCAGTGCAACTCTTCTAAAGGTCAGAAAGCTGCCTTAGACATCTCAGCCTTATTCAGTACCATAAACAGTGTGTCTAAAACTATTAGAGTAATTTCTGTTTATCAATAAATGCTCCACTTAGTGTAAAACTATTAATTTCTGTTTATCAATAAATGCTCCATTTAGTGTAAAACTATTAATTTCTGTTTATCAATAAATGCTCCATTTAGTGTAAAACTATTAGAGTAATTTCTGTTTATCAATAAATGCTCCATTTAGTGTAAACTATTAATGAGTGCATTAATAATAATAATAATAATAAGTGCTCCATTTAGTGTAAACTATTAATGAGTGCATTAATAATAATAATAATAATAAATGCTCCATTTAGTGTAAACTATTAATGAGTGCATTAATAATAATAATAATAATAAATACTCCATTTAGTGTAAACTATTAATGAGTGCACTTCACAGACCTTCTCCTTCACTGGTTTTATGTCGACGTCATCCATCTTTCTTTCCAGTTGGCTTTCAAGTTTTTTAACTTTTTTTTGAAGTTCATCAATTAAACTTTGCTTATTATCTAGCAGAGGTTTGCTCTGAAAACATTAAGATATAACTTTACATGAGAAATATCAAAGGACACATTAAACATTCTAATTACAGAAATTTTGTGAAGCTAACATTAATCATGTTTTCTAACATGAAAGTAACCACTGTACATGGCCCGCTACAGACAAATACAACAGAGGTCACTCAAAGAACTAATCAAAGAGCTGGGTGGTGGTAGCACACACCTTTAAACCCAGAACTTGGGAGGCAGAGGCCAGTGGCTCTCCAAGTTTCAGGCCAGCCTTGTCTACAGAGTGAGTTCCAGGACAGTCAGGGCTACACAGAGAAACCCTATCTCAAAAACAAACAAACAAACAAAAAACAAAACAACAAGAGTTTTTAAAATGAGTAACAATCATGCCTTATACAATATCTGAATTAAATACAGTATTACCTGTAGCCCACTGGACAGTCTTTTAATTTGTCTTCTCAGTTCGTCATTTTCTTGATCAATTCCATCTTTCTCTCTAAGGATTTTATTATAAGCTTTTTGCTTTTTTTGCAGTTCATTATTTAAATCATTTAAGTTGTCAGCTAGAGAATTTTCTTTGTTTTTACTTGTTTTAAGAGCTTCTTTTAATTTTAAAAGATTTTCATTTAAATCTTCAATTTGTAACTAATAAGAGATAAAATAATTATTCACAAATCTTCCTCAAGTATTAAAGATAAAGCAACAAAAACTTGAAGTTATACTACTAATATGCATTAGAAACACAAGTCCACTATAGATCTTTAAAATACAGCACACGGGAAAATTAGAAACTGCAGATATTTCCCTCATTCCTGCCAGAACAAAAGGAAACGATTCAAAACAAATAATTTTCAAAAAACAGTAAAACAAAACTTTATTGCAAAATGTTTCATTATAAGTAAAATAATAAAAAAAAACAATACTTTCCAACATACACAACAATGCTTTACAGATTCTAAAACACACTATTTGCATAGCCTAAATCTCTGACTTCAACATTTTGTGAACTACTTCGTAAGGACAAGACATGGGAGTCAGCCTGAGACAGCAGCTACGACTGTAAACACAGGAATTCTTAGCTGATCTGAATAAAGACAGTGGTCAAAACATGCTATTATTTGTTCTGGAATGTCTTATTCAACTAAGTGTGTAAATGGGTTGTTTTTTCTTTGTTTTTGTTTTCTTGAGACAAAGTTTCTCTGTGTAGCCCTGGCTGTGCTGAACTTTCTTTGTATACCTGGTTAACCTTGAACTGACAGAGATCCACCTGCCTATGTAAGCCACCACCACCCAGTATGTGTTTTATTGGATAAATGATTAAGGTCAAATAGTATTATTAGCAATATTAATTAATGTTATTATAATGTGTTTAAAAGAAAATTATATTGTGGAGAAAGTTTTGAAAAATGGATATGAAAAGATAAAAAACTCAGGAGCAGCCTTTCATATGAATAGGAGAATACTAAAACAGTAATATAGAAAACTAAAACAGTAAAGGACTCTTCCTTTTTATACATTTATTTAGTTAACAGATTTTTTATGATCACTATATTGAAAAGTACAATAGGCTATTTTTAAAAATTAATGAAAATCTACTTGCCAAAGTATTTAATGAAAATAAAAGTCATATATGGAAAAAAATCAGAAGTAAATAAAACTAAAAAAATGAAAGCAATTAGATTTTTAATTTTATCACAATATATATGAAATTTTCTGTAAAGAATCTTTTTGGGGAAAAAACAAATTGAGAGTTATTATGAATATAAGAGTAATTAGGGAAAAAAGTTTAAATCCCTAAGCTTACTGGTCAGATAAGAAAATAATAAAGTAAGTTGTTAAAAATTAATTTACTAGCTGGGTGGTGATGAAACTTGCCTTTAACCCCAAAACTTAAGAGGCAGAGGCAGGCAGATCTCTGTGAGCCTGGTTTGTTCTATTAGAGCTAGTTCCAGGACAGGCTCTAAAGCTACAGGAAAACCCTCTCTTAAAGAAAGAAAAATTAGTTTACTTGAAGGAAAGGCTTCATCTCTATAGCTAGATTGACATCATACTGGTGGGGGATGGCAGTTATGGAAGAAGCTAGGTATGTCTGGTATGTCTGCCGATCTCTTGGTCTTCTCAATTTTGTTGTGAACCTGAAATTATCCCAACAAAACAGCCTTAAAAGAATTCTGAGGGCTGGAAGTTAGGTCAGTGGTGGAGTGTTTGTCCATGCTGGACCTGAATCCCAGTAATACTTGAGATGTACTAAAAATGCTTTAAAATTTTCTAAATAAAATGTCTCTTAAATGAGTTCTGTTTCTTCAATGGGTTCTATTAGTAAGCATAATTCATAGTAGTCCATCTTTTTCAAAATCCCCCAGATGATAGTCAATACCTGAGTAACACAAGGATATACTGCTTAAATCTGTGTGTGTATCTGTCTAATTAGCCAACAGTTCAAAAACATCCTCAGAACTGACCCCGTATCTGGCCATACTAATCCGTGCGCTGATACTCACCTTTAGCTCTCTCGTATGTCGATCAACAACCTGCTGCACGTTGAGATTTGCCTCTTTCTGAGAAGTTACGGCAATAATACGTTCTTCAGCTGCAGCTGTCATTTCGGCCCGGAGTTCCAACAGGGCTCGACTAAGTGCCTAAAAATTACAATATACAAACATTTTTACTGGAAAATTAACAATGTACATGAGCAAAATAAAATGCAAAATAAGCAGTATTACTTTCGACTACTTTTCTATTAAATGCAAAATCCTATCTAATTTTAAGTATTGCCCATGCCTATGATCTCATCAGCACCAAGTTGCTGAGGCAGAGGAGTACAGTGAGCTTGAGGACAGCTTACACCTAGTGGGTTCTAGGCCAGCCTGGTTACAGAGTGAGACCTGTCTCAACAAACAAATGAAAGATTAACAAAATGAATTTGATTAAATATAACTCACAAACTCTGGAATGTTTTCAACTGAATTTCCACTGTAAATTTTTCAGTTCTTCAGAAATAGTTCAAAATCCTGACAATTATTTTCAGAAGCAATCTTTATGCCAAGCAATTCAAAAAAGAATATTTTGTTTGAAAATTTCCAAGTTTATACACTAACTAGCAATAAATTCTTCTCTTAGAAAAACATCACATTATGCATCCATTCATGTGAAATTACTGAATTTAGGTAGCTGAGTAATGTTATAAGACATGGTTTAAAATATTTACCCATAAAATTTATAAATTAAGGTGGGGAAAATGTAGCATCTTCTAATCCACTTATCAAGTATGAGATAAGTAAAAACAAAACAATCAAGCTACTACTCCATATTAGATCTCTATCCACAAAGTCACTGTGGCCAACTTCTTAAATCCTTCTTCCTTTATACCATCCCAGCCCCTAAATTGTTCAAATTGTTCCAGCTACATGAAAACCCAACGAAAAATGAGAAAGTAATTCAGCAAATCACCAGGCATAAAAAGATAAATTGAACTTTATCTGCATTTTAACATAGCACTACCATTGCAGAGCCATGCAAAAGTACCATCTTTGAAGGCATGAGATAAAGTGTCATTTTAACAGCCATGCTAGCATCCTTTACACATCTCCAGGCCTTCTCTAGGCCTTTCTCCAGAGAGGACATATGCCACTTACCTTTTGTTGCTTCTCCTTCAAGGCCAATTGGCTCTTTAGCCTGTCCACTAGATTTTTCATTGTGGTTGTGGGGGCTCTTGAGTTTGCTTCTTTCTGAGCCTGGAGTTCAGACTTCAAACTGTGAGCCTCCTTCTGTGCTTGGACAAGAGCACGCCTTAAGTCCTCCACTTCTGACTGCGCTTTCTTCACCTCCCCTGCATGGTTCTCCTGGAGCCTGAGAGAAACAACCATATAAATTTACCAGACTGGGTATTGCAAGTAATATTTTAATTGAAAAAAACCAAAACAACTTTACAAAGGTATAAAGCCATGACTACTAGTACTTTATATGGTAAAAGACTATAAATGCAAGTTATTTCAGAAACTGTATCATTTTTTGCATTTAGGAATTAGATGTAAAAGCCTTAGTAATTTTTAGTATGGCATGGTGGTTTATGTCTATGATTTCAGCACTGAGGCAGATGAAGCAGAAGATTATGCTGGAGCTTGTGGACAGCTACACCATCCATTTCTAGGTCACTCTGTCTCAACAAAGAAATGAAAAATGATTATAAAAAATGTAATTTTATAACCTAGTACATGGCTAAGATTAAATACAAAAAAATAAATTCAATAGAATGAGAAAACCTAAGACAAAAGCAACATAATATACTATTTTAAAGAAAATAAAAAAAAAATCTCAAGTGGCAACTACTTACATATTCACAAACGTGATAACTTTGGGAGGTATTCAAAGAGCATAACAAATTTCATTTGAGAAAGAACTCCATTTTAGACAGGACCTAACTATGGGGGTGAGTGCAGCCCAGCAAGGTCATAAACATTCCCAAGAAACTGTGCCTGCTCTTGTCAAAGTGACCCACCAGGATGTCCAAACAACATCTGCTTGGTTCAACCATCTTTGAACCGGTTTTGACTGTGTTGAAATTTCCCTATACCCCAAACAATGAATTCAAAAGTTGTACACGTTTTACCCAATCCCGAAACACCAAGGCTTGTGCCACCCTGTTTTCCCTTTAAAAACCCATTACCCTGAGAGCTTGGCGCCATTTTTCCCCACCCCCTGTGGCAGTGTGTTAGATTATGGTTCAAGTTAGCTAACTTGTAATCAATAAACCCCAGTGTGTTTGCATTGGATACCAGCTCTGTGGGGTTCCCGTGACACGGGCATAATTGTGTCTTGGGTCCAAGAGTAAACAGTCAAAGTTCTAACAGCCATCAGAAAGGAAATAGAATCATAAGCGGGTCAACATTCTCACTTTCATCAGATATGAGTTCAGGCCCAGAGAGATGGTTCTATGATTAGGAACTGAACAACCTTACACCAATTTTAGGTTTAAAGGTCTATTTATAAAAAGAAAAAGAAAAAAAAAGGCTAGCTAATGATTACAATCTTTTTTTAAATTTTTTAATTTTTTGGTTTTTCGAGACAGGTTACTCTGTGTATCCCTGGCTAATTATCCGGGAACTAACTCTGTAGACCAGGCTGGCCTTGAAGTCACAGAGGTTGCCTGCTTCTGCCTCCTGAGTGCTGGGATTAAAGGTGTGCACCACCAATTAAATTACAATATTTAATATGTAGGATGTTGTGAACATTCTGACACTATAGTTTTTGATATCTTTATTTAACAAACACTTATTGAGCCTCTGTTTTATCACATACTGTTAGGTGTTTAAACAAAAGCAATTTATATGTGAGCTTCTAATTGTCAAACTACACTTGTACATAGGACCGTAGGGACTTCATTCATCTCAGCACTCTGAAGGAGCCCAAGGAAACACTGCCATTTTCATTTACAGAGGATGAAGTGGACAGTGGAAGTGTTAAAAATAAGACTCTAGAGAAGAAAATAAATTGGCTTCTGAGTAAGACTGACTACAACTTGTGATTGTCTCATGTCCATCCACCGCATCCTGTAAGGCCATGGCTGCAGAGTCCTGTGGACAAAATGACGCACACGAATGTCTCGCGACAATGCTCACACAGGCTTCAGCACAGCCTTACTGCCATTTGCTCATTTTGAAAAGATTTCGAAGATTTACCGTAATTTGATGCTTTCAAATTCTCTGACTTTTAACTCAGTAATTTCTTTTTGTCTTTCCAAATCTTTTGATACTTTCTTTAGTTTGGTAAGAAGTGAGGCCAGAGAGTCATCTTGTTCTGCTACTGTCTGCTCCATCTCGGCCAGACGGATGAAATGCTTGTTGGTAGGTACTGGACCAGGAGACTGGTTTAGTAAATCCTATGAGATATGAAAGGATTAGTAATGAGTAAGTGTGATCTGAGACTATGCATGACTCATCCTATACATTTCTTTATGAAGAATGCAGTCTACACTCTGAGAGGAAAAGAAGGATCAGGAAGACAGGATATAGACTGTACTCTTTGTATGCCCTGTGTTTTAGTCAGCATGTAGGTGCAGGGGAGGGTTATGACAATGAATTAATGAGGTAAAGCTGTGGGTTAAGAGAATCAGGGCCACTTTCAACACATTGAAACATAAAGAACAGATTGATTGATGAGGGCAAGTAGGAGGTTAATTCAAAAGTTGGGAAATAAATACAAATTATGGAATTTGAAAAAAAAGAGTAGACTCATAACATAGGAGGCTTTCAGTCCATGGCAAGAGACAGAAATATGATTTTATAAGCACTGAAAATTACTGAGGGTTGGATTTGGGTTAAAAAACTGATCATGTTTTCATGCTCAGAGATGCTTCTCATATGATTATTTTATCAACACAAAGGTAGGTGTGTTCTCCTGTGAGATATGAAGAGGTAAATTTTAAATTATGTGATCTCACATCTCAATAAAGAACAGAACAACATTCTCAGAACCTTACCTGGGCTGTCTGCTTGAATTTATTGAGTGAATTCTCAGCCTGTAGTTCTAATTTATGATGAAGGACATGAAGGTCTTCCTCATGCTTCTTAACAATTTCTCTTTGCTCCTGTTTCACAAGAAGTTAAGCCGTACTGTAAATTATGACTGAAATACATTCATGTTTTCAGTTAATTTTTACTCTTCCAACACCTCAGAACAGAAAAGATATAATCTCTTCATGCATATGTATATTAGGCCAATATACATCTCTGCTAGCATGCGCTCATGCTGACCATCCAAGTCTTACAATTTATTCTTAACGTTAAAATAATATGCATTTTATTAAAATGTTCCTTTGTTTCTTGGAACATTTTAAATTACTAGATCTCTCCTACTGTTCCAGAGAATTAGATCTCCACAGACTACCCCTGTGGAGTATTGTTAACCTTACTGTTTCAATTTTCACTCATAAATCCACCTGACATTTTCTAAACCAGCCATGTCTCCATAGCAGAGACTCTCGTTTACCTGGGTCCACAAGAGGAAGAAGATGCACGTACACAAACTGCCAGTTTTACTGACAGATCTGTAATCCAACCATGTGAAAACAACAAGTCCTAAACAGAGTTATCTGAAAGCAAAAATGAACTACCACATTGAGAAATATTTTGTGGCGTTTGAATGAAATACATAAGAAAAACAGCAGCATAACAAATACCTCTCTGGCTTTTTCCAGAAGATGTTGGTATTTCTTCAGGACTTCTTCCTTCTGATTTAACCTTGCCTGCATGTTAGCAATGGTCTGTTGGGCGATTTTCATTGTGTGCTGAGATTTTGGTTCCAGCTCTTTTCTGTCGAGCTCAGCTATAAGTTTCTCTCGATCAGTTGTGGCAGGCAATCGGAGCCTCAGTTCATTGATTACTTTGTCTCTTGACAGAATATTTTGCTCTGCCAACCGTAAAGCAGATTCTTTTTCTTGTAGCTTCTATAGTAAAGTCACAAGAAATTATTACATTTCAGCTTGTCCTTCGAAATGCTTCAGATGAATGTTAGCCACATACAGGCAGTAGTCTCGCTTCGTGTTTCACATATGGATAACAGTCGTTTGACAATTAAATTCTATTTAGTACATTTCTTTGCAACAGTTCATTTATTTACATATTTATTTTAATTTACTTAAGATTATCACTTGTTAAAAACATTCAGTGTCCCCAAAAGTAGAATGCAGTAAACAAATGAATGGTAAATTCATATTAACTGCATGGACTATTCATTATCAGCTATTAGAAATAGTATATAAGAATAAAAAAGTGGAATTAGCAAGAAGTCCACCATTTTATACTTTATTGACATTAGTAAATATTATTTAGAAAATTCCAATCAAAATACAAAATCTTCAAATTACCTCTTCTAATGACTTGCAAGTTGCTTGTGTTTTAAGAATTGTTCGAATATTTTCCTTAATTTTTCTTAGAGCAATTTCAAGTTGGTTTGGAAGGGGCAAGCTGGGGTCTGGCATTGATCCTGTAGCCTCTTCAAACTATTGAGAAATAATATGTTTTAAAAACAGCAGTATAGTATTAAGTAAACAATATTATATCTTATAAATGTATGAAAAAATCATGAACTAAATTTAACTTGTCTTTAAACAAAGAAACTCAGGACAATCCACATAAAGCATCCTACAGTTAAAAAGCTATCTAATTCAGAGAAGCATCAAACATAATTAGTTATTTTTGATACCTTTTGTGCGGCACTGAGTATTTCATTTTGCTGACGGTCAAAGATGTCTAGTTGGCGCTCCAGCTCAACCTCTCTTTGATCCCAAGCCATCTGTCTTTCTTCGTGAAACTGAAAGAGACATTTATTTGTGTTAGGCGCATACACAGTGACATTGAGCATTAACAAGCGGATATGCATTTTCTTACTTAACCCTCAGCTTTGCTATCATTACTTGCACTCTGGTTATATGGGAAAAGACACAAACTTAGGAGATCAAGCAACTTCCTAAAATCACAAGGGCAGGCAGCTGTAAAGTCAGAATTTCAATCTAGTCATGAGTCCATCCATCCATCCTAATTATGTCTAATGAAACATATTTTCAAAGTACTATTTGGGGCAATGCAAGCACAGCAATAAACACAATCTAGTCCCTGTCACCAAGGAACTTACATCCCAGGAAGTAAGAAACAAGCAATAACAAACAAATATGTAAGACAAGAGAGGATGGCAAACATTGTTTAGAAAATGAAAGCAAGCCCTCCCATGGCACAATTTCCTAGTCAATACCCAGGAGCCTTTGCAGTTCACTGGCAAGAAAAGGAATGTGAGTGACAATCTTCAGACAGTGAAAGCATGAGCATAAGTAGCTAGGATACAGAAGAAGAAAGACTAAGCACACAGAACACAATGACTGTGGCGAGGGTGTGTCTTATAAATGTTGTCGTCTAGCTCTTAAGCATCTACTTTTTCTACCCCATGCTGTGTTCTAAATCAACAATGACAACATGCAGAAACCTGACTGAAGGAGTCAAATAACTAACATCAAAAGAAACATTAACTTACCAACTAAGCTTGCTGACATACTGTTTTTAAGCTTATAAAGGATGTCCCCAGCTAGGACCCTGGGCAGTGGAGGAGAGTGTGTCTGAACTGATCTTGTCCCACAATCAGACTGATGACTATCTTGAATATCAACATAGAACCTTCCTCCGACGACAGATGGAGATAAAGACTGAGACCCACATTGGAGCACTGGACTGAGCTCCCCAAATCCAATTGAAGAAGAGGAGGAAGAATACGAGCAAGAAAGTCAGGCCCACAAGGGGTTGGTCCACCCACTGAGACAGTGTGCCTGATCTAATGGGAGCTCACCAAAGCCAGCTTAACTGGGACTGAACGAGCATGGGAACAGACTGGACCCTCTTAATGTGGCTGACAATTGGGGCAGACTGAGAAGCCAATGATAATGGCACTGGGATGTGTCTCTACTGCATGTACTGGCTTTTTGGGATCCTAGTCTATTTGGATGCACACCTTCCTGAGTCTTGATGGAGTGGGGAGGGTCTTGGACTTCCCACATGGCAGGGTACCCTGCCCTCTCTTAGGACTGAAGGGGGAGAGGTGAGCGGGAGGGAAATGGGAGGAGGGGAAGAAGTGGAAATTTTGAATGGTATTATTTATAAAGCAATAAAAAAAGATTTAAAGTTCTTGTCAAAAAATAAAATAAAATAAAGACTTCTATTACAACGAAATCAATTTTCATGTTTGGAGTTTAAGAAGCAAGAAGTAGGTTATTTTGTTACTCAATATAACAGGAACTATATTTTATCACAATAATACAGTTAAAAGGTAATGATCTGACATTTAAAGTCTTAAAAAGAACAGAAATAGAAAACGAAACCTTGCTCTGCTGAACGATTTCTTCCTCGAGACTGTTGATGGTCTGCTCATATTCAGAGATGATATTATTCAAGTATTTGATTTCTTCTTTACCCTTGACTAGTTCTCTGTTTAGTTTAAGTTCCTGAAGGCGAAGCTCTTCTATTTTGACATGCCAATTGATTACCTAAATTATATATGCACATAAATGCTAGGTAACTAGTCATGATATTACTTGAAATTAATGGCAAACTATACTATGACAAAGGAAGTCAGTCCGTAGCCAAAACACACAGCAAAGTTAGTGAGAATTTCCAAAGATTATTCTAAAGTAAGTACAACATTAAAATAAAATATTCGTCAAATTATTTTCAAATGAATAAACAGAAATTAGTAACATTTGTGTTCAGTTTCATTCACAGCATTGACTGTAGTCAGCACTAACTCACTGGTAATACTGTTCAGATTAGACATCCTACCCTTGTCTACTGTGACAGCCACTGACAACTCATTCATGCTACAGGGGACAGTTTCACACTCATGCTCACAGGAGAGGTACTAGGCAAGCTCAGTTGATAACAAAATGAAAACAAAAACATAAGCATAGGACAAGGATTTGATGGGAAGAAGTGGTCGGGGCGGGGGAAATGATGGAAGAGGAGGATACAAAAAGTAGACAGATAGGTGTGATCAGAATCTATTATATATACATATAAAATTGTCAAAGAACAAATTTTGAGAAATCTGTCCAATAAATGAAATTTTAAAAAATTCTAAATATTTCTAGCACAGAGAATAGGATTTTTCCCAAATAATGATAAAAATTAATCTTTAAAAAATAAATGTGGAGGCCTGGAGAGATGGCTCAGAGGTTAAGAGCACTGGATGCTGAGATCAATTCCCAGCAACCACATGGTGGCTCACAACCATCTATAATGAGATCTGGTGCCTTCCGACCTCTAAGTACACATACAGGCAGAACACTATATATAATAAATAGATAAATTAAAAAAATAAAATAAATGTGGAAATCTATGAAAACTGCAAGTATTTACAAGGAATATCTATAAGTAAAAACATAGAAAAACAAATAATTCAAATAAAAAATATTTGTTCAGAGTAGAAATCAACTGATAACTACGAAATCACTTCAATTATTATACTTAAAATTTATTAGAGCTTTTTTAGAATGTTTAAAGTATTTTGGTAATGAGTCTTGCTCAGGAAAGTCCAAATCCTAAATTTATAAACTCTAGCTAATTATAGCGCACATTTTAAATGCACATTGGACATGTCTCATACAGCTACAGATCACACCAACATCACTACATAACAGGAATACTGAATTTCAGTTCAAGTTTTACCTTTTGGGCTCCCCTGGCATCCTTTAAAGTGCTTATCAATTCTTCCAAGCCTTTTAATTTTAATTCCATCTCCAGTGTTTTGTTTTCCATATTCCTGTGCTCTTGCTGAGAACTTTTCATTTCCTGCATCATCTTCAGTTTGTCATTTTGCAGCTGAATCATAGTTTTGGAGAACTTTTCCTGCTGGGCCAGGGGTAAGGCACCACTGAACTGCCTTCGCAGAGACTGAATGGTTTGGCGCAGGTGTTTTGCTCTGTTTCTGCCTTCCAGGCGAGCGTAGTAGAGGGTCTGCTCTTTCTCATCCAGTTTCTGCTCTAGGCGCAAACTGTAGGCCTCCATCTTCTGGAGTTTAGATGTAACTGACTCCAACTTACCAAGAGTAGTGGCCTCACTAATCTGAAGAGCAACAACATGTTGGTGCAGTTTGGCAATTAGCGCCTTTTCATCAGATTGTGCCTAACGAAAAAATACATATTTATAGTGAATGTCAGGGGTTTTGCCAATAAACACACCATGGGTTCAGCAACGGTTTACTAATAAAAATTTAAAACACTGTTGCACGTGAGTTTTTTTTAAAAAAACAATTTTACTTTAACACAATAGTTAGAAACTATATATCCAGAATGAAACACACTCAAAATTCTAATTAAATGATAGTTGTTTGTAGTAGTGTCTTCCCTTTAGTTCACAGATAACAGCACAACTCTGAGAGATATGTGTACACACAAACATATGTGGGGGTGTATTGGGTTTTTTTGAGACATGGTTTCTTTGCAGCTTTGGAGCCTGTCCTGGAACTAGCTCTTGTAGACCAGGCTAGCCTTGAACTCACAGTGATCTGTCTGTCTCTGCCTCCCAAGTTCTGGGATTAAAGGTGTGCATCATCACCATCTGGCCATATATAATATTTCACTCCTCTAAGAACTATAGAATATGGGGTTATATTAAAAGCCACAGACATGTACAAGAGAAAATACAGTCAGTAAAGACTCATTAATTATTTCTCCTTAGTATGTTAACTGTGACTGGCAGCTGTCAAATGAATCTATAGGTATTTGAAATAAAATATGTTTTCTAGTTTTCTAGTGGTGATGGATGCATTTAATCCTAGCACTTGGTAGGCAGAGGCAGGAGGATCTCTGTGAGTTCGAGGTCAGCCTGTTCTATAGAGTTAGTTCCAGGATAGTCAGGACAGCTACACAGAGAAATCCTATCTCAAAACCAGAATGATAGAAAGAGGAAGGGAGGGAGGGAGAGAGGGATGGAGAAAAGAAGGGAGGGAAGGAAAGAGGAAGAAAGAGGAAGGAAGGAAGGAAGGAAGGAAGGGAGGGGAGGGGAGGGAGGGAGGGAACAGGAAAGAAGGGAAGAAGGAAAAAGGAAGGTTTCTAAAGTTCCAACTAACAGGAACAGGTTTCTATTGCTGCAACTAGTCCTGCTTAGCACGCCAGGCTCCGTCAGAGTCTGAAGTGAGCTTAGCAAGCAGACTAAACAGAGGAGGCAGCACAATATGCACCTGGTAGTCCAGAAGCTGCATTCTGAGGGATTCCACTTCCTTTTCCCTGGACTGTTGCTGCGTATTCAAAAACTCAACTTGTCTTTTGGCAATATCAGAAATCTCTCTCAGTCTAGAAAGTGACAAAATATTTAAGGAACAGTTCAGCAAACACCAAAAGTCCCAATTTTGAGATATCATTCTAGAAATGCAATTGGTCTATGACATCTCTTCTTTGCACCAAGTCCAAAGAGTTCAAGGGTCTCTTGAACTATTTCATGAAACCTAATTCTATAAAGGATCAAAAAGTGATCTACGAAAGCATCCCCTACTCTGGGAAGTCCATCGCCTGTGGTACAGAAGAATATACACATTTGGAAAGATAATGCCATCTGTTAAGTGAAACTGAGACAATGACCTACGTCACTTTCCAAAGGCAGGTGGTCAGAAAACACTCACCCCGACACATTCTCCCAAAGATACTTTTTATTATATTTAGGAAATGGTAGGTCAACGCACACAGGCTAACCTGTTGCAACTGTACAGTTAAGAATTAATGTAAAATGTATTTTCACTTTTACATATTATATGCTTTGTACACAGAACCTTATATTTGAAAGTTATGTTATATGGAAAGTGTGACTGGTTTATTTTGATTTAACAACTAGCTGAAAAACAAAAAGAAACAAATTATACATTTGCACAAATTTCCCTTATGATTCCTGTAACAAATCATTTTTTTTTGAGGTAGATTAATTTGAGATAAGTGGGACGGACATATACATTGGGTTTCCTCATACAGACTGGAAAGCCTCTATAACTGGTGGTTAATAAAATATAATGAAATGAATGCATCTTACAAGGTAAGGTTTATGAGAAGAGACAAAGTCAACCATTATGGGAAGAATTAAAAGTGACCGATTTTCCCAAGAACTCTGAAGGAATAGTTATAATTTTATAAGCACACACACACAATTCTAAAAGTTCTTTGTGCTTGACATATAAACTCAGTGCTCCCCATGGATTACCCATGAAAGAAGCCCCTGACTAGAAAGTGAGTGCATAGCATATATTTAGTACTCTAAAATAACTGGGCATATTTCCTACTGCCAAATGAAAAAAACTTTTACCTAAGTGTTAGTAGGCAAGAGTCCATGAATTGATGTCTAATGTCTTACACAATGCCTACCACACAGCTAGTTTCTAAGAAATGTTAATTAAATCAAAATACAAATTAATTATATGTTGTAGCATGACTAATAAAAACACAGAAACAGATATTGGGGTTCCACTGAAGGTCAGAAAAGCAAAACAGCCAGCCACTGGCTCTTACCTCGGATTTAGATGGAAATCCTGCCTCCAGGGATCTCAGAATGAGATGTATGTGAGACCTGTCTCCTCCCATTTTATAGTCCTCTCTAGGGCTGGGATTAAAGGTGTGCACCACTACCACCCAGTTTCTATGGCAAACCAGATGATTACTGAGATTAAAGGTGTGTGCCACCACTGCCTGGTCTGTAAGGCTGACCAGTGGGGCTGTTTTACACTCTGAACTTCAGGCAAGCTTCATTTATTAAAATACAAATGAAATATCACTACAGTATGTTTACATCAACCTTATAAAAAGGTAAAAAATTCTTTTCTTTTTAAAGTTAGTAAAATAAATATTAAGTGACCCCTGCTCTTCCCTCTCTACTTCCCCTGAAAAACAAGCGACATGAGTAAGAAGTGCACCATACATGGTTTCTGTTCTGCTTTGGTGCCTTCTACAGCTGCATCCCTACATTTCAGGTGGGTGGGGGCAAACTTTGAGAGGTCATTTCCTCTCCAGTGCTATGTCATGGGGTCTTAATCCTCTTCTTAAAAACAAAGTGAGTATGGAAATTGTCCCATCTGTCTATCATCGGTCTTCCTAAAGGCAGATCAATAGACACATCAAATGACTGAACTGTTGTGTGCACTTACTTAGACACTTCAACTTTGAGCTCCACCTCCTTCTTCTCTAACTCGAGAATGCGCTGTCTATCAGCATCACTCACGGCCTTGCTCACACTGTCAGCTAGTTCGTCTCTCAGCATCTGCTCCACCTTCTGGGCATCCAGGTTGATTTTGGTAAGCTGTGGAAAAGTGACAATAAATTATCCTCAGAACTATTTTATCTTACGAATTCTGCTTTACCTTACACTGGGACTAGAACCCAGAGCCCGTGTGAACTAAGCATGCCAATGAACTACAGCCCCAGCCTAGACACACAACATCTAGACTTCTGAGTACTATGGCTTCTTTACTTTCCCTTAGTTCAGAAACTAAAGAAAGAATCAAGAACACATTATAAAAAAGATGTAGTAATACTCCAATTCCATCATATGCTATTTATTTTAGGCAATCACTAAGAATTTTTAAACTATAAACAAAGTACTTACAAAGAGTTAAAACTTTATAAATTTTAAAAATAATTATATAAACTTGTATTAATATTTATGGCTTAAAATAAAAATAATACTTATGTTTTGGAAAATATATCAACCTAAGAGAACATCTGTAAGGTGTTCTTTAATCATAAATTGTTGAATATTTGCAGTTTATTTAGACCAATTAAAAATCTTTAATAACCTCCTATTAAAGATTTTGAAGAGTTTTTTTTAACTATTTTTCTTCTTACTATAGTCTTACTTCCAAACTCATTCTGGAATATAAAAGACAATGAGTAATTTTTAAATGAAAATATGGGTTTGGAAGACAATTTGCTTTTTAAAGAAACAACATCCTTCTGTTCATGAAAACTAATACCATGACATTGCAAGAAAGAATCTGGGTATAGAAATAAGTGGTTGAATCTAAAGCAATTCATATTTTAAAATAATTGTCTGTATACCCATTACATGAAACGCAAATGCTGCACACACATGCAGTCTTAGAGTACAAAGTTCTCAGAAATCCAGTGTCTACTATCACTAATCTTTGTTGTCTGATTACATGATAAAAGTTGTACAAACCTCAGTGAATTTGGTTTCCAATTCAAAATTCCGTTCTTCCATGTGTTTTACGGAGGTCCTCAGGTGTTCATACATTTTCTGACAGTGTTCAGCTCTCTGCCTTTCATTTAATTCCTTCATCTCCAACACAGTGATTTTTTTGGAAATAGAAACAATGTCACTATTTGTCATTGATTTTCTTGCCTTATCCATGTTTGATTCCTTTCCTGTATGTTATAATACATCACACAGAGATAATTCAGAAGAGGTATTAAAAAAGTAGTACAGTCTGTAGCAGGAAATGAACTTTTGAATTAAGACATATCTGCATTCTTCCCTTTATTTATTTATTCCTAACTGTCTGATGCCTATTCTCCATTTCTTTCTAGACTAAATCTCTCCATTAACCAATCAAATGAAAATAAAAGCTGTATGCTGTGGGATAATCTTTTTGTGCACTCTGAATATCTGTCTCTGTTAAAGTACCTTCTGATTGGTTTATTAAAGAGCTGAACAGCCAATAGCTAGGCAGAAGAGATAGGCAGGACATCCAGGGTAAGAGAGGAACTCTGGGAGGAATCTGATGCACAAGAGATTCACTATCCAGACATGGAAGGCAGCTGGATGTAAGGTACTGAGGAGAGGTAACAAGCCGCATAGCAGAATGTAGATTAATAGAGACAGGATCATCTAAATTTTAAGAGCTAGTTAGGAATAAGCCAAAATTAAGGCGGAGCTTTCATACTTAATAAGAGGTCTCCGTGTCATTATTTGGGAGTTGGCAGTCCAAACAAAGTCCAACTCTAAGTATAAGGTTACTGAGACCCAATGTGAAGGTCAGTGCAGAGCTGGCAGAGGTTAGAAGGTTGTCATATGTTGGAAATGAACCACTTGCTATGGGAAGAATGCTAACTGCACTGGGGCAATACAGGATAACAGTGTCACTTTGGACATGTAAGTGCAATGGCATGATTATTACCATTATCAAACACCATGGTCAAAAGTACAATCTGAAGTTATATGATTAAGAAATTTTACATGTATAATCTCAAATCACGAGCACTATGTTGGGCCTTGTACACACATAATAGCAAATACTATCATATTGCGGTGGTGGCACATGGCTTTAATCCCAGCACTTGGGAGGCAGAGGCAGGTGAATCTCTGTGAGTTCAAGGCCAGCCTGGTCTATAAGAGCTAGTTCCAGGACAGGCACCAAAGCTACAGAGAAACCTTGTCTCTAAAAATCAACCAACCAACTGACCAACCAAACAAACAAACAAGAAAGGAATAGCATTAAAAAAATTAAAAAAAATTAATATGGTAAGTCAGATATAAGTGAAGGTAATCTTTGTATCATTCTAAATAATAGCAAAATAAAAAAATTAACACTTTAAACATAAGCACTCAAATAACAGGATATTGCACAAATTTTTATAAAATAAATGATTAAAATATAGAAATATTTTGAATTTCTACTAGATTTGGTATATAACAAATAATGGTTATTATTTAAAGTACATAAAAATATAACAATATATTACTGCAATAAAAATTCTCAAATTTTCTTTGATATAGTGTGGTGAACTTTTCATTTAAAGGTATCAAATAATATATAAGACATAAACATTGCACTCAAAAAACACATATTTCAAAATTATCACTAGGTTTTAATTGCTAAAATAATTTAAAAATACCTAGTGTTTAGTCACAAATTAATATATGACTTTACTAGGAAAAAAACTCACGTGAGACCTCTACACCAAGCACCAGGATATTATTTATAATCGGTATACTACACTGTAGGATATAGTTCATGCCCATATTTTACTACAGAAAAGGAATTTTCAGTACAAGCAATTGCTCTTAGGCATGGTCACCAGGTCCTCTCTGTGTTAAGACTTTACCTAATTTAGTTTCTTGTTCCCAGGCTTGTTCAATGGTGTGCAGCTTCTCCTTTGTAATCTCCAGCTCTTTACTTATGGCGTCCATTTGTTCTTTTAAAGATGCATTTTCACACTGAATAAGAGACAGACGTTACAGATGACTACAGTGCAAGGGTATCACATACACGACACAGCTTCGACCTTATGCATTATCTCTTAACACTCACAATTTTTAATTGAAATTTTTAAGATTTATTTTTAAAAGATGCAGATAAAAATCATACTGAAATTAACCAAATTCAAAAATATTTTTTTTACAAATTATAATTTCTCACACAACACACACACACACACACACACACACACACACACACACAATAAACTCTAGCATATAATACACCTGGCTCTAAACTTCCATGTATTAGCCTTTGCCACTAAAGACACCTATTCATTTTAACCAATAAGGAACACAGAGGGGCTTCAGAACTTTCACAAACTACTGCTTTTTTTGCCTCATTCACACAAGCACTCAGGCGCACATCCTTAGTATATCATCAGTGACAGGTGCTAGGTGTTAACAGTAAAAACAAAAAGCACAAATCCCACATTTTACAGGCTTCTCCATTTATGGTCTGTGTGTATGTGAGTGTGGTAGAATCTCCTTTGCTAGTTCTTCTTGTTGCTGTGGTAAAACGGCCTATCACAAAAACAATTTAGGGGTTAGCTTATTGAAGGGGTATAATCCCAGGTTTCCATCTACCGTTAAGGGAATTCAAGGCAGGAACTTCAAACAGCTAGTCCTATCACATCTGGTCAGGAACACAAGTAAGCACATGTATGATTGCTTGCTGGTACTCAGCTTGACTTCTCCACTCTTACACAGAGCAGAAACCCCCTCCACAGTGGGCTATGTATTTTCATATTGATAATGTTAGTTAAAACAATCCCCCCACAAACATGCCCAGAGGCCAACCCAACATTGATAATCCTTCATTAAGACGTATGCATATGCCCTAAATTCCAAAATCTAAATTCCAAGGCTCCTAATTTTGCTTACTGTTGCTTAGGTCTTCAAACACCCAATCTTTTCCTAGTTCAGCCCCATTTTCCTTATCTGAGCTTTTAAACTCTTGTCTTGCTTTAAAGCAGTGGTTCTCAGCCTCCCTAATGCTGGGACCTTCGTGTTGACCACCGACCATAGAGTTATTTTCACTGCTACTCCATAGCTGTAGTTTGCTGCTGTTATGAACATCTGCGTTTTCCAATGTCACAGGTCACCCCTGTGAAAGGGTGGTTTGATACCAGTAGCAAACCAGAGGCTTAGAATCACTGCCTTAGAGCAAGAACTATCATAAGGTAAACAGAGAGAGAATTTGACTTTTTGCCAATCAAGTGATTCTAATCATGGGATTGAGTAACATGATTACAGTATGCGCAGCTATCATTTTAGAGGCAGCAAGGAGGGTTTACGACTGGAGATGGCAATGTGTGTAATGGCTGCAACAAAACAAGGTGAAGTGAAAAACCAAGACAGTGCCATCAGCAATAGAAGAGCATAAAAGATGTGATGATAATGTTAAAATTATAAACGAATCACAGAAAGAACAGGAAACGAAGGGAACTACTAAGGATTCTTGCTCGCTCTCACTCTCAGGTTCATTTGACTGTCTGTTTGAGACAGGATCTGTAGAGAGTCTAGGCTGATGCTGGCCTCAGGGTCCAGTTGTTTCTAACTCCCAAGTCCTGGGCAGCTGTGGAAACCTGACCACGACCACGAAGGCTGGGATCTGCATTCAAGTCCTCAGCGGGCAGCAGGCACCCTGGTACTGTGCTTTCCCCCAGCCTAGGTAAATCCATATCTCAAATACAAACACCAATTTTGAGGAACAATTTAAAAATGTTCTTTGGGAAAACAGAAGAATTGAGCTAAAAGTCACTGAAGGCAAACAATATGCCTCAACAAGCAAAAGTTCTTATTGTGCAAGTCTGACAATCTGTGTTCCATCTCCAGAACCTACCATGAACTGACTCCTAAAAATTATCTTACCTAAACACGTAAACACACACAGACACACACACAAATAATAACAATAGCAAATAAAATTTAAAAAGCTGTTTATTGAAGACTAGTGATGGAGCTGAGACATTCAGTTCTTGCCTGAGTTTTGAGTATTAGCAAGACAAAATAAGGAAAGAAACAGCTCACTGGTAGCTAACTGCAGATTTCTTAAGAGCTTTGCTAATACCGGAGACATAGAACAAGGACATGGAGAATGGGGAAAGGAAATTATTACCACATCTAAATAGAATTATCTTTAAGCAGTAACATGATTATCTCTGGTCTTCAGCAAAAGCAGTAAAAAGTAAATGGACTAGATTATTTCTAGGTAGTATTAACACATAATGACTCAAGCTATTTTGCATAAGTCATCAGAGACATAATGTTTCATTTACTCAGTGTGTTTCCCTATGTAAGTATGACATTCTGAGCTCCCCAAATTATTTCCTATTCCATGCTTGTGGAGGATCTTAAAGACATACACCTCTACTTCTACTGAGAAGCCTGTAGATGCCTGGGCCTTTATTTCTCCCGAGAATGATAAAAGTGGGAAATGTAGAGAACTGGGAGGAAAGAACACAGACTGGAACTGTCAGTAACTCCAGTTACAGAGGATCCAATAACCTCTTTTGGTCTCTGCAGGCACAGCAAGTACGTGATGCACATACACACATACATTCAAGCTAGAGAATGTCATCCACATGCAAACACACACACACACACACACACACACACACACTCCACCGAGGAAATAAAGATTAAAAAGCAGAATAATGAAAAGTCAGGACTATATACACAAATGAAACTTAGGACCTTCCAACACTGTAGTCTCTGTGTGTGATGTGTGTATAGGCACACATGTAATGGAACATATGTGTTGAGATCCAGGAACAACTTTTGGAAGTCTGTTCTTGCCGTTCACTCTGACAAAAGCAGGGCATTTCCTCATTGTTTCTGCCTCTGTGCTCTATAATTCTGACTAGTTGGCCACAGGCTTCCAGACAAGGTCATTTCCCTCTCTCTGTCTCCCTGTGGCTGTAGGAGTGATGCTATTATGGGTCCATACTGTTTTTTTTTTCATGATGTAATATAATAGTTGTCAACTTGACAGAATCTATAATCAGCAGGGGGATGGCCCCTGTGGGGGATTACCTTAATTATATCAACTAATGGAGGAAAACGCATCTTGACTGTGGATCACTTCCCTTAGTGGGAGAGACAACGATATAAGATGGAGAGAGCAAGCTAAGAAGAAAAAAGCATGCATTCACCCATGCCTTGATTGAGGACACGATGTGACAAAGTGCTTCACACTACGTGCTCCTGCTATATGGATTTCCCTACCATGACAGACTCTACCGTGAACTGGGAGTCAGAGAAATCCTTCTTTTTAAAGTTGATTTTGCTAGGTGATTCATCACACAAAAGAAACTAAAACATACGTGTTCCACAGATCCAAATTACCTGCCAGGAAGACCTTTTACACCCAGAGCCATCTCCTTCATCCCCACCCCAGTTTTCAGTATTTCTAAAACATGAGAAAATGGAGATTTGGAACGCTCATCCAATATCTATGAATTGCTATTAATAATGCATTCACAGTGAAACAAATTTATCATAAGAAACCAAATTTGAGGACTCTGAGATCAAGGCAAGAAAAGAGAAGAATAGGTATTTAATAGCATGTCTCCTTTTAATTCCATGTGTGCCAAGAAAGAAGTTTGACTGTTGGGACCAATTAAGTCCTGGTCTTCAGCTGCTCTTCCCTGTCTAGAGCCTTCTAATGGAAGTGACTAAAAGCTGTTCTTTGCCTAGAGGATCAGAGGATGGGATTTTCACCCGTTGGCCATTGACTGCAGGGTATTTAAGCCTCCATGGTGCTATTAAAGAGGGTTTTTTGGTACCAGTGGTGGAAGGTCTGTGTGTCGGTCTGTCTCTGCATGTGTATTCTCAACCTCCAGCCCCTTGCCAGAAGCTCGCGAACTGGGGTCTAGCGCATAGAGCGCAGACAGGGGCCGTGGTGTGTGGCATCATCTAAGTCATATAAGACACATAAGAGGATGCCCTAGATAAAGTCACCTTTAAGTTATTGACAATTATAAATACACAGTATGCTACATATAGAAATATGTACTGATATCCAGGACAAACCACAACTAGGTTATACCCATGATCATATCTCCACCACAGTTACATAAATAGAAACCAACTTTAATCACTAGAAATGGGTAGAAGTCTTACAGCCCCAGGACACCCTCAAAGTGAAGCGGCTAGAACGACAGGGTTCAAAGATCATACACACTCACCTCCAGGTGCTCCAGGTTACTTGTCCTCTGAACAAGCATGTTATCTTTCTGCAGTATGTCCCTGTACTTAGTAGTTAGTTCATTGTATTGCTTATTGGCAAGTTCAAGTTCAGACAAAGAGACACTATTATCTACAACTTTCTGGAGAGCTGCAATTTTGAAGGTAGCCATTTCCTGAAAAAAAAGATACACAGTTAAATTTGCATACTTTTTCTGGTAAAGCATAAGTTATTTTTAAGAAAGATGATTCAACTGAAAGCAAAATGGATTTTAAAACCATTTGAAAAATATATTTCTCATGTTATTCTTTCATATAGGAAATAATATTTGGAAAGTTTTAATTAGCAATTTAAATGAATCCTTTTACAAGCTGTCACAGTAAATTGAAATATAATTAATTTGAGAAAGTAAAATAAACAATTCAGAAATAACCTTTGGATGCCTGGCTATTCTAAACTTTGGAAGAATAAAGTCAACCAAACATTTGACATTTTAAATGACAAAATTAGTATGAAATAAGGAAACCTTTACATTTTAGCTATGCTTGCCTGCTTTCTTAAAATCACACACTTATTTTTGGTTCCTATTATTGAGTAATAAAAATAGTCTAAACGGTAGCAATAAGAATTTGTTACTTATTTCTTGTTTGCTATAATCTAATACAGAATATTCTTCCTCCAGAGACACATGGTCAAAGCGTATTCTGTAGCAGGGTGCTGCTAGGGAATGGAAAGGACTAAGATGTGGGGGCCGGGGGGAAGCCCAGGTCACCTGGAGTGTGCTTTCACAAGGATGATGGGGCCTCTGTCCCTTTGTGCTCTCTTTTCCTTTTCATTATAATTACCTATGAGTAAGAAGGCCTCTATTGCCCAGTCTTACTAAGATGTACTTGTACCACCACAGGCCAAAGGTAGTGAGACCATATTTTCAAACCTCCCAATTTCTGAACCAAAACAAACTTTTCCTATTTCTAAGTTTATTAGGTATTTTTACGGCCCTAAGAAGAGAAGCCACATAATGTCCTACCATTCTAATGAAAAGTCATTAATCGGAGGCACTAAAGTGGTTTTATTAAAACAAACAAGGTACAGGGACTCTCAGTTCTTTCCAGTAAGATGCTCTATGACCAGCCAAAGGTACATAAAAAAAGCACAGCATGATGGGGACAAGCGGTGCAATAAATAACCAGACTGATGAAGAGGAGATGAAGACGCTATAGTCATAATGCATTCCTGAGTCTTCTGCTCTAACTGCAACAGCGTCTTTCATGTAAATAAACATATACTATTCTACTATATTCTAGGGGTTTGCTTTCATTTTGTGAAGCAGGCTGGATAAAAAGCAAGGAAATACGTTTTGTTTCCTTGAAAACATTCCCCTTTCTTATTTTCTATTATAAAAAAATGAAACACAAAAAAACATAAAGCAGAAACGATGTTTGAAGAAAGAGGGAGGATGGCAGAACACTCACTCCAGCTCTTATTTTCAGCACTATCTATATTGGTAAAACCCAAGAGTCCAATTTTCTTAAAGCCACAAAAATAAAAACAAGGACATTCCTAAGTCCCAAATTTTCCTTAATTCATGTCCAAATAGAAACAGCTCTCAGGTGAAGGTACAGACAGAAGTGGATGGGTAATCACTCCCAGGTTCTGTTTCTGTTGCAGAAATATTACCTGGAAAGTATTCTTTCTGTTACCTGGATAGCAGGACAGGGGCAGCAGCAAGACATTTCTTACTAAATCTTTTAAAACACGGTTTATATATTCTAATTCATTTTGAAAAATCCTAATATTGAAAGCAAAAAGAAAATTAAAAGATGATGAAATTCTTTCAAGTTACTAGAATGTTATTTTTGCCAACAATGCTAAATAGGACAGATTCCGAGGAAAATTACAACTGCAAAGAAATTTTAGCATATATTAAGAAGTGTTACAGATGCTATTACTTTTAATATGTGATGATATCTGATAGAATAACTAATATTTTAGTTTTCTATGCAAAACAATGAAGAAAATAACATTACAAAGTTAAATGAGTTTAGGGAATAAAATATAGTGGTATAATTACCTTGTAATGTTAAGTTTGTATTGGAAATAACAGCATGCACTCATATTCTTTTTTTTTTTTAATATTTGTTTATTCATTAGGTATACATTATTCTGTTTGCTTGTATGCCTGCAGGCCAGAAGAGGGCACCAGACCTCATTACAGATGGTTGTGAGCCACCATGTGGTTGCTGGGAATTGAACTCAGGACCTTTGGAAGAGCAGGCAATGCTCTTAACCACTGAGCCATCTCTCCAGAAAGTTACTCTGTTGTAATATGAGCGGCGGGGCTGCGTCCCCAGCATTCCGGCCGCCTACATGGCTAGCTTATGCCCTGAAATAATTACACAGAAACTGTATTCTTTTAAACACTGCCTGGCCTCTTATTGGCTAGCTCTTACATATCAATCTAACCCATTTCTAATATATCCCTGTAACACCATGAGGTGTCTTACCAGGGAAGATCTTAACCTGCATCTGTGTCTGTGTCCGGTAGGAGAATCATGGCGACTCCCTGACTCAGCTTCTTTCTCCCAGCATTCTGTTCTGTTTACTCCTCCCAACTATGTTTTAACCTATGAGGCCAAGCAGTTTCTTTATTAGTTAACCAATGACCTTCCTCCATCAATATTCCCTATATCTTCCAAGGAAAGAGTCAAGTAGTAATGACGTCATCATATAATCAGTTTTGGCATGTAAATAGTTTTCCCTCTAAAAAGAAACAGGGTTCCTTAAAGCTAACTTACACAGTTACAAAAAAATATTAGTAACCACCTGTGTCTTATCAGATCACCATGGATTAAAGTTAGAATTCAACAACAATGCTACCCCCAGAAAGCCTACAAACTCATGGAAACTGAACAGTCAACTACTGAACCATACCTGGATTAAGGAAGAAATAAAGAAAGAAATTAAAGTCTTCCTTGAATTCAATGAAAATAAAGAAACAACATACTCGAACTTATGGGACACTATGAAAGCAGTCCTGAGAGGAAAGTTCATAGCACTAAGTGCCCACCTAAAGAAAACAGAGAAAGCACATATTGGAGACTTAACAGCCCACCTAAAAGCTCTAGAAAAAAAAAGAAGCAGACTCACCTAGGAGGAGTAGAAGAATGGAAATAATCAAACTGAGGGCTGAAATCAACAAAATAGAAACACAGAAAACAATCCAAAGAATCAATGAAACAAAAAGCTGGTTCCTGGAGAAAATCAACAAGATTGATGAACCCCTATCCAAACTAATCAAACGACAGAGAGAGAACACACAAATTAATAAGATCAGAAATGAAAAGGGGGACATAACCACAGACACAGAGGAAATTCAGAGAGTCATTAGATCTTACTACAAAAGCCTGTATGCCACAAAACTGGAAAATGTAAAAGAAATGGACACTTTTTTAGATAAATACCATTTACCAAAATTAAACCAGGACCAGGTGAACAATCTAAACAGACCTGTCAGTTGCGAAGAATTAAAAGCTGTTATCAAAAACCTCCCTACCAAAAAAAGCCCAGGACCAGATGGTTTCAATGCAGAATTCTACCAGAACTTCCAAGAAGACCTAATACCTATACTCCTTAATGTAGGCTTCATTCCTGAGATGCAGGGCTGGTTCAACATACGAAAATCTATCAATGTAATCCAGCATATAAATAAACTGAAAGAAAAAAACCATATGATCATTTCATTAGATGTTGAAAAAGCATTTGACAAAATTCAACATCCATTTATGTTAAAAGTCTTGGAGAGATTAGGGATACAAGGGTCATACCTAAATATAATAAAAGCTATATACAGCAAGCCGACAGCTAACATCAAATTAAACGGAGAGAAACTCAAAGCCATCCCACTTAACTCAGGAACACGACAAGGCTGTCCACTCTCGCCATACCTCTTCAATATAGTGCTTGAAATTCTAGCAATAGCAATAAGACAACATAATGGAATCAAGGGGATTCGAATTGGAAAGGAAGAAGTTAAACTTTCGTTATTTGCAGATGATATGATAGTGTACATAAGCGACCCCCAAAACTCCACCAAAGAACTTTTACAGCTGATAAACAGCTTTAGTAATGTGGCAGGATACAAGATCAACTCCAAAAAAATCAGTCGCCCTCTTATACACAAAGGATATGGAAGCAGAGAGGGAAATCAGAGAAGCTTCACCATTCACAATAGCCAAAAACAGCATAAAATATCTTGGGGTAAATCTAACCAAGGAAGTGAAAGATCTATTTGACAAGAACTTTAAGGCATTGAAGAAAGAAATTGAAGAGGATACCAAAAAATGGATGGACCTCCCTTGCTCTTGGATTGGGAGGATCAACATAGTAAAAATGGCAATTCTACCAAAGGCAATTTATAGATTCAATGCAATCCCCATCAAGATCCCATCAAAATTCTTCACAGATCTGGAGAAGACAATAATCAACTTTATATGGAAAAACAAAAAACCCAGGATAGCCAAAACAATCCTATACAATAAAGGATCTTCTGGAGGCATTACCATCCCTGACTTCAAACTCTATTACAGAGCTACAGTAATGAAAACAGTGTGGTACTGGCATAAAAACAGAGAAGTCGACCAATGGAATCGTATAGAAGACCCGGATTTTATCCCACAAACCTATGAACACCTCATTTTCGATAAAGGAGCTAAAAGTATACAATGGAAGAAAGAAAGCATCTTCAACAAATGGTGCTGGCACAACTGGATGTCAACCTGTAGAAGAATGAAAATAGACCCATATCTATCACCATGCACAAAACTCAAGTCCAAATGGATTAAAGACCTCAATATCAGCCCGAACACACTGAACCTGATAGAAGAGAAAGTGGGAAATACCCTACAACAGATGGGCACAGGAGATCGCTTCCTATGTATAGCCCCAGAAGCACAGACATTAAGGGCAACATTGAATAAATGGGACCTACTTAAACTGAGAAGCTTCTGTAGAGCAAAGGACATGGTCACTAAGACACAAAGGCAACCTACTGACTGGGAGAAGATCTTCACCAACCCCGCAACAGACAAAGGTCTGATCTCCAAAATATATAAAGAACTCAAGAAACTAGACTTTAAAATGCTAATTAACCCAATTAAAAAATGGGGCACTGAACTGAACAGAGAATTCTCAACAGAAGAAGTTCAAATGGCCAAAAGACACTTAAGGTCGTGCTCAACTTCCTTAGCAATCAGGGAAATGCAAATCAAAACAACTTTGAGATATCATCTTACACCTGTCAGAATGGCTAAAGTCAAAAACACCAAGGATAACCTTTGCTGGAGAGGCTGTGGAGGAACGGGTACCCTCATCCATTGCTGGTGGGAATGCAATCTTGTGCAACCACTGTGGAAGTCAGTGTTTCGGTTTCTCAGGAAATTCGGGATCAACCTACCCCTGGACCCCGCAATACCACTCCTGGGAATATACCCAAGAGATGCTCTATCATATGACAAAAGCATTTGTTCAACTATGTTCATAGCAGTATTATTTGTAATAGCCAGAACCTGGAAACAACCTAGATGCCCTTCAATGGAAGAATGGATGAAGAAAGTATGGAATATATACACACTAGAGTACTACGCTGCGGTAAAAAACAATGACTTCTCGAATTTTGCATGCAAATGGATGGAAATAGAAAACACTATCCTGAGTGAGGTGTCCCAGACCCAAAAAGATGAACATGGGATGTACTCGCTCATAATTGGTTTCTAGCCATAAATAAGGGTCACGGAGTCTATAATAGCTGAACCTAAAGAAGCTAAGTAAGAAGGTGAACCCAAGGAAAAACATATAGGTATCCTCTTGGCTAAGGGTAAGTAGACCAAATTGCCGGGGAGAAAATTGGGATCTTGGGGGTGGGGTGGGATGGGGGTAAGGGGAGATGGGGAGAGAAAAGGTAGAAGGGAAGGAGGGGGGACTTGGGGAAACAGGAGGATTGGGATAAAGGAAGGGTGGATAGGGGAGCACGGAACCACAATTCTTAATTAAGGGAGCCACTTTAGGGTGGGCAAGAGACTTGACCCTAGAGGGGCTCCCAAGTGCCCAAGATGAGGTTCCCAGTTAGTTCCTTGGGAAGCTGAGGATAGGGAACCTGAAATGACCCTATCCTAGAGCAATACTGACGAATATCTTGCATATCATCATAGAACCTTCATCTGGTGATGGATAGAGATAGAGACAGAGACCCACACTGGAGCACTGGATTGAGCTCCCAAGGTCCCAATGAGGGAGCAGAAGGAGGGAGAACATGAGCAAAGAAGTCGGGACCATGAGGGGTGCACCCACCCACTGAGATAGTGGAGCTGATCTACTGGGAGCGCACCAAGGCCAGCTGGACTGTGACCGAAAAAGCATGGGATAAAACCGGACTCTCTGAACATGGCAAGCAATGAGGGCTGATGAGACGCCAAGGACAATGGCACGTGGTTTTGATCCTACTTAATGTGCTGGCTTTGTGGGAGCCTAGCCAGTTTGGATGTTCACCTTCCTAGACATGGACGGAGGGGGGAGGACCTAGGACTTACCACAGGGCAGGGAACCCGGACTGCTCTGTGGACTGGAGAGGGAGGGGGAGAGGAGTGGGGGGGGAGGGGGAGAAGGGTGGGAGGAGGGGGAGGGAAATGGGAGGCTGGGAGGAGGTGGAAACTTGTTTTTTGTTTATGTTTTTTTTCTCCTTTTCTCAATAAAAAAAAATAAAGATATCAATCAAAAATGATGTAATTCCCCACAAAACACCATCTAGACAGATATGCTATCTTTTGGAATGACATAACATAGATGATTATTTAAGATGTATTCTTGCTAAAACTGTTTAAATTGAATCAAATCAAGGTCTCAGAGTTAAACTTGGTAAAATCAAAAAAAAGTAGGTCAATCAAATATTCTTCAAAGAGAAGAGCAAAACACAGTGAAACAGGTCACTGTCTTCAGGGTCAGGACATGCAACTGTCAAATTTAATACATGCACTATTCATGATCAAAGCCTAGACCTAAAGAAGACTAAATATAGTCAGCACAGTGGGAAAGTTAGGGAAATACTGTCAATTTTTCAGTAAAATAACATTATTACAATTATGCAAACAAAACTTTCTATGGTAGAGATATATGCTAAAAATATTTGTCTACAATTTTAGTAGTCTACAAAAAATGGATAAAGTAATTACAGAAATGTCAGTAATCACAAACCATTAATCCTGTTGATGGTGTGCAAGAGTCTCACTGATTGTTGACCTGAAAAATTCCTAACCTGCCCCCCACAAAAAAATTTTCAGAAATACCTTAAATCTTTGCAAACTTCCAATTTTTTCAGTAACTTCAGCTTCCATTGACACTAAGTCATTCTTGTGCTTCCCGTTTTCTTTCCTAAGCTGCCGCTCCATTTCCACCAGGGTTGTATACTGCCGTATGAGGGACTTCTCATTCACTTGCAAAACGGTGATTTTCCTACTGTTTTCCGAAAGCATTTTCTTCATCTCATTTGAATCCATCTGAAGAGCACTGAGCAGATTCTGCAGAGAAGCACACTGGCGTTACTAAGTGAACCAGCTATCCTCGGGAGCCTGGCAGAGTAACATCCCGACTCAGGCTTACATTATACTCCTTCACTTTCACAGCATCCTGCTGGACTTGGTCCTCAAGCTTCCTCTTCTCCTCTTTTGTTGTCTCAGACTCTGTTTTCCACGTCTCCTTTTCACTATAATATCATGCAATAACAATGAAAAAGATAATAAATAGAATAATTTTTTTAACTGCAAAAGGGATGAATTTAGATTATGGAAGCTTTAAATATTCTCAGAATGAAAGACACACTACCAAACATTCAAATTACAAGATGTTACATTTTCACTCAATGTTTTAGTAAATTAAAAGTGGTAGCAATTTTATCAAGTTATTTCCATCTTTATTTGCCCAATCTCTTTAATATATTTGCAACATAATACCTCAATCTTCATCCAGACTTGAAACATAAAAGTCAAGTCTACAATATTTTGTCAATAAAAATTAAACAGAAAAAAAAAAAACTCCAAGGCTTAAAAATTCATTTGAACAGGGTTCTTTGAAACTTCACTTTAGCATTAAAGGTTTCATAACTAAATGGCATAAAAACCTAACTTTGCAGAGCACGTACTGGATTAAGTTGATTTGGTAAAAGCATATATATGTATGTATTTTTATTTTATATATATATATATGTGTGTGTATGTATATATAACTTTAACTGAATAACTACTAAGAATATAGGATTAATAAACAAAGACTGTATAGAGAAAAAGATTAAGAATATAAATATAGTTAATACACTAAACAAATTCTGAAAAACTCAAAATTCTGGCTCAACTTAAATATGAGCAATGAATATACAAAAAAATTTTTGAATGCAAATATTAGAAATGACTGAATTTGGAGAAAACTTCATAAAGTGGACAGAGGGTCCCAACCCTATCCAAAAGCTATTTGCATTTGATACCCAATGGCAAAGAGAAAATCATTTTTCTCCAAATCTAGTGATTTCTAATATTTGCATTCTAAATATTTTGTGCATATAGCATAAAACAAATACAGATTTACTTTTCAATTAAAATAAATCTAGATGAACCAGTTTTACAAGTATATAAGTCATTTTTGCTAACTGAAAAGTCATACAACTGTTAATTTATGCTTGGCATGAGCGAATTTTAGTGGCATAATTACCTTTGCCTCTAAATGGTTTTGATTTCAACATATGACTTAATTTTGATTAGATATGTGTCAAAATATGGAAAAACATGTTACTCTTCTTCAATCAACATGACTCTCTGGTCTATGAACGTCTAGAAATATTTTATAACGACAGTAGCTAACAAAAATGCATATAAATTGATCCATCCTCTAACTACCTCTGGGTTTCCTGTCAAGCAGATGCTACCATAAGTGTTCAGAATCACCTTTGGCTATGAAGCCTCCTTCCTACTAAGAATATGATCGTCGTGATGAGGTGAGAGGTAAGGGGAGGCATGGTAGTCCCTAAGAACATGGTTGTGTAAAGGTGACAGGATGAGTACTGCGAACAACAGCAACTATCTATCGTGTATAGTTGTGCTATGCAATAACTTGAATATTTTCTTGTAATTATTCACTTAAATGCATGACAACCCTATTGGTGTTTAAAAAAAAAGTGTTATCATAGATTTTTACAAGCAGCTAAGACACACACAGTAAAGGAAAAACAACTAGCTCAGTGTCTCACATTTACCTAGTGCTGGAGTCTGGTTCATCTCTGTCAATCCCAGACATGAAGAGGGCTGAGATCACTGAACTAATTCAGAAGCACATTTAAACACACTTTTGACAACAGTTATGTGGAGGGGATCAGTACTTTTCTTTGTGACTAAAAAACAGTACAATATCCAACTAAATTTATAAAGTTTCAAAACATAGATACCTTAGATATTCTTTATATAATAAACTTTGTTGATGACGAATTACTGCAAATTTTCTGTTATAATCTTCAAGAGAATCTTCTAAATGTTTTAACTTCTTTTCTTTATTGTCTAGGTCCTAAAAATTAAGTTTAAATAGCATTACACTACATTTTGAATTCAAAGGGTACAGATTCACATTCCAAAAATATTATTAAAACTCCATATTTCAAACATTTTAACATAAGATACAAAGAACAAGGTAATACACATAAAAGTCCTATAAAACAAGCAAAATTATTCTTTTCAAATGTGGTAGCTGCAGTAAGCACACATCTATCTGATACAGTATTCACCTTGAGCATAAACATTTATCAAACAGAACAGTCAAACACTCAACTCCTATTATTTAGCGACATATTCTTTGGTCAGCAGACATTTTTGTGCCTTGACTAAAATTAGCCTTTCTATGTCTTTTTAAACATGGGGAAACTGTGAATTAATTAAAGCACTCATTTGCATGCAGGTGAGTGCACGATGCAGCCTGGAGGCCAGAGGATAACTTAGGGCATCTGTTCTCTCCTTCCAATACATGGTGCAGCGACTGAAGACAAACAGAGGCTGTCGGGGCCGGCACCAGTGCCTGTACCCACAGCGTCATTTTGCTAGGCCCCCGCTTTTTTATTAAAAAAAAAAATCTTAGATCAAGTATATCACGTTGCCATTATTTGTTGACGATGTCCCTCTAATGTACAAAAATCAATCATTAATAATGCCATGAATTTAAAAGTAGTGATATAAGATGAATTTTAAAGGAATGTTTTGATATGTTGTTAAGTTACCCTTACATGATTCCTGTATCATACAAATTCAAATAAAGAGTAATATTATATATAAATACAAAACCAAAATTTGATGATTATAACTCAAGTATCACACTAATAGATAAGCTAGCAGTGAGAAGAAATGCTGCTTAAAATCAGAAATGTATTTTTGTTTTGAATAGATTTTTCAAGTACAATTACAGGGCAAGTGATGAAATAGAGCACCCTTCCTAATTTGCAGTGGACCAACATTTACCCAGGAAAGAAATGGTGAGGGTCAGGTTTACTTGCAAGCTTTTCTGTGATTAGCACAAAAAGAGACAATCTACTAAGGGCATTGAGAAGCTTTGCCCTTTCCTTGTCTTGCTTTTCTAACCAGTAATAAACACAAAACGATGCTACTTTATGGCATCTGCTTATAATTCTTCATGTCTTTATACATTTCAAATGACTAACACAGATCAACAAGAGACATGAACGTGCTTTACATGTAGGTAAACAGAATAAACTTCCCTTATATTAGTCCAGCTGACTCACAATCTACTAATAGCATACCTGTTTACTCTGAGAACTCACAGGAATTCATAGACTAAATTAAGAAACATACTACCAAATACGTTTGCCATTACTACAAAGATTACCAGTACCTGCAAAAGATGTATTAAGTATTCATTCTGGGAATTGATGATATGGGCACTAGACGGTGCTATCCCATCAGGCAAGTCTACACCTCTGTAAACTACATTGGCTCCTGCAGACTGGCGGAGAAGATCAGTCTCTTTCTCCAGATGATCAATCTGGAAACAACCCAGGAATGATAATCACGCTAGGAAAGTGACCAGGCAGGAAGTTATTCTTCAGCTTTCTCCACTGAGCATCTTTTTAAATGGTCAGGAAGAACTTGACAAGAATTAATAAAACTTTAATTTTTTTACTTAGAAATCCCTAATACAAGATTAGAGTTTTTATGTTCTCTTATATAGTAAAGGAACTTACTTTTCCACATAGCTTCATAAGGAATCTTTATGAGAGACATCAGGATGTTCAGCATAAATAGGGCTCAAGGATATATGCGGAAGAGGGGCAGAAAGATGCTAGGGACCAGAGGTTGTGGAGGACTCCATGGAAATAGCATTTCCAGTCCCAGCAGGGCAGATGCCCATATGGAGACTGTTGTTGACAGCACACACAATATCTGCACAAGATCAAGCCTGACAAATAGCAGCACAGAGGAAATGATGTGCTCACCAAGTCCCAGCCTTAGCTAAGCAGGCATCTGTAAAACTGTCCAGAGAGGAAGAAACCTGTTTCTTCAGTAGGTCAACACGGAGTATAACCACCATACTCCAGGGCAGGTGCCATGCTCAGGAGTAGGTAGCTGGCTACCACAAATCAGTCTGAGGTTTTTGTTGTTTGTTTTTAGTTGTTGTTTTAAGAGGAAGAAAGAACATGAAGTATGATTGTTAGACAGGATCTAAACCGATCAAGCATGGATGGGATATGGTCAAAATACACTATAAGAAATTATCAAAGAATAAATAAATAAAAACATTTTCAAGTTTCCAAAAAAAAAAAAAAAGGTGGTTTAGGGTTGAAAGAACTCAAAGGACATTTTCCTTTCAAAAAAAGTCTTTAAAAAAAAAAGCTTCCTAGTTAGAGTGGTGGTGGCACATACCTTTAATGCCAGCACTCAGGAGGCAGAGGCAGATGGAAGTCTGTGAGTTCAAGATCAGCTTGGTCTACAAAGCAAGTTCTAGGACAGCCAGGATAAACAAACAAAAAAAAAAAAACAACAAACCAAAAGTTTCCTATTAAAACAGACAGTCATAGCTTTAATATTTTCTTGTATTTAATAAAAGTCTCACCTTTAAGTTTGCTTTTGCCAACTGCTGTGAATAATTTATAGCCTCTTTCCGAGACTCCCTGAGTTCTTGCCTTAATTCTTCATTCCTTCCTGTAAGTTGATCAACTTGGGCTTTCAAATGCAAACTGGCATCAAAGATTCCTTCTGCATTCTTTGATTCTATAGCCTAGTATATTTATATTACATATTATAAATGAAATGGAAAACAGTAAAATCAGAGACAAGAAAAATATGTCTTTCAATAATTTAATCAACTTCCTACGTTCACTGGCATGTCTAATAAGACTGTTATTTAAATTTATATATATAGTAATATTTATAAAATTTAAGTTTAGCTTATGTTACTGATTACTTCATTATAATAAATAACATTAAGTAAATATTAATCGATAAGTAAAGCAGAAAATAGCCAGACAGTAATAAGATGATCAGCATTCATATAAGAGGCAGTTTCTTGTTAGCTGGGCAAATACTGGGTTTCTCACATCTTCACTTCCTCACTTCAGCATCTAGAAAGTAGAAGAGTTAGTTCTGCCAGTCTGGGGATGCACTGTGATTAGCTGCTCTGGTACCTGCCGCTGACACTTTCCTGCCATAACAGGCCGTACCTGAAATGTATAATTCATCCTATTTCTTAAGGTGCTTTTTATCTGAGTATTTTATCACAGCATCAGAAGCAGAAATCCCTAGAAAAGGACTGGCTGCAGACAGACATTATCATCACACGTAACTTACATTAACCAGTCTTTCCAGACTTGGGATGATTAGAGAAGTTTCACCTCCTTTCACATCAGGGTCCTTCTGCATGTCCTTAATAGCTTGCAAAATTTCTTTCATGCCTTCTTCAAGTTGCTTATTTTCTTCAACTAATTCTTTTACTGTAATTATATTTTTTCACATTGAATAAATATATTGTTCTTACAACTTACATTTTCCATGTACATGACAGATTTTTCAGATAAAAAAAAATTGGAGGACAAAAATGTAAATAAAAAATCCAACTATAAATGGAACAAGAACAATCGACTTAAACACCATGCCTATTTTAGTCATATGCATACACACACACACACACAGGCAAACATGCACAGGCACACATGTGGCATAGCTCTGTTATATTAAAATCCTTATATTTTTATAACTTTACTTTCACTTAAGCATATAAAATATGTGATGTACTTTTATAAAAAATGGAACTTTAACATTCTATAACAATAAAAATGCCTATGTAAACCACAAAGCTATGTAACAGGGACTAAGCTAAGATTATAAAGACAATTAAAGATTAAAAAATAACTAATTAGCCGGGCAGTGGGAGCAAATGTCTTCAATCCCAGCACTCAGGAGGCAGAGGCAGGCAGATCTCTGTGAGTTCGAGGCCAGCCTGATCTGCAAGAGCTAGTTCCAGGACAGGGCTCTAAAGCTACAGAGAAACTTTGCCTCGCAAAATCGAAAAGTAAATAAATAAATACATAAATAAATAATAAAGTATTAAAGTTTACATTCTAGTGTAGAGAAATTAGGTATAGAAAAGGAAGAGATAATAGTGACTTACATTTATTCTGAAATTTAGCAATTACCGTCCTACTTCTTTCTAAGTCTCTTTCCTTCTCAATTAGTTCTCTTGAAAGAAATTCATTCTGAACAAAGAGAATAAACATGTTTCATAAAATATCACAGTAATAAATAGGTGTCAGGTTAAAACAATGCTTTATAAATTCAAGTTTAGCACATCAGAAAAGAGGCTACAGAGACAGAGCAATTATAAAATGAAGGCCCAAGGATAAAACCAGAGATGCTACCACCTCTTCCTCCCGCTCTCCCCGTGGCTGGCAGGAGGCTGGGGATAGCAGCAGTTTCTGTCCTAGTATCAATTGTTGTTGCCCTGCACGGTCTGTCTTTACACTACCTGTTCTGCCTGGCTTCTCTGACGGTCAAGTTCTATTTCTGCATTTCTACTCTGTTCTTCTTGGATCGATAAATCCTGTGCTATATTTGCATTCTAAAGAAACATTTAATATATTAGGCAAGTCAACAAGTTCAAAGCAAATATATTGTAATTATTTTAGTTTTTATTTTAAAGTACAGATCTGTTATTATAAATGAGTTTTAATGTGCAGATAAAAAGAAATCTTATCTAGAACTCTGGTAAGAAAATAAGACAAATTGCATGAAGAAAGCTCACCTGCAATCTAAGGAATACTAGCTCTTTCTGTAGCTGTTGTATAAGATTTTCAAGGGGATCTAGCTGAGATGACTTGGGCTGTGCAGTAACAGGCACAGGATCTGCACTTCTCAACATCTCAGTCTGTGAGGGTGACTCACTCTGTCTTTTCTCGTCTTTTACACTGAGCTCAGCACACTTCACTTCATAATGGAACTGTTCATCTTCTGATGTTACTTTTTCCACATCATGGTCATACGATTGTTGACAAAATACTGCGGACTTTTGCCCATGTGATAATTTCTGCATTAATTCTGAAGCTCTTGGTGATGCTTGAAATGATGAACTGCTTTTCTGTAAGAATATGTTTTTTTCTAGAGCTTGCTGGCTTCCTGACACTTTCTTCACACACTCCTTGGAAAGAGAGCATAGGTAATCACTTATCTCTTCATTGCTCTCTTTACTGAGGGCACTGACTAATGACTCTAGATTTCTCACAGACTGCAGACATGGTGCTTTAAAAATCTCCCTTATTGTAATAGCTTCTGGAGCTGTAGTATCGTCTTTCATTTGCAAAAATGAGGAACCTCTAGTTAAAGAGACCATAGGATGCACTCCACTTTCTACGCTACGATGAATTGCAGGCAGCATTCTCGACAATGATTGTATGATCATATTCTCCTCTGTCTCATTCTGATCTGATCGCAGAATACTGAAAGATGGTCTCCTAGGCAGCAGCTCTACTGTAGCTGAACTCTTAATCTGTGTTCAAAGTAAATATGTCTCGTTAATCCATCCAGAGATACCAAGTTATTTAAGCAAGTTATTTAACAGCTAAAAAGAGCAGAAGAGCTAAATGAGATTAAGTGAAGAAAAAATGCACTGCTAGTCTTGTCCTTTATTCTTGTTGTCAAAGCAATACTGTTTACCTTTGATTGTGTTTCATTCATGCTTTTGAGGCTCATAAAATTTAGTTGTCTTTCTCCTATTTTATCTTCCTGAGAAAACTTTTCAGTTAGGTTCGAGTCCTCCATGGTTAATCCTACAATATGAATTAACAAATAAGAAACCAACACAAAAATCACTCTCCTTTAATACAATGCAAGAATTAAGTTTTAATTCAAACAAAAGGTCCAATATTTCTAAAATCCTAGATCAACATGTAGCCAATATAACTCTCTAATCTTGTTTATTTTTAATAAGTTATCAATAAAATGAGACTGACTTGAATGTACCTTCTTTATCATTTTTATGCTAATTTTAAAGTAACCAATAATAAGTTGTAGAACTATTTAAGTCCTAAGAGAGGGCAGGGTACCCTGCCATGTGGGAAGTCCAAGACCCTCCCCACTCCATCAAGACTCAGGAAGGTGTGCATCCAAATAGACTAGGATCCCAAAAAGCCAGTACATGCAGTAGAGACACATCCCAGTGCCATTATCATTGGCTTCTCAGTCTGCCCCAGTGTAATTACTAGCTGCATTCTAAAGAGCTATCTTTACACCCACAGATAAGAATGTATCTCTCACTCTCTCATCAAAGAAACACCTCTTTGCAGCAGATGGACACCATTACTAAAAGCCATAACTAGTGAAAATACAGAGAATAATGACTATGGGGAGTCCATTCCCAACTGAGAACAACTGAAACATAACCCTTATACCGGAGGCTCACGGGACATTGCAGAAGGACTGAAACATGGTAAGAGGCAGAGGACCAGGGAGTCTGCTGAAAGACTGAGTCGTCTGTGTATGACAGGGAAATCACAAAAGACAGCTGCTTAAACAAGACCTTAACAGTGACGACACCAGTTTACATCTTAACACGACTATGATCAATCACACGGGGCTACCACTACGTGAAAAGCTATAAGAAATCACAAACTGCTGAGAGGAAGAATTAGTTTTCCCTTAGATAAGGACCCTACCCAGTTTACCACTGTCGAGTGGTCAGCCCTAAAAACCAACGTCAGAGAATACAAGGTGGAATCAGTAGGCTGCATTTACATATTTATTTGCACACACACAGACACACACACACACGCAAGATGGAGGGAGGAACATGGGAGTGTTATGGGAGGAGAAAATAAGAAAATAATATTTTAATTTTACAAAAGTGTGTAATGCTTCTCCAAAGGACCCAAAGTTCATTCACAGTACCCACACCAAGCAACTCACAACTGCCTATAACTCCATCTCCAGGGAACCCAATGCCTTCTTCTGGCTTCCATGGGCATTGGCACACATGGTGCAGAGAAATGCATACAAAAGTAAAAATAAAACTTAAAAAAAATTTAAAGAAAGAAACACTTTCTACATGGTCCTCAAAAACGAACTTCAGTGGATGGTACAAAAACTACATTGCCTTTCTAAAAGGTAAACAAACAAATGTATGTAAGTTCAGTGAAAATATTTAAAGTAAATAATAAAAATAACCTTCCAATTTACAACTTTCACAACAAAGTGCCATTCTAAGGTGACATACACTGACATAAAAATTACTGTTTTAAGCTTAGCCACAAGAAAGTGGATAAAATCAACAGTCTGTACCCTGAATTTGTCAAAAGTGTATAATTCCTAAACTTGGTTGTTGTTTTGTTTAACTGTTTCAGGGTAGGATCAAACCAATTAATACCTAGCTATCTCCTTTTCTGGATAATATTTTCTCCTATTACTTGGACCAGACTCCCGGCAACAGAGCACAACAGAGCAAAATCAATTGCCACACCCAGCACACCCCAGGTCCAGGGAGTCCTCCCCGCACGACACTTTCACAAGTATAGAGTGACTGAGAATACCTGAAGCTGCATTTCTTCTTCCTCTTTCTTGAGCCATTTGACGAATTTTTCTTTTCAAATCAAGTCGTTCTTCCTCGAGACTTTCAATCTGCAAAGTATGCATTATTAGTAAGTAGTTCCCCTTAATCCAGACAAGAAAACCGTCAATTGAGCACCACTTGCCTCTTTCAAAAGTATCTGGTTTTCAGCTCTGTACTGCTGCTGTTTTAAGCGTTTACTGTTTCTAAATTCAGTTAAATCAATCATTGTCTTTGGTTCAAGGCCTGAAATAGAAGGCAATATAATTACAAACTTAACAACTGGCAAACCAGTGACAAAATCTTCATAGAACATCAGGTAACTAGGATTATACATCAGTCGGTATCACTTGAAACCTGGAGATTTCTTACGCACGAATTTTCCAGACAGTTAAACTCCAAAGCACATTAAAGCTAACTAATTAGAAAACCCTGACAAACACATATGCAAAGGTGCTACGATTCATTAGGGAACCCAGTCAGGAGGTAAACTTGGATCCACTCTCACTTTCAACTTGTAACTTAGATACAGAAATGACATTATTTGTTTGTTTATTTATTATTTTAATTTGCCCAGAATATAATAAGATTATGCTTAGAGCAGTGCTGGGCAGGTAGCAATGTTTATTAATACTAATAATGTTATTATTGGTCTAATTCTTTCAGCTAACCTGTCTCCTAATTTGTCTCCTAATTTGCCTCCTAATTTCACCTCCTGAGGTGAAAAGCAGGATCAAGACAATGTAAAATAATTGTAAACCACACTTTGATAATTAAAGCTAAACCCCTAGCCAGGCAATGCTTATATACGCCTTTAACCCCAGCACTCAGGTGGCAAAAGCAGGCAGATCTTTGAGTTCAGGGCCAGAATGGCCTTTAGAAGTACAGACAGAATTACAGGCCAACCAGAGCCATTGGTTACACAGAGAAACCCTAGGGGAAAAAATTTAAAAAAATGCTAAACTCCTAAAGGCAGAAAACTTGGCTTTTGTTGCAGCTTTCTAGATATGTTAGAAGTTACTCAGTCATACTTCTAGGCTCCTAGCTATGACCTGACCAGTCAAGTTAATCAGAAACCTTCAATGGCTAATATAATCCTAAATTCTAGTGAGATTATTTATTCACAAATAAATAATCCATATAAAGTATTTCTTTTCTTTTGATTTTTTTTATTTTATTTTGTTTTGTTTTTTCAAGACAGAGTTCCTCTGTTTGTTTAGCCTTGACTGTCCTGAAACTCACAAAGATCCACCCGCCTCTGCTTCCCAAGTGCTGGGATTAAAGGTATGAGCCACCACTGCCTGGCTTTATTTTTCTTATACACAACAATTTTATAGATTTTTCAGTTTAACTCTGAGAAATCCCTAATTGGTATTTAGCAAGTAGAATGAAATCTTATTTAAATTATACTATTCATTGTAAGGAAGCACCCTAGATGATGCACCTTAGTTATAACTTACAATATAAACCAGCAATATTAATGATTCACCATTTATTCTAAAAAGTACATAAATTCCAAAGTTCCATTTGTAAATTACATCTTAGACTAAATGGAACTCTTAAAATACCCAAGTAAAACATATGCAGTTTAAATTGTATTTCTATGTCCTTAGAAGGTTTGCAAATTACTTTTAAATGGCCTCATCTGAAACAAAATCAGTTTGTAAACTAACAATTCATACAGATGTTTCCTATTTGTAGAAATACAGTTGTCTTCTCATATTTAGCATAATAAAATGCACTTTCACCTTACAATAAGCAGTTATTACTGAAGACATACCAGGCCAATGAAAGCCATGTTCCTTACCAACCATCCCAACACAGTGAGGTCCCTCAACCATTTCACTCAGGGTATCTCCACTTTTAAGTGTTTCTACAGAAATATTTATTTGGGGAAAAGTCCCCTTCAACTACTGAGAAGTAAATAAACAAACCTATCATAATGCCAGAGGCAACGCACAGGGGAAGAAGGAAGAATGTGTGTGGAATGAGAGGATTCTGATTGGGGAATAGGGCCACTGATCCTACCAAAGTATAAACAGAACAAAAGTAACAAAGAAGACTTGAAAAGCAGGGTATAGGAAAAAGAAATGTCTCAGAAATGAGCTTACCGGCCTGTTCTCTAAGGGCTTCGTTTTCATCAAGGACATCATTGATCTTCATCTCAAGTTTATTGATTTCCTTGGTCAATACTTCAATCTCTCCATCTCTTATTTTAATTTGGGCTTTACAATTCTTTATTTCAATAACAGCATCTTCTAAGCCATATACACCCTGAAAAATACCCCATCTAACTTAAATATAACATAATTTATTTGAACAAATAAATGTATGAATTTACTTTTATATGAAGTTGAAGGGTAAGCCTACCCACACCTGTATTTTATATGGCAGATATTTTATAACTAATACATAAAAATGATTTATAAACAATATTTATGTATCAGTTATAAAATATATTAAGAGTATTTTACTAAGCATCAATAAACCAAATCTAGTAAAGAGGGTAGAATAAGAACATCTGACACCGCAGCAATGTGACTCAAAATATTACATACGAAACACTGAGTACACAGACATACACATAAAGGCATAGACATAAAAACATAAAAATAAAATGAGGCATACCGATCAGAGTATATAAACATACATATATGGTTCAAATGAGCTTTTCTCAGCTGTGCTGACAACGCTCCCTCCAAAAGCCAAAGACCACCTGACAGAAACCCCAGTACCTTTTGAGCTGCTGGTCAAGGTTTCTAAGAGACTCTCAAAGCGTACAGCCTGTTGCTGTTGCCCTTGACTGTCCCCCAGAGGTAGAAGGACAGTCTCAGACACCATGCATTTCAGAAACAGTGCCAGAGACCCCTGGCTGGAGCAGATTCTTAAGCCCCTTCCCTAAGGACTGGCTTTGTGGTGCCAGGCACCATGCAAGCTTGCAATGCAGGGAGCAACTAGCAGACCTGCACTCCTGTGGCTTATAAACCACCAGCACCAGCATGGCACAGTAGCCCTAAGGGGAGCTGCTGGGGTGAGTGAAGCCAGGGTTACTGCAGGAGAAGCCACAGCACCACTTTACTAGACAACAATCGAAACATCTGTTCTATACCTATAATAAAGTGCAATCCTCTGTATCTATGCAGAAGGAGGAAACCATTACTGAAAACCACAGCCAATCAAAATACATAATTGTGGAGGTCAGTCAGGCTGGGGGCCATTGCAAAAGAGGGGGCACAATCTTAAGAGTGAGATAATCAGGGAGATTGTTTATCCTACTAAATGTCAGAAGTTATGCCATAAAGTCTCATCAACACGCCTGCCTACATAAGACCAGAGATATGCCCAGGTAGATGAAGAAAACCCACGAGGCCTCAACCCTACACAAAGAACTACAGGCTATTACCGAACGCTGAGTAGGAAAAATAGTCTTCTCCAGTAAAAAGCACAACTGGTTATCCAACATCAAAGAAACACATAACAGTAATACATGCTGATAAAATTGTATTTAGGAAGATATACATATATACATGTAATAACAATTAATGAAAAAGGAAGCAGTGAGAATAAGTAGGGGCATGTGGGGGGTTGGAGGGAGGAGAGAGGATGGAGAAATACTATAATAAGAATATCAAACATAAAAGGAAAAAATAATAAACTTTTTTACAAAAGACAAAAAACAGCTTTGGAAACAACCCCCATGCTATAAAACAAATGCCCAAGAATTTGAATAGTTTAAAAGCAACAGAGCTATAGAATGTTTTCTGCATGGAACACGATACCAGCCACAGAGCAGAGCCCATGTCAGGGTGATTTGAAGCTTTTTGGCGGACAGGGTGAAAATACTTACAGATTCATAATCTTTTAATCTCTTCAAAGCCTCAGCCAAGTCTTTATCCTTCTCCCTGGCATCAGCCTCAGCCAGGTCGGCTATTCGCTCAGCCTCTTTGGCTTTCTCTTCTAGACTTTGTACTTTTGAGTGAATCTTCATATAATTAGTCTGCTGATGAAAGCTTGAAGTACCTAACCACATGAAGACAGAATCACGAGTGAACTGAGTTGAGGAATTAATATTCCTTCCTATTAGTCAGTTGTTCCCAAACAGGGGCAGAAGACGTAAGGCACAAAAATTCTTACATGTTAGAATTTATATTTGTGAAACCAAGGACCAAGTACTGTTTTATTCATTAATAAAACCAACTAAAAAGTAGAAGTGAGTACAATTACTCTAACTAGAAGGATGTGGATTATAAAAATGAGTGTAAGAGACATATTACTAAGACAGAGGATGTTTAATGGTCACAATAATCAACATTTTTTGACCACCATTGACAGAATAGATTTTCAGCTGGACAAATGGCCAACCTCAAGGTCTAGAACTCTTCTTTCTTCTCCACTTCACCAACGGAATCTTTCCACTGGTCTATAAAACTTAAAAACTTTTCTAACTTTCCTTTCTCCTCCTCAGCCTACTACTTTCTTTTCTTTCTTTTTTACCTTTTATTCCCCCACCCCCCCCCCCCAAAAAAAAAACAACAACTAAAAAGATTTCCTCCATTTTTTCTCTTTTTCTGTTTGCTTTGTATTCAAGCATGGGCATTACTAAGCTTGATGATTATCTCAGTGTTTATCTTGAGCTACCACAGAAATGAACAGTTTGTTTTTCCTAGGTGACATTTTATGTGGCTGCCAGAACTCAGAATCTTACGGTGCCCCATCTCTCTGCACAGTACTTCTTAGTCTATTTCACCTCATCAGCCTCCAGATTGGAAGTATTCCCAGAGATTCCTTTTGCGATTTTTACATAAGCTATAGGCCCTCGCCTGATGACCTAGACAAGTCTCATAACTTCAAATAGAATTATGGAGATTCCATAAAGTATGCCAAACTTCAGTCTTTAGCCTACATTGTGCTTTAAGAACTTTAGAAGAGAAGCCATATACAAGTATCTGTTTAGCATCTTTAGCTGGAGCCTAATAAACATCTCAAATTGAACATGTTCAAAACACTACCTCATCATCTCTAAACCTGCCCTTCTCCCCATCCTTTCCAAGATACAGATCAAAAGTCCTAATGAGTGACCCTCAAATCCTCCACCTAACTAACCCAACTTCTATCACCTTCAAAACACAGCTAAAACTGACTTTGTTAATACCTCTGTTAGCATAAGGCCCAGTGTATGAGGTCATTCCCATAGTGTGGAAACAGTTCTCCCTGCTTCCTACCTTTAACCGCTACTGTCTACAGCAGACACAGTCTAGGTGAGACAAAATCATTCCCATCTCTTTTACCCAAAATAAAAATCAAAGTGTTCACTATAAACTAAAGACTTTTAATAGCAGGCCTTTAGCATCCTCTTTGATCTTTTTTCAGCTACTTTTCATTGTTCAGTGTTGTCCAGCTACCAGCCGTTACCCGCTGACTCCTAAACAGGTAGTGGTTTTGAACACGCTCCCACTGGTTCAACCATACACCCTGCTTACTCCTTCCCTGCCTGTCCAGTGAGACTCACTTCACTGTATAATACAACCTGTATTTCACACCTACTTTTTTATCTTCAGCAATTACAAGTACGCCCATTTGAACTGCTATACCTCAGTATAGTACAACATGTACTTTTATAGATATACTAGTATTTTTCTCAAGGGCTTCAATTCGGAGGATTTGATGTGATAGACAACATAGTATAACAATCAAAGAATAGAATGAGAGATTTTTGTAGAATTATTTCAAATGCCAACACACAAAATGATTTCTGAAAATAACTGACTACATGTACATATATGACCATTTTAACTTTCTAATACTAATGTCTAAGTAATTTTCAGCATTAGAAAGATGACAGAAAAGTATGCATTACTTACAAGTTTAAACACTAGGAATCTGATATAATTAATATTTTACAAATTAAAATATTTATAATTTAAAAAATAGTTTAGTAGCATATCAATTTTATTTTGATAGTCTTCTGAAACACAATGATATATGGAAGTCATATACTTATAAAATATTAGATTACCTTTGTCTTTCTTGATCTCATTTTTCAAATCTTCAATAATAAAAGTATTTTTTTCCATTTCTTTCGTGTACTGTTCTACCTGTTCAGTAAGCATCTTAATTTGACTGTCTCGTTCCTGGATTCCCTATAAAATGTTTTGAAGTATCAAATAAACTTTCTTGTTATGAACACAGTTTTTTTTCAACTAATAAGAGAATATATATTCTTGTGGCCAAACTATGTTTCTTTTAAACATTTCTATCATATTAGTTAATTTATTTTGTGTGTGTGTGCTTGCAGGCAGGAGTGTGGAGGTCAGGTGACAACTTGTAAGGGTCAGTTCTCTTTTTTCATGACACTGGTTCCAGGGACTAAACTGGGGTGTCAGGTATAACACCAACGTGGCGCCAGACCCAGCAAACTATGTTTCTTAAATATTCCTCCAACTGTACTGCAAACATGTAGTTTACTGTTATCATGTTAATATATAAAGATGGAAAATGTATTCCAGAACTCCCTAATATTTGTGACTTTTATAACTTCTTACATATTTTTCTCATCATCCATTGAATCTTATCTCTACCACTGTAATGTTTGCTTTCTCTGTGACTTTTGCACTTTATGTAGAAACAACATCCTCATTGTTCTCATTCATCAAATACATCTCAAATTCTATTCTGTCTTTAGTACTTTAACTGGAAAGAATACACATAAGGGAAGGGAAGGGTTTTTATTTATTTATTTATTTTTTGTTGTTTTTCTGAATGAGTTTGTTTTCCTAAAAATAAAACCTTTAGGAAGCACATTAACAATATAACCACACTTAGTTTACTTGATTTAGCATAGGCATAAATATATGATAATAAACGTTAAAAGGTAGTAAGATTTTAAAATCAATAGGTTTTTAATAGATTCTTAGAATTCCTGACTGACAATACATAGTAATATAAACAAGCAAAATAATTCTAATCTGAATATACCTCTCACTCTAAACTTAACTCTGGTCTCGCCTTCCCATATTTGGGAATGTATGAGAAACTTCACAGTTTGTTACACACTCAGTAATGGAAGCCACCAATTAGGCACGGTGAAACACACAGGCCAGCTCGGACATTAACATAACATGCTGATATTGCAAATTTTGAGGTTTTACCTGTTTCAGAGCCATGATGTTACTTTTATCAGCATCAAGTTGGGCATTTTTAAGTTTCTCTCTCAGATTATGTAACATTTGCTGATATTCAATGATTTCATCATCTTTGGAAGACAAAATTAACTATAAACAAAACAAGATACGTTATTTAAAAAAAGAAAATTAACAAACCACTTTTCATTTATAGAAAATAATAAATACCTTTAGTACATTTAAAGCAATACAAAAAATAAAATGCTTTTAAATTGTTTTTTAGTGTGTGGTATACAATGTGTTTGTTTGCATGTCTGTGATCAGGGGCTGACAGGGGTATCATTCTCTTCAGCTCAGGTCTTTCATTGAGCTTAGATCTTACAGGTTATATAGATTGACTGGCCAAGGAATCTGCCTGTCTCTGCCTCCCCAGTATGCTCACAAGGTACCAGGGATCCACACTTCGGGCCTCATGATGCCACACAACTACTGTATCATCTCCCCAACCCAGGAAGTAAAATTAATTTAATAAAAGAATGTCAGTAACTACAACTATTATAATACAGATTGAAATTTACAATTCAACCCTTAAAGGAAATTCTCACCTCGATTCTCAAAGTTATACAACTACAAAATATTTTATATGTCTATTAAGTAAACATTAAAATTTCAGAGAAAAGTACAATGTATCTTTAATGAATGGAAGAGTATGTTATATTCTTAGCTACAGGGAGCAAAACGTCATAAGGATGGTAATAAAGATCATAAAAATTGTCCATAAGAGTCTAAAAGTCAAAAACAAAATGAGAACAGGTTTTTAGGTATTTAGACATGCAACAATTTAGAAATGTAGAAAAAAATGTAGAAAAATGTAGAAAAAAATGAATGTACCTAGAAAACAGCTCAATCAAATGAATAAAAGGGAGAAAAAAATACTCAAATCCTACACAAGTCTTTATGTAATAAAAATAGTGAGAAAGATAAAATATTCAAGAAATATTATTTGAATAAAAGTCAGCTTCAACCATTACACTTTTAAAAAAATAAATATACCTGTTTCAAAGATTTAAATAAAATACAAAACCAGAAGATAGAAGAAACTAGGAATAAGATGAGAAAAAATTCTTCTTTCTTTTGCAAAGTATATTAGTCAATATAAATAATCAATCATTTATCTATTTATCTAAAGATAATGTCTCACTACTCAAAAGTCCAGGCTGGTCTTCAATTCAAGACCCTCAGCCTTCGAAGTAATAACATTAGGCAAATATGCCCTCTAGCCCAGCAATATTAGGAATATCTAAGTATAATTAAAAGTCAAAAAGAATTAAAATATAATAAATTTAATTATTCCATATAAAAAAGAAGCACTTCACACAAAAATTATAAAAATCAAAGATAGATAGTTATAATTTAAATTACAATCACACTTGCAGCAATTGATTTTACCAAAAAAATATAAATATATATATATGTATATATGCATGAATAACTTCTCATTAAAACACTGCTTTCAAAAGAAAAACTGTAAACCTCCTAAACATCACATTAGGGAAGTAATTCACTATATGTACAAAAATTAAATGATTAAATGTGATTCAAACATCTGTTTCTTTCCAAAGTGGAAATCATATTCTACAGCTGAAAGACTCTGGCTGCCACTTGTTCCTGTAAGGACCTGGAGAGCAGCCATGCTCATTCATTCATGGATTGTCAGGTCACAGACACTGCTGTTTCCACGCCGAAGCGGCAGCTGAGTGATTACAACAGACCTGGATAGCTCAGGTGTTTATGTTCTAGTGTTTCTAGATTAACTAAGCCTTACGTGATTCACTCGGCTTTATCCCTACTGCAACTACATTTGCTTAAAATATAGATTATCTGAGATTTCCAAATAATAAACAATTCCTCATTACCCATATGGTTTATGTGAGCATGGCCGGAAACAGAGACAACAGAAGTGTGACAGCTTTTACATAAAAATGGCAAATTCAGTCATCTCTGATCATTCACAAATAGCAGCCATCACTATCCCAGCTCTGGAACAGGTCTGACTGGGAAGTAGGAATCAGGTACACAAGAGGAACTCTGCCAAGGCTTTCCAAATGATTTTGACAAATCTGTTCCCAATCCATTCCTGATTAATCCTGCCTTTAACACTTGTCTAATAAATAAATGAATCCAAGGACTACATATACAAGTTTATAACTGTTCTAGTCAGAACACATAATAAACTTCTTCAAAACAACATAAATGTTATATCTGGTTTAAGTCCTTAAAAATCAAAACTGAAGTTAAATCAAAATAGAAAACAAGAAAGTCCTCAACTGAGAAAGCACCTTCCATTCTTCCACTTTTGCATTGACAGCCATCATGACTGGATCATCCTCTTCATCTTTTGCTTTCAGAAGATCTGTGAGCTCTCGCACCTAAGGGTGGCAATCGGTTCATGAAATGGTGCAAATCAGTGCATTTAATGTATTATTATATATGCGTATTTATTAATGTACAAATACATGCTTGCAGATGCCTTATTTTTCATATGCTATTCATATAGCACCTATAGTTAAAGGTGCTACTTAAAGGCTGTACAATACTAAATGAAACTGTAAAATCTGAAATGCTCCCAAACTGGATATTCTTTATGGTACCACAAGTGGAAAATTACACATCATATTTCATGTGCTCTGTTTTAGTCAAAAAACTAAAGGTGTATGAGCACTGTATTAAAGAACATGAATTCAGGGACATAAGAACTTCACCATAAGGAAACCTGACCCCAAGTATTTCAGATAAGCTACACTCAACAAATTGCTGTGTACTTACTAATAGAGAATCATATCTGTCAACATTATTTAAATTTTAAATAAGTTTATCCTACATAAATAATAAATAATATATTGATATTTAATATATTTTCACTGTTTTTAAGACATGAAATTAAATGTAATTGCCACTGGAGGTTACGTTTTTAACAGAAAATCTTCATATCCCCACACTTATTCATAGCACTGCTGTCTACACTCACTCAGGCACCATGTCCATTCCTTAAATGTCCAGAATCACAGGCACGTATGAGAGAACCCTTGTGGACAAGTATTATCGGGATGATAACATGTTACTATATTAAGAAAAGCAGCAAAACCCGCGTGTTAGAAGACTAAAGTACTTCTAGTGTCAAGTCAACAGCAATGACTTCGTATGGAGCTATGCGAGAATGTCTTGGTTTCAGCAGGACTCTTACTTGAAGTCGATAGTGCTCGTTCTCTTTCTTTATCTGGTCCATAGCAGTGTCTGTCTGGTGCACAAGAGCCTTCATCCTGTTATACTCATCAGTCATCTTCTCCATTTCCTGGACAGACTCTTCTAGATTTTTTCTCATCTCTTGGTTCTGAACTTCAATTTTCTCATTAGCTTCCGTTAACGTCTAAAAATGTTAAGTAAGCTATTACTTTAAAATAGTTTTAGAAGAAACTGAAATTCATATTAGGTTAAAATTAAACAGAGCCACAGGGCCCTCCAAAGAAAAAGTAATTCTTCACAGACCATTAGGATTGATATGGCATTGGGCCATTAAGTCAAATTAAATGCCAAGAAAATTGTATATAGGATCTCAATTATTCTTGGAGCCCAAGATAGACAAATATAAGGAGAAAATAAATATTTACAAATTCGGAGATACAATTTACTTTGTGCTTTAAAAGTACATGTTGTAGCCAGAGATGTGTCAGCGGGGAAAGCACTAGAGTCTAAGCATGTGAAACTCAGCTTGAGTCACTAGACTGCACATAAAGCCAGATACAATACTATTTATTTTTATTCCCAGTGCTCCTGCTGTGAGGTGGGAGAGAGAAAACAGCTGAATCCATCATTTGCTGAGCTAGATCCCTGGAATACAGAGTAGTGAACAAAGAGATCCTACCTCAAACAGGACAGAAGCCGACAGCAAAGAGCAGAGGTTTTGCTCTGAGCTCCACACACGGGCAAGCACTCGCTCACACACACCAATGTACAGACAGCCCTGCACGCACACAAACTAAACACTGAAAATACAGTGGTAAGCACATCATCAAAACTTACCAAGAGGGAGAGATATTGGATTCAAACCACCCTGATATTCAAGTTTGTAAAACCGTTGCTCTGAACTTAGCCATTTTACCTGAATTTCATCCAAATATTGAACAAGTTCATAGTTCTTTTTAGACAGCTGTGATCGGTAGTCACTGTCTTCTCCTCTCCTTGATAGAAGTGACTCTTTTTGTGAATCTATTTGTTTCTGGTAGTCAATAATGTCCTGACGAAGCTGTTCATTCTGAGGTTAGAGCAAACACAGTAGTCACCCATTAAAAATACTATCCAGTGTCAAAAGAAAACAACAGGACAATAAACATTGACAAAAATCTATCTTTAAACTAATGCTCCCAGAACACATCTCTAAGTCCCCAAGGTTCCACTACCCTTACAGCCTCACCTTCTTCTTTAGACGTTTGTTCTTCAGTAAAGGACAGGAAAGGATAATCAGAAATGAGAAAGGCAACACATAATTAAAACTAATATTTATGTTTTAAGAAAACAGGAATAAATAACTTTTTAGAAAACTGAATATATTATTTAAAACAGACAAAGAAATGAAAATATTAAGGATGAACAAAAAGAAAGAACATTTAGACTATGTTAAAATAAAATTTTAACTTTAAAATTAAAAGTTGAGAACATGACAGATGGGGGTTAGAGGGGGAAGAGGGATGGGAAAATGATGTGATCATATTTTGAAGTATTTTTTGGTTTCAAGCCAGAAAATTATTATTTAGCACATACACAAAAAATGATACAACTTATAGCTGGGCAGTGGTGGCACATGCCTTTAATTCCAGTACTTGGGAGGCAGAGGCAGGCAGACCTCTGTGAGTTGGGGGCCAGCCTGGTTTGGTTATAAAGAGCTATTTCCATGACAGGCACCAAAGCTATACAGAGAAATCCTGTCTCAAAAAACCAAAAAATAAAATAAAATAAAATACAACTTATAAGATTTCATGAAAAATAAAATTCTCAGAGTGCTAGACAAAGAATTGTAAAGAAAGAATCTACTCAAATGCCGAGTTAGCTGATTAGGAAGTGTGGCGATGTAACAGAAAACAAGATGGACCCACACAAATACAGAAAGGAATAAACTACCTAACGGCCTCATATTTTGGTTGACTTTGTAATTCCCCGAGACAAAGTCATCAGAAAATCAGCTAGTATGATTATCACTGGTTACACAGAGGACATGCCAGTTAAAAATACAAACTTAAGTTAACATTTTAAACAGGTAATTCTTTGTTGAACCACCACATATACTGAAATTTTCTACTAACCTCTCTTCTTAATTTGCTGTTTTCATTTTCTGCCTCCTCATTTCGAAGAGCCAGCTAAAATAATAAAATAAAAATAAGATAAAACTCAAAAGTAATTAACAGCTTATTCCCATATTCACTTGTTGACTTAAATTCTAAATCTTTTACAATAGAGCAGAGAACATTTAAAACTACTAAAGACTTCATATCTAGGACACTAGGGCACAAATAAGACAAAATTTTTAAACCAAGAATTTTTAAAAAGTACAAAAAACAGTTCAATTTTAAAGATTAATAATAATAATAGTAATAAAATAAAAACTGTATATACCAAAAGCAAACTAAAGGTTAAAAATTACAAACATCTAAAGGTAATACTGCCCAATCTTTTAAATGTTTAAAATCATTCTGTCTTTCCTTATGTCAAGGGAAAAAAAAAAAAAACACTCTTTGCTCTTTATAAATTCTGAAATACCTAGAAAACGGCAGTACAGAAGAAAAGTTAATTGAAGCAATCTGAAATCATGTTGGCCTTGGGTTATATCCTTGGACTATCAATTCCTACTTAAGTATGAAAAAGTCATTTCATCTCCTTTATGGACATGAGAAATATGATGTATATAGTCCTTAACATGATACTCAATGAACAGAACAGCAGAAAATGTCAAATATTCTTTTCTTCATCTAAAACAGTGTATTTGTGACAGTGTCTTTTTTCTTCTGGACAAAAAAAATAAAACCAATAAGATGGCTTTTTATTAACTAGTCTCCATAAAACACCCTTTTGATGGCCTTTTATTTTCTGTTTTCTGCCTTACTCAAGCAAAAAAATCCAATCACAATAGCATGCAACACACTCGGAAGGTTCCATAAGGAAGCATAAGATTGTTCTTTAGACACTAGGGTGCAGTAGTTGGATGACAAATCAATGCATACAAAGTACCTGACAGATGACAGAGACCCCATCTTATCTACATTACAGTCAAATAAACAGATGTAGTTCTTGACAATTTCTTACTTCTCATCTTAGGAAATGATGGACTTCGATCCAGAGTGTGCTCTTTGACATTACATACATTTCAATTTCTGTGGCTACACTCGCCTCTGTTTCCAGACTCAGTTTATACATTATATGCTGAACACCCAAACTGGCTTAAATAGCCCTCCAAAGCGTATCTCAACAGTCTTATATCCTGATGCACCCATAAAATATCAAATTATCTTATGCTATTCTTAATATAAATTGAGAGTATCTGTTAGAACTAGAAACTTTGTACCATGCAGCAAAGTTTTGATTATGCTGAAATAATCATAGGTTAAAGGTGAAAGGAATTTATACCTTAGCAACTAAGAAAGGATAGGGGCTATGCATTCATGGTTTCCAATTTCACCTCATCAAAATTCATCAATTCATATAAAACTCACCAAAATAAATTGATAGTAAGAAAAATCACTTGCTTATTTATGAACATGAAATACATTCCTTCATACTCACGTCCAAGACCAAAGTTAATTTTATGTTATTGTAATGTCCTCAGAAAAACATGTCACAAAATTGAAGGATTACTTTCCAAGTTATATCAGTAGAGGTAGGTAACTCCATTCTATTTCAGAGATGAGATGACACAATGAATACTGCTACAAAAATTAGCTAGGTGACATTATTCCTCAACTATTACATAAAATCAAGAATTGATATCAAAGGAAAAATCACAATTGGCCATATAGGATTATCTTAGCATTAAGATTCATTGAGATAAAGGTGTCTTACCTGTTCATTAACTTTCTTCTCTTTATCCAGCTCTTTTTCCAAATCCTCTAATTCTCTATCTTTCTGTTCCAATTGCTTTTCAAGTTGACGAATCTCATCACGTAAAAACCGAGTATCACGTCCACCTGCAGAATGCTGAGCCATCTGAAAGGCATAAGCCAAGGATTAATTCTTCAAAATATAAGCAATTCCTTTTTACTTGAAGGTTCAAGTGAGTCAACAATAAAAACTCAACTTTAGATTTTCATCATGCTTCAACATCAGATATGTAAAATCACAGACATGTACACACCATTTAAAAAGAACTTAAAGTTGGGTGGGTAGAGAGGTGGAAATGATCTGGAAGGCCTTGGGGGAGGGGAATATGGTCAAAATATATTCAAATTTAAAATAGTTTTATATAATAAACAACAAACAAATCTGAAGTTATTTAGGCTTTAAATTATAAGTAAAAAATCCATGCACTTTCCCGAACCACCAAAAGAACCATGTAAAACTAGCTGCAGGCTGTCTGTTAGAGTCACGAAGTCACAGGTTCAGACTAAATTGCAAAGGCTTAGAGACTAAGGGCTGGGAACTATGAAGACTGCTCCTGAGTCTTAGAAACCACCTTGGTGCCCTTGAGCTGCCCTTTCTCGGACACCAAGACCTACTTAGAACAGACAGTACTTTGTAGCATAGCAGAAATCTCTCTGGTACCCATCTTTGTCTAGTTCAGAAGCCATATGTACAGTTGGGTTGTGGCAAGTGCAAAGATTTAGATTTTCAGGTTTAACAAATATGAACGTAAAGCGCCATGACTGGTTAGTACCACTCTATAAGAAGGCCGAGACAGCATCACTTTAAAGCTTCCTGACTTTTAGATGCATCTTAGTTCCTGTTCCTGTCAGTCACACTGTGGCCTGAAACATTCATCACCTGAACTGCCTCACACTCAACACTGCCCACACATCTCTGCTATGTCCCTCTTATCAATTGTTTCTCAGTCCTCTTTACTCCAGGAAGCTTTGCACTGTGTTCTCTAAAAGCATCTTCCAAAATACACATTGTATCCTAAGCTTTTGTTTCTAACTAAATCCTTCTTTATTTTCTTACAAAGCTGGAATTTTGTTCTTTTAGGATACTGTTTCCCTTGGAACTTCCTCAACAGGGAGTTGTTCACTCTTGCAGGCCCAAGAAAAGGTCCCTATTCCAGCTTTCGTCCACCCTGCCACCTCCAAGAAAAGGTCCCTATTCCAGCTTTCGTCCATCCTGCCACCTCCAAGCTGCCAATCATGTCATTCTTCTGCCATGCTCTGTATCTTCACTTGATTTGATTTTACGAGATGGCTCTTTATCCCACTCTAATACACTCATGATACGAGCAAGTCACCAATCTCCTACTCATGCTTCAAAGTCTCAGGAGCTAGCCTAGGGTAGCTCAGTCTTCCATCAGAAATCAACTGAGAGTGTATTAGAAACAAAGAAAGAAAGGAAAGTAGTCAACCTGAGCCATTCCCACAATCCCATACTTTCACACGAGTTATTTAATAACTTTAAATAACTCGTTAAATATAACTTGTGTCTTGATTTACTACATTTTGCCAGTCAAATGCCCATAACATATCCTTGGAAAACGACATTTTGCTCAGTGATTCTCTTACTTTCCCGTTAACAAACGGGACCACAAAGGTCTTTGACTTACCCTTTTCCTGTCTCCAACCTTCCCCTTCCCCAAATCCAATTCTGACACCCTACCTATTTAGCTAAGATTTCATTATCAAAACTTCAACCTCAGTTGCCACATTCTTCTATTCCTTATCTGCTGTCTGGGTAAAAAACTATACAGAGCCAACTCAACGTCGTAAATCACTTATTATAGAAATATTTACTGAGAGTGCTTGGCGTGCTTGACATTTTTCCAGGAGCTTCAAATAGAGCAGGAAATATGAAATAGCCAATCCAAGTACAGAGCTGAGTCAAAAGATCGAGGACTAGAACTGCAATCTGACTGCAGATCCCTTAGTCTTCAGTCCTTGCTCCACCGCATTACAAAGGCTACCTGACATTCCTAATCTCTGAGCATACTGTCCTCCGCCCTCCATTCTTCACCTCACAGATAACCCCCTTTCCAATCTCTCAACTTCTAAGCACTAAGGTCACAGGCAAGAAAAGTTCCCTACGCAGATGCTCCCTGATCCTTTTGTACCACATTCCTTCTGCCCTTTTCAGGATCTCACTGTTTGGAGTTCCCACACCCCTCCATCTCAATTACTACCAAGCCTTCTATATACTTTTCGGGACTGAAAGCTCAGATGGCAACTGTTTTTGCTTTATTCAATGCTTAATTCTTAAAAACCAAATCACAAAAACATACGCTGTACAATGAACAACTCTCGACTACAAAATTTTCATTGTACTTTTCAACCTACTAATAGAAACATCTGGTAATAACATAAGATGATGCAATTAATAACAAAAGGCCGTACCTCTAGTTCATTTTCCAGTTTCATTACTTTTGTCTTTAATTGATTTTCTATTAAAAGAAAAATACAAATGTTTTAATTGGTTAAATTTTCTGCAATCAGATTTTAAGTGAATGTTTATAAAATAACACAATTACCAAATCCATGGAACAGGCATTCTAGAACTGTCTTGACCTGAGTAAGTGAAATCTTACGTCAATGGGCAAAGCCCTGTCAGGAACTCCCAAGCCTGAGAACCATGGCAGATAGGAGAACCTTCCCTCCATCTGAGTGTGAATGTTGGGAATGTGTGTAGAAAATGTCCACCACAGCTTTCTTCCCCGTCATGTTTATGGTTTCCCTACAGAGAATACTGGTAATGATATTTCATTTATATTTTAATAAATAAAGCTTGTCTGAAGTTCAGAGAGTAAAACAGCTGCACTGATCAGCCTTACAGACCAGGCAGTGGTGACACACACACACCTTTAATCCCAGTAGCCACACTAGTTTTCCATAGAAACTGGACAATAGTGGTGCACACCTTTAACCACAGCACTAGAGAGGAATATAAGACAGGAAGAGACAGCTCTCAGACAGTCTTATCCTGAGATTCCTGGAGGCAGGATCATCATTTAGAACTAAGGTAGAGGTAAAAGCCAGTGGCTGGCTGTTTTGCTTTTTTGATCTTCAGATTGAACCCCAATTTCTGTCTCTGGGTTTTTATTAATCGTGCTACAACTACTCCTACCGAGATTAGCTCAATCTGCCTCCTTGTTCAATTGTATACCAGAAACCCTGACTCCCATTTTATCTGTAGGCAATCACCCGACTTCATGTTCAGCAACACACAAGAACCCCGCTTCTCCTTAAGTGTATACAATAAAGACACTGAGCTTCTGGGGTGCTGCAGACTCCATGAGAGCGCCTAGTTCACCAGAAGTCAACTTTTCTGTGTGCCTTTGTACTGTCTTTCCTTCATTCTTTGCCACATCAGTCAGGTCAGTCCCTGAAACAGTGCAAGGATGCAGCATCTTTCAATACGAGTTGAAAATGCATTTTGTAGAATATGATAAATTTTGTACTGACAACTAATGGAGACACAACATTTTTTTTTCCTAGACATTTACCGAATTTTGCTTGTTCTTCTCCAGCCTTTTCGACTTCTTCCAAGGCTAGCTCGACTTCCTGAGCTTTCATCTAAATATAAAATTGAAAGAGAAAAATCTGTATTGTTTACACTGTAATATAAACAGCGAAAATGCAAATAGTTTCATTTGCTAGCTTGGTCATTAGTGTGTACAACGGCTAGCACACAAAGACCGTTAGTACATATTTGTTGGATACTTAACCTGTAAATTCTAGAATGGCAAGATTGTGAGTCATCTCTGATTTTTCCATTAAATTTTATATCCACTGTTTTAAATGTTTTTGTTATCTTTTTCCCATTCCAATTGTTATTATTCTGGTATATAATTTCATTTATTAATACCACATTACAACTGGAGCTTCCCAGCTCCAATCCCCTTCAATCTGTACTATACAACACATCTAATTTTGCTTTCTTAAGTAAATTTCTGAATTTGTCAATTATGTCTCAAAAACTTTTATTCAATCCTAACCTGCTAATAATGGAAAATACAGCCTCAAACCCCAGGACAAGAAATCCCAAACTACCAACCCAATAGCTGTTTGTCTACAGCTTGCTACATGCATTTGCCCTAACTTAAAGAGTAAGTACATATTCTTTCTCAGTATTTATTTATGAAAATCTAGAATCCTCTTACCATTTCACCATTAGCTTCTAGAAGAGACATTTCGCATTTGTACTTGAACTTTTGGCTATATTTATGTTATTTTTAAAAAGTACTTCTTCCCCTACACACTCTTTAAATGTTTTTAGAATAGGAACTAGATTTGCTATACATAGTAAAACCCACTTTAAATATACACTTGAAGAGCTTATTTTTGAGGGATGACATAGGCATTCCAAATATTTCCATAAAGATGAGTTTACATAAGAATCGATTCCCACATTTTCTCTAAAGCTGGTCAAATATCTCCTCCATACCAACCTTCATTAAAGACTGAGTAATTCTGAATAGATGTATCACATTTTCTTGTTCTTCATCTTTTAGTTCGTTTACTTCCACCTAAGGAAACAAACATACAAACAAACAAAAAGGTGGACTATTTCATACCCTGCCCATAAATACAAGCACTCTTCCCATTGTAGCGTTCAGTTATTCCAAAGAGCAATTTCAATTAATCACGTTTTGTCTATGTACAAAGTATTTGTAAAACACCTTGGATAAGGAAATCAATAAATTATCTGCCAGCTCTTCTTGGCGTGGTAGGTCATCTGGGTCAACCTTGATTAACTCTTTCCAGTTTATGTTGGGTGGCATCTTGAATTCTTTTGCCGCCTTTCAGCTCCTACAAGAAGACAGGTGGATTTTAGCATCTTCAAGAAAAATGGCATTGCAGTGCTTACGTTCTCATTCTACCTCTGGGTGTTGACACTCCTGGACCACAGAGAGCACAAGCACGGGCAAACAGCCACGATGAGAATGAGCCCACCTGGCACAGCCTATCCGACAATATACACGCTAAAATTATTAGCTTCCTGGCTAAAAACGAAGCCCTAACCCCTAAATCCTCTCTTCCCAGTCCCCTACCAGCAAAGACGATACCACCTCCCAGCATGTTTGAAATTTGAAAACGTCCTCCGATTCTGAGAAGGGACGAGAGGATTTTTGGTTAAGGGTACAAAGAAAGACTGAACTGGAAGGTGTGTGTGAGGAACCAAGTTGAATCGAGAAGGCCCGAGGCACTGCGGAGGAGAGGGCAGAAGGACGGGGTCGGTAGACTGCAGACTGTCCCTCGGGATTAGGAACCCGTGAAAGACACTAAGCCGCTCCTGGCTCACGGGGAATCCACCCACCCAAACCCAGCCTTGCAACCTGCGGCAGTCGCTCATCTACACAGACCGCCACGGCGGGTTCGGCGGCGTCCCGGGCGTCTCTTCCAAGAGGTGTCCTCGCGCACTCCGGCTCCCGCCAAACTCTTCCTCCCGAGCGAGCCCAAGCGGCGGCCGCTGCTAGGCGACACCACTCCCCGCCCAGCCAAAGACCGGAACTAGGCCCCGGATACGGGGGGCGCCTACATTTCACGACGGTGGGAAAAGCTTTACGGTTATACTTCCCCGCCGAGGCCTTTATTCTAGATGAGGGAAAAGTCAGGAGAAGAGGACTCCACGTCCCAGAGTGCAGTTCGGTCTTGCCGCCGTTCACTCTGGGACTAGAAGTCCCGGAGAGAGAGGAGCCAGTTCCCGGCGTGCAAAGCGGGCAGCTTGCGGCCGCCCTGGAGAGGCTGAGGAAGGAGCGGGAGGCGGGAGGCGGCGGCGGCGGCTGAGGTGCGGCTACCCCGAGATCGCGGGCGTGGCGGACTATGACAGTGCTTTCCACCGAGTCCCTCTCCGGTCCGCTCTCCCGGAGGCTTCCCTGAACCGTCACCTCCGCGGACCCGCCCTCAGGTGAGGTCGGGGGTCAGCGGCCGGGAGGAGATCCAGGGAACATTAGAGATTTGGGGACGCTCCAGCTTGGGGCTGCAGGGCCGGCGGGGTCTGGCCGAGGTGGCGAGGACTCCTCCCGCCGCCCAGGTGTGTGCTGGGGGCTCCTGGTTGGTGGCTTCAGTGAGAGGGAAGTGGGAACAGAAAAGTTTCTGCTTCCCTGGGATCTACCGTATGCTTTGGAGAAGTGGAGCTGGGGGGCCCCCCCGAGTTCACGGTCTGGGGTGAGCGGAGCATCCAGAGCGGGCCGGCTCTAGGCTCGCCCGCCCCCTGCAGCCGCTTGAGGACTGTAGTGCTTATTAAGTTGCGAAGGCCGGAGAAAGGGAGCCCTACAAGAGGGAGACAGGGGAGCCACGCCAAGTTCAGGCATTCTGCTGTCATTTGCCGGGTACCAAGGAGGGGGGCTCTTAGGTGAAAGTGCCTTCTCGGGTATTTGCCGCCTCCCTCGGGCAACTTCTGCCCATTCCATAGTTACTGTACACCAGCCGTAGGCTTCTATTTGAAACATTGTGTTTCATTTACACACACACACACACACACACACACACACGAGAGAGAGACAGAGACAGAGACAGAGATAGAGAGAGATTAAGAGAAAAATCTGTAAAAGCTAAAATTTACTTTTGACAAAAATTTCTGTACAAACCGTTTGGTTGAGAAAAACAAGAAATAGCTTAGAAGAAAATGGTATTTGAAACAAATATTTAAAGAAATTCAGATTTGTAGGGCTGATTACCATGTTTGTTTTTTCCGAATACTGCTCAGTTTCTGTATTATTCTTGTTAGAGGTACAGCAAAACGTGTGCCTACATCTAAGAAGTTGCCACTTGGCGACGTTAAACACGGTTTTCTCATCCATGCTTTGCTCACATCACTGAGCCATTCTAGAAACTAGTATTGGTGAAATAGTTGGCATTTTATAGCTTTGTTTACTCAAGAAAATGAATTATTTTTCATGTTTCTTTTGTCAAAAATACTGAGATGAAACAGTTTTTATGCTGGGCGGTGGTGGCTCAGCACTTTGGAGGCAGAGACGGGAGGTTCTCGGTGAGTTCGAAGCCAGCCTGGTCTACAGGGCGAGTTCCAGGACAGGCTCCAAAACTACTGAGAAGCTCTGTCTCAAAAAACAAAACAAAAAGAAGAAGAAAACAGTATTTATTGATCAAAATTTCACTGGTGTAATATATTAAAAATTTGTTTTTTATCACAAAACTTTGATATTTTTCTCTTGATTTTTATTACATACTTTATTTTCTATTACTCCTTTACTAATTTTGTGTTGTTTGTATTGTTCTTTCTACCCCATTTCTCTCTTTCTAGTTTGTATTTGTAATAGCTTCAAGGGCAGACAGTCTCGATAAATTTTATTCTCTTCGGAAGAAGTAGTTAATTAGTAACTGAAGAAGCTAAGGTTGTAGATCTCAGTGACAATCGTAACTGAAGTGTAAGCTTTCTTAAATTCCGTTGTCTAATTAGTCCTAACAGTATTTTGAGCAATACTTGACCTAAGAGTACAAGAAACAAGAGCAGAAAACATGATTTCGTGAGCCAGGTCTTCATATACCATACCTAACTGTGAGTCAGGACATTTAACTGAAGTTCCGATCCTGCAGCTTGATATATAATTTTTAAAGGGCTAAGATAGTTTTTCGTCGGAATTTCTGTATTTCTCAGATTTTTTTTCCGAGAATGAGTTTTATGCGAGAGTTTTTTAAATGGCCTTGTCGCAGGCACGCATGCCTGGACCCGTGTTCTGCCTAACCTGGGCTTGTATGACCAGTTTTATCTAACCAAAATCAGTCTGTGAGAAAGCCTTGCTTTCTGTAATTGTTATCTCTGTGCTCTGTCCCAGTGGACTTCAGTTCGTTACCCGTCTGTTGTTCACCTACCGCTCTAGTTTCTAAAACAGTGCATGACTGTGAGAAATTTATTAACAAATCCCTATTATGATAAAGGTGTTTTTCAAGATTTTTTTTCTTCCAGGAGGAACTCTGTGTTCAGGTAAAGGAATGCGTGTATAACAAGCAGACACTTGTCTCTCTTTAGCATAGGGCAACTAGAAGGATAGGTATCGTTCAGTGTGAAGACAGACTTTGCATACAGAAGTTCTGTAGACTTCAGGGTGGTAATAAATCGAGGACTATAGAGAAAGTCTGAACGATGTTTTGGTTTCCCAAGAAACAGAACTGGGAAGGAATTAGCTTTGTCCTATAGCTGTATTTTCCCCCAGGTATATCATTAGATTATTACCCCAAGAAGAACTTAATATGATTTAGTTGAAGGAATTGAACTTATATCTATAATGTAGCTGCATTGGATTTTTTTTTTTTTTTTTGGTTTTTTTGAGACAGGGTTTCTCTGTGGTTTTGGAGCCTGTCCTGGAACTAGCTCTTGTAGACCAGGCTGGTCTTGAACTCACAGAGATCCGCCTGCCTCTGCCTCCCAAGTGCTGGGATTAAAGGCGTGCGCCACCACCGCCCGGCGCTGCATTGGATTTTATATGTATATATGCTGATATCTCTTTTTTGTCAGCAAGCAAGTTGGACATTCCATTTGCTTCTGCTGCATGCATGTGTATATATGCTAATACCCCCGTGGGTCTTGTCTAGTGTGGAGTACTTTGTAAGCTCCTTTTCATCAACTCTGTCCTGCAGGAAACCTTGAACAAAGCCATTACTGCACTCAGGACCCGTACTAGGACCAATTCTCCCCTTGATGTTACATCGCTTTGTGAAGTTTTTAAAGCCTGTATCCTAACCCCTTTGTAACTGCCCTGCATCTATTCTGGATCTCACTTTACTTGCTGACTTTTTTTTTTTTTAAGTAGCAGCAAAGACAGACATAATGGTACATAACCGTGATCCCAGACAGGAAACTGAAGCAGAGGGGTCCTGAGTTAAATAGACTGGGTGACGTGGTGAGATTGTTTAACACACACTCACGCATGCATGCACACAAACAAAACATAGTATATGATAACAAAGCACTTGACTACTGAACTACATTCCCTGCCCTTATATGGGGTTTTGGTCTTCAGAGAACCCTCAAACACCCATAAGAGTCTGAATCTGAACATAGTAGTCAAGTAAGCAGCTTTTTGTTCTCCTTGTCTCTTTATTCAACCTTAAAATTATTGATGGCAAAGTGTGTGAGTGTGTGTGTGTGTGTGTGTGTGTGTGTGAGAGAGAGAGAGAGAGAGAGAGAGAGAGAGAGAGAGAGAGAGAGAGAGAAGACTGTGAAGTACCATATCTACCTGAAGGAGTGAGATCACATCCCATTTGCAGTGAGCCTAAGCCTGGGGGGAGAGCAGTTCTCAAAGTTAATCAAATTTAGAGTTTTGATGATTAAAATGGAACTGAACATTATAATACTAAATGGAACTTCTGTAACTCAAAAGGACCATAATTTTAAAATCATGCCTAACTATAGATGCCATGAATCTATCCAACTTTATTAAACTAACACTTTATACTCTTTATTCTTTAATTTCTAGAACCTAATAATCTTACTTTATGATGAAAGGTCATTTGAAAATTACAGCTCAAAAACACTGAACTCTAATTAGCAACATTTAAAAGTTAGGGATAGTCTTCCTAGGAGCCTTCCCTGTTCTTAGTCATTCCTTCACACTTTGCCTGAACAAATCTGTTTGCTCTCCTTTAAAAGATGAAGACATGAATGTGGGAAATGGCTTTGTGGGGAGGAAGCAGGAAGAAGGGAGATAGAGAGAGTGGAGTCAGAGTAATGTTGTGTACATGATTTTGGAAGACTACAAAATTAATAAAAAGCACCCATAAAAAGAAAAACGGTGATTAAATAGTTTTAATTCAAAACTGCATTTATAATTTGAATGTATTCAACTTTAATAAGTACTTAAATGAGATGCTTAATTTAAACTAAACATTAGCAGTCTAATTATATGTCATTAAATGATGGGAATGTATTCATAAATGTGTGTCATTAAACCAGTATCGTTGTGTGATCATTCTGGGGCATACTAACACGAACTATAAATCTCACTAGGCAGTTTTAATCCCAAAAGTACTATTCATCTTGTATTTTGTTAATCACAGTGCCATGTATTGCATGACAACTTCACTAACTTTCATAAAGCTAGTAAGTTAAACTCAAAACTAGCAACTGTCATGGTGTTATAACTCATAGATAAATTAGTTAACTTAATATTTTGTATTGCATATTTGTACAGATAGCCTGTTATAATTTTGAAACTAGCCTGTCAATTTCCAACATGCCACATTATCTTCTATTAATATGTTTGTGTTATTAAAACCTTTAATCTAAGAATATATTTCATCACAAGTAAATTGGTCTTAGCAGAGCTAGGACCCAAGGCTTTATAATGAGAAATGTTTCCAACTTTATATATCTTTAAAAATCTACCTTATAATAGATACCGGAATTGCTTTCCTGATTTACAGGTGTGTGTGCGTGTGTATGTCTGTGTGTATGTGTGTGTGTGTATGTGTGTGTGTGTGTCAATTTAGTAACAGTAGTTC